GAATGAGAAGGAAGAGGTTATGACTGGCTGACGCTAGCTTCCAGAGGCTAAAAGCTGGTTTATGTTTAGAAACCAGGTCGTCTGTGTGGGTGTTGCAGTTAACGCAAATGTGCACCCGCCCCTTCTGCAGACACTCTGCTAAAAGCTGATCTAACCCCTCACTGGCAGCTGCGTGGCCTCTGACCCCACGAAGTCATATGTCTGTTGACATCATCATGCTGGGTTAGCTTTGATGATGTCAGCAGTACGACAGAAATCAGGAAAGCAAACAATGGAGAGTAACATTGAAGGAAGCGAGGATGTAGTCATTGTGTTTTACCATTTCTCTATATTATCTGTCTGAATCCCTCTCACCAGAGCTGCTCCATGTTTATCGAATGTAAACAGTTGTTTCTGCTAGTTAGATCAGAAACAACTGGTGCGGTGTGTTGACGTCCGCACGTTGCGTTCAATGGTATCATGTAATTTATCGAGTAGACCCAGTTTTGGTGTTTCCACAACATGCCGATCAGAGCCGAGGAGATTTTAACGGGGGTGGCTTGCTGAGTCGTTTGACCCGGGTGGAAATGCGTCAGTGAGCTGTTCACACTGCCAACAAAAGCCCATTGTTCCTGGGTTTAAAAGGGTTTTAGCCAGTGGGAAAGGGGTATTTCTCAACACCACTCTGAACAAAAAGCGCCCAAAATACAAACGTAAAAGGTATAGGGGAGGATGTTATTTTTCCAGGTGGATCATCAAAAAAGTGGTCCACCTAATTGTCAATCATTCTGGTAATATGTTTACGTCCTACGCCGTCCTACGTGGTCATCCGCATTTTCACTTACCGGTGGTGAGTGTAACATGGTGGAAAAATTGCAAATCTTCTACTTCATACAGGTAAGCTTGTATGGGCGATGTAATCGGTAACTTTTAATCAGAAGGTGCACAAGGAAAAATGAGCTTGTGCATGCTCTCGCACACGTTTAGTTACGTTCCCCCTTGGGAGCATCACTACCCGAACCGTTGCGGAAGCACGATCCGAATGTAATTTCATTTCCGTGACCAAATATACATCCGGGTTTCCATAATTCATGCAATTATGGTCCTAAATGTACTTATTTATATCCTTAACTCACTAAAGAATCCTAACACACACTTTTAAAAATGTTTTATGACTTTTCTGAGAAAATTCTGATACTTTTTACATATTTTCAGTTAAACTGCTTATATGACATCATCATCATCAGAAATGCTCAGAGCAGTCCAGCAAAATATGATCAAACCATATCTGCGTTTTAGTTGTTTCTTTCTTAAGATTAGCCCGATATACCATAATTTTAACACGCAGGGGAAACATAAAACTGTTTAAATCCAAAACTGAAAAAGTTAGCTCCTGGAAGTACCGTAAATCCCATTTCCGGCACAGAACGATAAAACGGAAAGTCCCAGTGCTGTATCTGGTGTTTGTCACAACGCGCTATTATCCAAGTCATCTTGCAAACCTCCTTCTTCCAAATGTTGGCTACATATTACGTGTTTTTTCTCTGGCCAGAAGTTCGATGGCAAATCCTCCCTCTTCAAGTTGGCGATCCAATGACCAACCCGTCCGTGGAGGATCAGGAATCAGAAAATTGAAATAGGAATCAGAAAGGTGAATTTCAATGGTGAAGTCCTCTGGAAATCTTTAAAGTCGTAGGGAAGCAGCTGTTCCAACCGTTGCAATTCCGAATTCTCCCGAGTGGTGCACGACTTTGCACGAGTGAATAAAGTGAATGTGATTGGTCGATTATTAAGGGGGCGGGATTGTTGAGAGAGAAGGTTCGTAAGCAGTTTGGTTGTGGCCGGTTTCTCGGAAGCATCTTGCTAACTAGTTAGCGACTTAGTGCTACTATGTTTCCAATGGGAAATTCCATTCCAGTTCTGTTAGCTCTACGCCTGCCGAAGACACAGACGTCCATCCCCGTGAACACTGGGACGCAACTCAATGGGAAAGGAAAGGATTCTGATTTCAACCGTTGCGTATATTATTAGCTGCGACATATGAATCAAAATGCGATGACCGAAAACATTTGATTGACAGATGACCGTTGATATATGATTGGACGAATTTAGGTGTTAAGGCTGACGTAGAACTAACTGGCCTGTAGAAGATAATGGAAAAAACAAAACAAAAAACCACACAGATTTTAAGACAGTATCTGTTTTTAAAACAGAAATTTTCTAAATTTTGGGACAATATTGTCGAGAAAGAGGAAATTTATATACATGTTTAAGCCTGTCTAGTAGTTCCCATTGATTTTACTTGTAAAGCGAGGAGAATGGCGCTAGGCTTACCGCACCATGACGTCACTGCCGGAAGATGGCAGGAGTGAGGCGTTACTATTTTTAGGCAAAAAAGGCTGCTCCGAGACTCAGTGATTGTGATGAAAATTTTACATTTTTTTTTACTGATTAACGCTTAATTCATTAAATCAATGCGAACGTATTAGTTGTAGATATAATGATCCACTGATTATTCCTTGCTGAGCGGACTTTTCCTTTAAGTCAGAATGTGAGTGGAGCCCCCTAGTGGTCTGCTACAGGATGATAACACAATCATAACTAGCATGATTAACAATGTTTTTACGCTTTTATTTCAGCAAACTTCGATTATTAAGTCCTACTTTTATTTTGAAACATATTTTCTTAACATAATTTTTAAAAAAGATACCTTTTGTTTTCATACTTTAATCAGTGCAATCACCAGCGGCTGCGGGCCAATAAAGGGCGCCAGGGCGCCGCCCCACCCACCCAATGACCATGATTAAGACATGAAAAAATATATATATTTTTTTATTATTTACTTTTAAAATAACATTTAAAATATTTCGAAATATGTTAATATCTTATTAATGTAATTTTTAGATATGCAAAATGCATATTTAATGTTTAGTGACTATTAAAGCGTCATTCCATTCTTCGTATCTAAAATTGGTGATGTATTTTCGCCCTAGGGCGCAAAAATCATTGCCCATTGACTTTCGTTAAAAGTTGTACATGCGCAGTAACTCCTCTGCAATACGGGAAGTTTATTTGCAGGCGACCTCCCGCTACAGCGCAGAGGATTTGCAGGTGATTGAAAGGTCGAGTAGCGGGAGTTGGAGACGCATTGAAGAGAGAGAGACATGATGCAAGAACCCCTGGTTTAGCTCCAAGGCTAGGCTAACCCCAGGCTCACACCGACTCCGGTCTTACCGTTGCGGTGCGGTGCCGCAGTGATTCCAAGTCATTAAAAAGACGTAAACCTCTCTCGCCGGCTGCTGAGCTGTCCGGCTGCGGTTACCGAGACACTCCGGCGCTGCAGAAAATTCCGCAAGAAAGCTATCCTTGCGGTGTGCCGGAGCCCTCCGCAACAAGCTCTCGCAAAAATCCTTTATTTGGGCCGTGTTATCGCGTGAAGTTACTTGAACTCAAGTGAACTTCTGTTAAATCTCCGGACCTGTTGCCGGAGCCGCACCGCACCGTAGTCAAAAGGGCGGTGTGAGAGGGGGTGTGCGGGAGTTGCGGTCTCCGTCGGCTCGGTAACTGCACCGGAGCCAGTGTGAGCAAGGGGTAACTGCATGCAGCGAGGCTAAGGCTTTATTCTGTTTTCCCTGCCTAGTTTTTCAAATGTCAGGATCAGATCCAGCATGGATAAAGACAGCTAGGACTGTTTTAAAGCACTTTGCAGAAAAGGCAAAGAAGAATGAACAATCTAAAATTAACATGGACAATAATAGAATATAGTCTACTTTTTCTACATGTTTGTTAATTCGCATAGTTGCTCTTAAATAAACATATTCTCGGAAAACAAACTAATATTATATATTAAGAAAATAAGCTGACTAAGAGCTTCTCCATTACTAAACCAGTCCATTATTTTTTTAGGTTTGTGTCACAATATTGGACAAAACATATTGAATTATGTTTTGTTTTTATAAAGTGTTTTTATAATGTTTTTTTTGTTGTTGTTGGCATTCATATAAATATACTGCTGTAGTCCCCCCTTCAGAAATCTGGCAATCACCATTATTAAATAAACTCTTTACATCCAGTGCAGCAACATTAGGGGAATAATAATAATCTAATAATCACAACGGCTAAATGCTAAATCAAAATGAACTCCAACGGTTATTTGTTTCTGAAACTACAAGGTCGACGGAGTGAGGGGTCTGTAGCATGAAGGGCAATAAAAGTGTCATCTCAGTGGAGCAGATTGTAGTTTTTTCCCCCCACATTTATCGGGCAGTACTGAATGTTCGAACCGATGGACATGGCAGAGCTTCTGATGGTGGATTCTGAACAGAGCTGAAACTTTCAGCTCAGGAGTTCACTATGGTGCCTCCGCCGCCAGCTGTCATACGCCTCTGAAGGCTTCTACTTCCAGCGTCCATCTGAGCTTTATTCGCTCAGTTTAGTTGCGGTGTTGGAGCGTTTCTCTTGACAGTAGTGTCACGCTGTGTTGTTGGATGCTGCTTGCAGGAGCTGCAGACCATTCCATTAAGGCTGATCCACACCAAAACCTACTCCTTAGGCTAAACTGTGGCTAATGGCTATTACCCACTCGCTACTTGCTAATGAAAGGTGAATAACATGATAATAAGCAAACAAACGTTACCTCTGAGCGGCTTGGATGGAAGCTGAAGACGGCCGAAACGCTGCATTTAATGATTTCTTACTTTCGTCTTATATCTATTTCACAGTCGCCATTTTCCGTGGTGGTCTGGTGTGGGCCGGATCATTTCTTTACTTAGGGCATCCGCTCATCCAGGCAGGGCCGCCGCTACGAAACAAGCTGTTTCTCCAATATAGTTGGATTTTATGACTATTGTATAAAAACGTCAAAGCAGATTAATTCGTTGCAGTTACTGTCGTGTATCGTTTCGTCACGTATTGTGACGCGGCGGCGCCATTCCCACCCCCCTGAAACACAGCGGAATGGTTGAGTCCAGAAAGGAGGGATAAAAGCCTGAGTTAATGACCATCTCTTTTGGGTGGCAGTTTTTTTTCCTTTTCTTTCAGGTGATAGCGGTTAAGCGCCGCTTGATTCAATAAGATTAATGATTGTGGTAGATCCGCTGGATCCAAACATTTCCCCGTCCACAGCTGCCATTAAGGCAGAGACAGAAAAATCATCTTCCATTAAGAAGAGAGTTTAAATGTTAGCACCATCTGCCCAAGGTTGTCTTCTCAATGGCCTTTGTTGTTTCAATGGCCGGTAATTTTCCTGTCCTGTCCCCTCTGTGGCGAGCTTTCTGTGGACAGCAGTTAACAGAAAGAGCCTTTCACTGTTAGCTCAGAGGGCCTTATGTTAAAAAAAAAAAAAAAAAGGGAAAATCTAAAGTGAAAAGCTTCTGTCTTATAAATGAGCCTCCAGCTGTTCTACAGTAACTGAACTGAATGCGGGTTGAAGGGGTCAATGCTTATCTTCCTGTCCTGTCAAACAATATTGGAATAAATATGAAGGATATCTCTATTCCTACAGGTATGTATAGAAATCATTCAGTTTCAGATAAACCAATTTTATTACAGCGTCATAACTGAGCAGTTGCTTGTTAGCTAACTTAAGCTAGCAGAGCCCCATGATGGATGGTCTTAAAAACAGTATAATGTTAGATATTTAAAGCGTATTAAATATATTATTTGGAGTTGACAACCAGCTGTTCAGCTGTTTTATGTCACGAAACAAACAGCCCAAAATGTATTTTTTTTCCTGATGTTTAAAGAACGTATTTTAGTTGGGAAATGGAAAAAAGGGACTTAAGAATTAGAGGTTTCCACCATTACCACCAAATCCAAAATGGCGGCCTTCCATAGAAAGGTTAGAGAAAAGAATTTCTGTGTCATTAAATCAACCAGCTACGATGGAGAATTAGGGCCAGGCTAGGGATTTTTTTCGAGAATAAAGTTGTAACGTTACGAGAATAAGGTTGTACAATTACGAAAATAAAGTTGTAAAAGGAATAGTCATAAAATTACAAGAATAAGGTCGTAACAATGCTAGAATAAACATTACTTAGGCTCCTGGCCTGTCAAACCATATTGGAATAAATATAAAGGATATCTCTATTCCTACAGGTATGTATAGAAATCATTCAGTTTCAGATAAACCAATTTCATTACAGAGTCATAACTGAGCAGTTGCTTGTTAGCTAACTTAAGCTAGCAGAGCCCCATGATGGATGGTCTTAAAAAACAGTATAATGCTAGATATTTAAAGCGTATTAAATATATTATTTGGAGTTGACAACCAGCTGTTCAGCTGTTTTATGTCACGAAACAAACAGCCCAAAATGTATTTTTTTCCTGATGTTTAAAGAACGTATTTTAGTTGGGAAATGGAAAAAAGGGACTTAAGAATTAGAGGTTTCCACCATTACGACCAAATCCAAAATGGCGGCCTTCCATAGAAAGGTTAGAGAAAAGAATTTCTGTGTCATTAAATCAACCAGCTACGATGGAGAATTAGGGCCAGGCTAGGGATTTTTTTCGAGAATAAAGTTGTAACGTTACGAGAATAAGGTTGTACAATTACGAAAATAAAGTTGTAAAAGGAATAGTCATAAAATTACAAGAATAAGGTCGTAACAATGCTAGAATAAACATTACTTAGGCTCCTGGCCTGTCAAACCATATTGGAATAAATATAAAGGATATCTCTATTCCTACAGGTATGTATAGAAATCATTCAGTTTCAGATAAACCAATTTCATTACAGAGTCATAACTGAGCAGTTGCTTGTTAGCTAACTTAAGCTAGCAGAGCCCCATGATGGATGGTCTTAAAAAACAGTATAATGCTAGATATTTAAAGCGTATTAAATATATTATTTGGAGTTGACAACCAGCTGTTCAGCTGTTTTATGTCACGAAACAAACAGCCCAAAATGTATTTTTTTCCTGATGTTTAAAGAACGTATTTTAGTTGGGAAATGGAAAAAAGGGACTTAAGAATTAGAGGTTTCCACCATTACGACCAAATCCAATATGGCGGCCTTCCATAGAAAGGTTAGAGAAAAGAATTTCTGTGTCATTAAATCAACCAGCTACGATGGAGAATTAGGGCCAGGCTAGGGATTTTTTTCGAGAATAAAGTTGTAACGTTACGAGAATAAGGTTGTACAATTACGAAAATAAAGTTGTAAAAGGAATAGTCATAAAATTACAAGAATAAGGTCGTAACAATGCTAGAATAAACATTACTTAGGCTCCTGGCCTGTCAAACCATATTGGAATAAATATAAAGGATATCTCTATTCCTACAGGTATGTATAGAAATCATTCAGTTTCAGATAAACCAATTTCATTACAGAGTCATAACTGAGCAGTTGCTTGTTAGCTAACTTAAGCTAGCAGAGCCCCATGATGGATGGTCTTAAAAAACAGTATAATGCTAGATATTTAAAGCGTATTAAATATATTATTTGGAGTTGACAACCAGCTGTTCAGCTGTTTTATGTCACGAAACAAACAGCCCAAAATGTATTTTTTTCCTGATGTTTAAAGAACGTATTTTAGTTGGGAAATGGAAAAAAGGGACTTAAGAATTAGAGGTTTCCACCATTACGACCAAATCCAATATGGCGGCCTTCCATAGAAAGGTTAGAGAAAAGAATTTCTGTGTCATTAAATCAACCAGCTACGATGGAGAATTAGGGCCAGGCTAGGGATTTTTTTCGAGAATAAAGTTGTAACGTTACGAGAATAAGGTTGTACAATTACGAAAATAAAGTTGTAAAAGGAATAGTCATAAAATTACAAGAATAAGGTCGTAACAATGCTAGAATAAACATTACTTAGGCTCCTGGCCTGTCAAACCATATTGGAATAAATATAAAGGATATCTCTATTCCTACAGGTATGTATAGAAATCATTCAGTTTCAGATAAACCAATTTCATTACAGAGTCATAACTGAGCAGTTGCTTGTTAGCTAACTTAAGCTAGCAGAGCCCCATGATGGATGGTCTTAAAAAACAGTATAATGCTAGATATTTAAAGCGTATTAAATATATTATTTGGAGTTGACAACCAGCTGTTCAGCTGTTTTATGTCACGAAACAAACAGCCCAAAATGTATTTTTTTCCTGATGTTTAAAGAACGTATTTTAGTTGGGAAATGGAAAAAAGGGACTTAAGAATTAGAGGTTTCCACCATTACGACCAAATCCAATATGGCGGCCTTCCATAGAAAGGTTAGAGAAAAGAATTTCTGTGTCATTAAATCAACCAGCTACGATGGAGAATTAGGGCCAGGCTAGGGATTTTTTTCGAGAATAAAGTTGTAACGTTACGAGAATAAGGTTGTACAATTACGAAAATAAAGTTGTAAAAGGAATAGTCATAAAATTACAAGAATAAGGTCGTAACAATGCTAGAATAAACATTACTTAGGCTCCTGGCCTGTCAAACCATAGTGGAATAAATATAAAGGATATCTCTATTCCTACAGGTATGTATAGAAATCATTCAGTTTCAGATAAACCAATTTTATTACAGCGTCATAACTGAGCAGTTGCTTGTTAGCTAACTTAAGCTAGCAGAGCCCCATGATGGATGGCCTTAAAAAACAGTATAATGCTAGATATTTAAAGCGTATTAAATGTATTATTTGGAGCTGACAACCATATAAAATACCCCATCACATTTGTTCTGGTTGCCTCTGTAAATATTAAGCTTTTCCAAATACAGCCGCTTTAGTTTATAATAAAGCTGTAGTTTAACGCAGCGTTTTCAGCTGTTTTATGTCACGAAACAAACAGCCTAAAATGTAATTTTTTCCTAATGTTTAAAGAACGTATTTTAGTTGGGAAATAAAAAAAAAAGGGACTTAAAAATTAGAGGTTTTCACCATTACTACCAAAGCCAATATGGCGGCCTTCCATAGAAAGGTTAGAGGAAAAACATTTCTTTGTCATTAAATCAACCAGCTACTAGTAAAGTCGTAACATTACTAGAATAAACATTACTTAGGGTCCTGGCCTGTCAAACCATATTGGAATAAATATAAAGAATATCTCTATTCCTACAGGTATGTATAGAAATCATTCAGTTTCAGATAAACCAATTTTATTACAGAGTCATAACTGAGCAGTTGCTTGTTAGCTAACTTTAGCTAGCAGAGCCCCATGATGGATGGCCTTAAAAACAGTATAATGCTAGATATTTAAAGCGTATTAAATGTATTATTTGGAGTTAACAACCATATAAAATACCCCATCACATTTGTTCTGGTTGCCTCTGTAAATATTAAGCTTTTCCAAATACAGACGCTTTAGTTTATAATAAAGCTGTAATTTAACGCAGGGTTTTCAGCTGTTTTATGTCACAAAACAAACAGCCCAAGATGTATTTTTTTTTCCTGATGTTTAAAGAATGTATTTTAGTTGGGAAATGAAAAAAAGTGACTTAAAAATTAGACGTTTCCACCATTACCACCAAATCCAATATGGCGGCCTTCCATAGAAAGGTTAGAGAAAACGTTCCTTTGTCATTAAATCAACCAGCTACGATGGAGTATTAGGGCCAGGCTAGAGATTCAGTCTTTTAGCATCAAATTATGATCATCAACTGGAGGTTTGGATCTACTTTTCCCCAAGGGATTGTTTGAGCTTCACACTGAGCAAGGGATTCATCATCTCCACAAGAAACCGTTCAAGTAGCGCAGGAAATCTAAGTGGCAGTCAGCTCCTTCGTTCCTCAAGTAAACACCTCAACCTGGTTAAACCCTGTCCGCCCTCCAACAAGCAACAGCAAGTCTATTACTGGAACAACCCACACCAACTGTTGCCTTTATTCCTTTTTTTCAAATCAAGGACACAAATTTCCAACTGAGCCTGAATTAACCGCTGAATCTTCCCCTTCACTTTTCAGTCCCGGTTCGCCAGTGTTCAGAGCAGCACTGGACTCCTCTCTACCAACTCACAATAAACCTGTTAAACCTTCCCCTGGTCTCCCAGTTTGGTTTTTCTGCATGTGGGTCAGATCTTTGGATAAAATCATGACACTTTCTTTCTGAAACGGGTCGTGGTATGATGACTTCATTGTTCTCATTTTATTAATTCATTCTGGTAATATTATGACTTTGTTCTCATATTTAAAATAAAATAAAAAAATCTCTAGCCTGGCCCTAATGCTCCGTTGTGAAAAAACCTCAATGAACAACTGAATGAACGTGTTTTGTTGGATCAGTCCATGAGCCTCAGTTTGAATAGAATAGCAGAAATAGTCTCTGCCATTCAAACTTTGCATGATCTCTTGTTTTTATATCCCAACCTCAGACACCAGAATCCAGGTCGCCTGATTAACCTGCTGCAGTTTGCATGTGAATCAGTGTCTGCATCATCTGGAGTGATGTTTCATGCAGACGACAGCACGCTGTCCTTGGACAGTCTGTTTTTTGAGAAACCCATCGTGCATGAGGTGTAAGTACATCCGGCTGCCCCACATAATCCCAGGTTTTCTCGGAAATGACCCTGAACTGTGTTTGACAGAAGACCAATGGCGCCGGAGCACAGCTGGTGGCAACTGGAGGCACCGCCACCGCTAACTCATATTCCAGCCACTACGGAAATACAAGAGGAGGCTGAATCTCTCTCTGCCTTATATGGTATGCTCTGAATTATTCAAAACATTTTCACCTAGTTTGAATAAAATGCTTTGCATCAGTTGTTGTAGAAACCCTTAAAGTTTGGCTAGTTATTGATCATGTTAATGAACTTGAAAGTTCTTTACTTATATTCACGTAAACATCAGCATTACATTTCAGTAATGTCACCTCTCAACCACTGGCGGTTGGTGGAGTTTTTTCCATGGGGGCGCTATAATTTCAAAATAGACGTTTACTAGAAACCAATGAAATGTATATTAAGGTATCACACCAGTATATTTACATGAATGCCAGCAAAAGAAAACTAAAGGCTACTTGCGTAACCCCAGTTCTCAGAGTAGCACGAGGGAGATGTCTCACTATGGGATGCGACACTTGCCATATTCCTCGGAAGCTTTTATCTCATTTCGTTAATCCTGATTGGCTGTTGTATGCAGAGATGGGAAGTAACGAAGTACAAATACTTCGTTACTGTACTCAAGAAGATTTTTCTGATATTTTTACTTTACTACTTATTTTTATGGCAACTTTTTACTTCTACTCCTTACATTTTTACACAAATATCTGTACTTTCTACTCCTTACATTTTAAAAAAATTGGCTCGTTACTTTAGTTTTGAGTCATTTCAATGGAGTTACCGTTATTATTTTTCACGTCATCAATACCAAATTCAATCTAATTGGATGGGAATCTACGTTGCATTTGACGCACCACTACAAGATGTATCGACAGATTCGGCGGTATTCATTGGCGGCAAATCATTGCAGATTGGTGGCGGTGGCGTTAGCATAGCAGCATGGACGACGAGATGATTGAAAATGAACACAACGGAGATCTAGTCCTATTGGAAGACATCCATTTAAAATGTAGGCAACGGCATGAAAAAAGTGGTTTCTACTTTTACTTTTATACTTTAAGTAAATTTACAAGCCTGTACTTTGTTACTTTTACTTGAGTAAAGAAGTTTAATCAGTACTTCCACTTTTACCAGAGTATTTTTTAACACAAGTATCTGTACTTTTACTCAAGTACGGAAAGTGAGTACTTTTGACATCTCTGGTTGTATGATAATTGCCATCATGGCTTCATGTCAAGCTGCTGCCTACCTTTTCTGAAGCAGGAAAAAGACTAAAACAAAGTGAATCCAGTAGAACTTTTTTATTGCCTACCTGGAATGGGTGACAATAGTTGAAGAAACCTTTGGCCCAACAGTGCTGGATCGGGGCTCCACCCGATACTGGTATCAGTATCGGCACAACATTACTTGCCAGACATCTCATATCTAACGACCTCCAGCAGTCAGCACTGGGTGCCTTTAATTTTCTGATGAAAATGAAAAAGAGAGATCATATCTCTCCTATCCTGGCTTCTCTTCATTGGCTTCCTGTTAAATCCAGAATAGAATTTAAAATCCTCCTTCTCACATATAAAGCCTTAAATGGCCAAGCTCCATCTGATATCAGAGATCTGATTGTTCCTTATGTTCCTAACAGAGCACTTCGCTCTCAATCTGCAGGTTTACTAGTGGTTCCTAGAATTTCTAAAAGTAGAATGGGAGGCAGATCTTTTAGTTATCAGGCTCCTCTCCTGTGGAACCAAGGGTGTAACTTTGTGATGAAAGTTGGTGGGGACACTTGGGTGGGGGCTCATGGACCTACAGTTACACTTTCATTAGGATACTTTTCCAAAAATGAGCTCAAACATATATTTATTGAATGCTTTCCTATTGTTGAGAACACAAGAGAACCATAATACGCTGATATTTATATTTATAGATGTTTTTTGAGATGTCTTATAGTGCATTACATATATAGGGCCCAAAAACATAAATGCATGAAAAAAATAATTAATAAGAGCCGATTCCAATGCCAAAATTGATATATCACGCATCCCTAGAAGTACAATTTCAATTCCATCCAGAAAAAATTGGATATGTTGCATTTTAATTATAGCGTTGCATTTTTTGGTAAACTTTCTGGTAAACTTGGAGATATATTGTATTGCTTTTTGCATATCCCAGTAAATCTGTTTTACCTTTAAATCTGCAGCTCTCCCTACTTCTCTCTGTGCTCTGTTTAAAAAGATTTATGAACCTCTTTGCCAATATTATGATGCCAGAAACAACATTTGTCTGTTCAATAAGAAAACGTGTGAATTTTAAGCTGTAACTGGGAATCATTTTCCTCTGAGAATCCAAGCTTTTTTAACTACTAGTAAGAAGAAGTCCCTTTCTACCTTTAAGGCTAGGCTTAAAACTTTCCTTTTTGATAAAGCTTCTAGTTAGAGTGGCTCAGGTTATCCTGATCTATCTCTATAGTTCTGCTGCTATAGGCTTAGACTGCTGGAGGACATAGGGACCCCTTTTTCATCATTCTGCTTCATTCTATCTCTATTCTCCCACTCTGCAGAATCTGTTCAAAGGGAGTTTTTCCTCTCCACTGTCGCTACAAGCATGCTTAGTGTGAGGGATTGCTGCAGAGTCAATGAGTCGATGCAATCAGCTGGTTTTCCTTAGATAGAAAATTTTTAATCAATCTGACTGGATGATCTGGTAAAGTATGTTGTGAATCTGTGTTATAGAAATAAACTGAATTTAATTCTTTGCAACAACTCCATAAATGTCCAGGTTTTATACAGAAACCCAAAACATCCCCGCCTCCTTTACAAGAACTCCAGGCCTATTCTTCTGCAGGCAGTCGTTTCTACAGCAGCTATGATGAGGATGCAGGATATGAGGAGGCTGAAGGTGGGGTCACCGGCAGCCCCAGCGGGTATGACGGTTGCTGGGGCGATGCAGAAGGTTACACTGAAGGGAACTTTCTGAGCGGCAGAGATGGAAGTGAAACCCAGCTGGAGTCTCGTCATGCAGCCGTCGGCGGATCCCACCCTGGTCCACCTTTAAGAAGAAGGCAAGTGTTAACATTTTAAAAATAGATTTGTTAGTTTTGTTTCGTTTAAGCTCATTTTCGTTGTGGCCTGTTGGTATTTAAAAAAAACAAACAAAAAAACATAAAAATAATTAATTTCCTCCAGATAATTAATTTCTTTTTGTGGTTGGACTCGGTGCTGCCACAAGATGCTGTTCACCACAAACCAAAATAATAGCTTTTCAAGATGATGCAAAGTTAAATCTGATACTGTTACCATTAGTTATAAAACTAAGAAAATGAAGTGTACACTGCAAAAACGATCTGAAAATAAGTAAAAATTTCTTGAATCATGTGTATTTACCCTTAATTTGAGTAGATAAATAAGATGATCTGCCAATGGAATGAGTATTTTTACTCTTAAAGCTGAAGTCTGTAAGTTTTTAAAAATCACTTTTTTGTCATATTGGCTAAAACTGTCCCTATGCCCAGACAGCAGTACATTTGATATGTAACCTGTGAAAAAAACAGCTTCAATTGGTGCCGCCTACTGCCTGTATTTCAATCTGGAAAGAATAATTTGGGACGAGTCAAAACAACCAATCACAGCCAGAGGAGCGTCTGATGGAGTGTCAATCACAGCTCACACACGCTAAATCCCAACCCCCCCCCCCTTCTGGTCGCATGCGGTAGCCGCGCAGGTGCTGTGAGAGGGGTGGAGCTTGGAGGTGGGGCATGAGTGAAGCAGAGAGGGTGGGGGAGTGGCGTGAAACCTGTTTTTCTTCAAATTTTCAGTCGAAGTCCGCTCTCTTCTCAATGTTACAGACTGCAGCTTTAAAATAAGATATTTAGATAAAATGCACTTGAAATAAGACAATGCAATTGTGTTTTCTTATTTTAAATGTAAATTGTCTTATTCCATTGGCGAAATGTTTCTTTTACCTCCTCAATCCAAGAACAAATGCACTTATTTTAAGAAAAAATGACCTATCTAGGTTTAGATTTTTTGCAGTGTACGCGGTGTAACCGTTCCTTCTCCTTCTTCACTTCCTGAAGTTCCTCTTTTTCTCCTTCCTCCCGCCACAGCTTGTTTAAGAGTCCTGTGCTGAGCAGCGCTTCGTCAGCCGACGTTGAACTCACGAGCGGCGGTGCTAGCAAGGAAACGTTTCCACCTCAAACTCCCTGCTCCACCATGTCTCCCCTACCCTGCCTCCCTGCTCCTCTGGGCTCCTCTGCAGCGAACGTCCGACCCCTGCAGCAGGCGCCAGGCGCTCAAACCCTGGTCCGGACCGCAAAGAGAGCCTTGGTCCCTCCCATGACTCCTCAGCCGCTGCACATACAAGGTGCAATGACATAGACACACAGGATGTATCAGTTGAAACTCCTTTTTCTGCCAAGCTCTCCACTCCAATGAATGTCACATGTGAAACACATGTACCCCATGTGAAATTAACATGTGTAAAAGCACATGGATACGTACGGATTTGGACCATTTCCTGTTAAAAACATGTGATTTACATGTGGAAACGAGATAAACATGTGAATCACACATGATACACTTTCAATTATACATGTGAATTTGAAATGTTTGATATTGAAAGCACATGTGAAAAGTTACATGTTTTCATGTTACATGTTTTCACATGTGGAAAAGAGATGAACATGTGAATCGCACAGATAAGTCCATGCATACGTGTGGATTTGGACCATTTCATGTTAGAAGCACATATGATTCACATGCAATACACTATTTTTCACATATGAATTACATGTGAAAGCACATGTGCCTCACATAGGAATCACATGTGAAACATATAAAACACATAAATCACATGTCCCTTTTACATGGAACGTTCCATATCCATACGTATAAATGGACTTTTCTGTGATTCCTAAACATCAGCTCTCGTGTTTCACATGTGATTCAGCTTCATAGGATGAATATTTAGTCAAATATGAATGTGAACCTCAAATGTTTTGTAAGGTCATATAATGAGGCATCATCACCATAAGTTAGGTGGTGTGCATCCTTTCAAATAAAAAACAGATCCTCGACACTCTACACCAGAGGTCACGGATTAACAGACTGCGGTCCGGATCTGGACCCAACCTGATTTAAAACATTTATAAATTACTGCATGTTGTCCGACAACAGTGACTAACTTCCCTTGCTCCTCTTCTCCTGTTAATACGGTAAAGCCCTGGGGAGCGTCCGGCTCCAGGCTGCACGTGATCCAAATGAGCCAATGAGCTGTCAGTCTGGGTTGCTGCTGCTGCTACTTTTAGACACAGCAGGCAAACCTGTGGCGAGCCGGGCGATGGGAAAGAAGGAGAAGACCATGAGAAAAAGAGAGCAGAGAAAGTGTGGACTGCTGGAAGAACTGCGGTGAACTGCTGAAAGAAAAGTGAAATGGCGTGCTCAAAGATGACCCTGCACATTTAGAGGATGTTTGGCTCAACCTGCTGCTGTGAAGCAGGATTCTCCACCATGAACAGAATCAACAATAAATCTGGATCCAGGCTCAAAATGAGCTCCTTGATATGTGCTTGAGAATGGCTTAGTCTCCGGTTAAACCCAGGTTTAAAGCCTTGCAGGGCAGCCTAAAGCCCACTGCCAACATTAAGACAGAAAAAAGAAAGAAAAGAACAAACGATCAGTTCAGGGGTTTGAGAAAATATGGGAATCAGGAAATTATCTATAAACCAAACTGAATGATTGTTGTTCCTTACTTAAAAAAAAACAATTTTGATTTTAAAATAGAAAATGTTTCTATTTCTTTTTTTTTAATATTTTTTCATTTAAAAAGTCAATTTATAACATGGATACAAAAAAACCTCATTTTATTTCCATGTTAAATTCTATTTAATGTAACGGATTATAATTAAAAATGTCTCCAGACCTTTGCTGGTTGATGATTTTCTTTATTCGGACCCTGCTGGTTATTAATTGGTTACCCCTGGTCAGCAGGCTCAATTACAGACATGACTCAGTTCAAACGCCAGTAAGTCAGAAACCACATTAAGTTCAGAGCTGGAATTTGCCATTTAATCTATAGTGATATAAATAATTTCACATGCAGAATTTTAGCTGGATCAAGAGAACCAGGCTCAGTGTGAGCGGCCATCTGCTGAGGCCCACTGGGGTTCAAGGAGACAGAAGCAGACATAGAAAAAGAAGCATAGATACAAAAGGCAACTGTCAACCAGCTCCACAGGCGGCCCCGTCCAGGAAACACACAGCCAGGCAGACGAGCTCCGAGCCAGCTCCCATGTCAGAGGATGAAGAGAGCACATCCAGTTAGTCACAGTCAGAGAAACAGGACTACACTGGAAAACAGGCCAAGCTCCAACATCTAGAAACAAAGGTGTTGATGGCAGCAGCACAGCTGATATTTCTCTCCAGGATGGAGTCACAGCCAAACAGGAACAGACCAGATGAAGCTACTATGAGAAAAAGCAGAGAGAGCAGAACGTTAGAGATTGAACTAACAGATTCTGCAGAGTGGGAGAATAGATATCTTTCAATTGTTTCAGATCTCTCAATCACAATAAAAAAAATACAAATACTGTCATATAAATAAGATAATGAAGAAAAGCAAATGTAATTTTTGATTTGTTTCCATTTCAGGATCTTCTCCCTCTGAAGTTTTGCGACCAGTTTCAGAAATACGTATCCTTTTTCTCTGAAAGTTGAATGACGTCTGAAAAGCCTGAATCTTTTTACAAGTTGGACAATTTCCTTAAAAAACGCACAACTCAGCGGTTAAGTTCAGATCCATCTTCAGCGAGTTTCCCTTTTTTAATTACGTTCAGTCCAAAGCTTTGGATGATGTAAGGATAAAGACCAAAAAAAAAACAGCAATATTATTGATTTAGAGGAATAAGCTAAGATTGTGACTATGCTGGTTTTGCTTTGTCTGCAGGTTCTTTACACCAATAAGAACTTTGTGGCCTGCGCTCCCACTGGGTCGGGTAAAACGGTTCTGTTTGAGCTCGCCATCATTCGCCTGTTGATGGAGACACCAGAGCCCTGGAGAAACGTCAAAGTTGTATATAGTAAGAATTAGAGACGCACCAGTAGATCAGACAAATGCCATTTATCTCATTCTATGCGATTGGCTCTGATTGGTTAAAGCAAGGCTGGGTAACTTTGAGCCACTGGGGCGACAGTGGCGTTGGATGTAGGAGATTGCTCTGAAATCGAAGGATTGACGGTTCAAGCCCTGACTCCGACTTTCAGTGTCGTTGTGTCCTTGGGCAAGACCCTTCACCTGCATTGTCTACTGATGGTGGTCAGAGGGCCCGGTGGCGCCAGTGTACGGCAGCCCCGCTTCTGTCAGTGAGCCCCAGGGCTACAGTGTAACTTGCCACCATCAGTGTGTGCGTGAATGGGTGAATGAATGTGGTGTAAAGCACTTTGGTCAAGTCTCCTAACTTGAATAAAGGCGCTATATAAGTACATGCCATTTACCATTTACCACTAGACCTGTATCTTCTAGGTTTAACCCCCCTGAAAGCAACTGGCAATTAGATATAAGACCAGTTTGGACCAGCAGATTGAGAAGTCCTTAAAGGAATAGTACACCCAAACATGATTAGCCTTCATTTTCTACTCCCCCCCATGCTGAACAACACTCTGGAGTACTTTTTTGATATCTCAAATGCATCTGGAGATCTGGGAGGCTTCTTGCTGTCTGCTGACATTCAAATAATGGAGGTCTATGGCGCCCGAGGCAGAAAGGTCCATAAAAGTCCACAAAAAACGTGTCAATATTCCTCCATACTGCTCGTCCAATGTATTCCAAGTGTCCTGAGTGGGTAGCGTCCAGAATTTACTCGAAACGAAGTCATTTAGAATGTTTTTAGAGCATAAACAGTAGTGTATAGGATTTCCTGAAAGCGCGTTCACGACTCTACGGAAGCCGGCAGACCAAACCAGATGAAAGTGCGCATTCAGCTCGGCAAAGAACTCATGCTCTTCCTCAACACTGAAGTCCTCAGACATTTTTCTTTCGTTGTTTCTTTCTTTGCACAGGTAAACAGCACATTTCTACGCTTGCATTATCGGCAGAGCAGACGCTGAATGCGCACTTTCATCTGGTTTGGTCTGCCGGTTTCCGTAGACTCGTGAACGCGCTTTCAGGAAATCCTATACACTGGATATGCTCAAGACTAATCACGAAATTTCAGTTAATATCCATGTTTTCAAAAGCCGCAGCAGGCAGAATGACTTCCGGTTCAAGGGTCAAACGGCGCCGTCGTCCAATCAGCGATGTCTCATGTTTCCCACTGGTACCTACCTTTTCCGGTAGTTTATGTAATTGTGTTTTCCTTAATGTAGTTGCGCTTTTAGATTTGTAGTTGCAGTTTGTCCTTCAGGGCCACCGTACTTAAGCCATTAGGGACTTTTATAATTAACATTCTGCATGTCTAGAAATGTATTACAGATCTCCATATTCCTATTGTTGCTGGTCAGCGTTTGTATTATTTTGACAATGAAATTATGTATTTCAGATATCAGAAATACATTTTCAGTCAAGCTGATAAATGTCAAAACAACCCCTTAAAGTATGTAAACATTTCTATATATATATATAATTTGATTCTTACTAGTAATTTTCGTTTAGTTTTTTTTACTTTCTTAAATTCAGTTTCAGCTGGAAAACTTCAATTTAGAAAATCTGTTATAAAAGTTCCGTCCAGGAATGTGATTTTGACAAGAAAGAATTATATTTCAGTGATCTACAAATGAAACAAAAGAGAGAAGTGGTTTCAATAAGTGTAAAAACGGCCTGCCATAGAGGACTGCATCTAAACTTCAGCAGTAATCTTCTCCTTCGCCATCTTCCCCTCCTTTGCAGCTGCAGCGCTGCTTCCCTGTCTTTTAAAATCATTTTCCATTTTATTTGCATTTCTGCATTAAAATCTCTAGTTCCAGTGATGTAAAATTGGCACTTCTGATTGCCTGTTGCCATGGTGACTAATTGAATCTGGGCTGCACTGATAATGGCTTTTAATACTTGTTACGCACATGTTCAACTATAAGTCGACATAGTTAAAATGGATTAAACTAATTCATAGCAGCTGTTGTGAATCTGAAACTTAAGAGTTCCCGACTTTAGGCTAGATCAATTTAGAGTTTGGGATTTTAGTCTGAGTTTGTTCGACCGACTTCGTGAAACGGACCCCTGCTATATCTTTGATTTGAAAAAGCGCAATTTGAAAAGGAGTCAATTTATAAAATTCAATCTGAAAACAAATCCAAATATGAAATAAAATGTTGAAAAAGGAATATAAAAATATATTTAGAAAATATATAGAAAAATATATCAGTGCCTGTTAAAACAATTGTTTTTATCCATCCATCCATTATCTGACACACTTTATCCCTGCTGGGGTGGCGAGGGGTGCTGGTGCCTATCTCCAGCTGTCAATGGGCGAGAGGCGGGGTCCACCCTGGACTGGTCGCCAGTCCATCTCAGGGCAACACAGAGACAAACAGGACTGTGGGAGGAAGCCGGAGTAACGGGAGAGAACCCACGCTCAGAGAGAAAATGCAAACTGTTTGGGTGTTTTTATCACCTCTGCTCAGTTATAAAAAAAACCTGAAACAATAAACGGACACATGGAGGCGCGTCTTGTGAACACACTCACTGTTTTCCTCTCACCAGTGGCTCCCATCAAAGCTCTCTGCAGCCAGTGTTACGACAACTGGAGCAAGAAGTTCGGCCCCCTGGGTCTGACCTGCAAGGAGCTGACGGGCGACACAGAGATCGATGACTTCTTCGAGATTCACGACTCCCACATCATCCTGACCACGCCTGTGCGTTCTGCAGCTCTGCATCCAAATCGAGCTAGTGCAACAACAGAGAACCTTTTTACATTTCATTCACCGTTTGTTTCCCATTGCAGTTAACTCTGTGTTCATTTGTGTTTGTTATCTTGTTTATTTATTAGGAAAAGTGGGACAGCATGACAAGGAAATGGAAGGATAACTGTTTACTGCAGCTTGTGAGACTCTTCCTCATTGATGAGGTCAGTGTGTGATGTCAGCTGCGTCACTTTCAGAGGTGATAAGTGTCGTCCGATAGAAGGTAGATAATCTTGTTCACTGTTAGAAAAAATCGCATATTAGACAAACTGGTCTCTGGCTTTAGCATGTTAGAAATGTTTATAACCGTTTCTATGTATTTTATTTAGTATTGAAGTCGTAGGGAAGACATTTTTAAATGTCAAATCATTCTGGCTTAAACATGTATATAAATATAATCTTTATCAGATTATATTGTCTCAAAAATTAGAAAATTTCTATAAAAAAAAAAATCCTGTCTAAAAATCTGTTTTTAGAATCAATTATTGTTGTAAAACAAATGTTAGCTAAAAATCATTAAATGAGGAGCTCATTAAATTAGTTGTCCCCCATCTAACCCCACAGCTGAATAAAATCCTCCATGTTGTGCGTGTCTCTGTTGAAGTGAAGCTCCAGTCTTATTCTGGCTTTAACGCTGTACTTCCACAGAACCATGGCATCAAGGTGAGCTCCTTCCTGCAGTCTGTCTCTGTGGGATAATAAACGGCCAATCCAACTTTTGGCTTATTTTCCCTATTCTGGCAAACTCCTCCTATAAAAAAGAGCATTTTTAAAAGCCGTCCCAAAAGAAAAACACAAAATAAAATGCTAAAAATTGTTCTTCAGTCTTGTGCATTCCATAAAAACATGGAACATATTTTCAGACAGACCGCAGAAATGACACTCGTTTAATACACCCTGATTATTAACCCATAAAAACAGTTTTTTAACTACCTCCTTTTCAGAGACATAGACAGGTATGGGGCATTGCAGGCTAACAGAGAAGCCAAACGACCCCCATTCCAAAGGGGGGGACCCGTTCTTCCGTTTCTATTTGCATGTTTTTTAAACTAAAACAAGACTTTGTTGGGCTGCTGGATAAAACCTGGAACTAAACGCTATTTCTGACATTTTGGATTGAAAAATCTTCCTGGATGGGAAACTGTTTGCGTAAAATCCTCCACTGGAGATCACCAATGGGCGTGTATAAAGGTCTCCACTTAGGGCTTTTATATAAAGTTTTTCTGTCCAGATGCAGACCGGACGGTTCTGAAGGTGTCGTTGGTTTATTGCTTTTGTGCTAAAGAGCTTTCTGGTCCATATTGGATAAAACCATTCTCTGTAGGTCAAGGCTGGAGAGCAGAGGTTCGCTTTCCTGAAAACAACTAAAATGAAACAAAATGGAAAAAATCAAAATCAAAGTGTAACTGATAAAATAAAAAGAAACTTAAAGAGAAATCCACAAAGGGCAGAATCATGACAAACTATTTCAGCCATAATGTTATCGTGATTAAAACAGGCTAAGGCAGGCAGCTTTGATATTAATTAGTTTGTCCTAAAATGTGTTTCTGATATCTGAAAGGCCATATTCCCATCTTTACTGGTCAGCATTTGTATTATTTTGACTATGAAGAAGTGCATTTCAGATATCAGAAATAAAGGAATTGAGTCAAGCTGATAAATGTTAAAACGGCCACTTAAAATGACTAAACATTTCTAGATTATATAAAACTTAATTCTTAGTAGTACAATTATGTTTTTTTCAGTTTCTGAAATTCTGTTTCTGCTGCAAAAATTTAATTTACCGTAGAAAATATGTTATTACAGTTTCTATGAGCAGGTAGATTCGGATCATGAAGAATCGATTTTAGTGATCTACAAATTGAACAACAGAGATAAGAGTGCTTATAATAAATGTCAAAACGGCCTGCCATAACAATCGTTTGTCACTTTTTAACATATTGGAGGACTGTCAGTCACAGAATGGTTAGCAAGCAGCGTCACCGGTCAGCATGCTTTACTAAGCTATATCTTAACCAGGGGCGGCCCAAGGCATAAACAAAATAAGCTTATCCTTCACCTCAACTGACAGATGCTCACATTAAGCAATAAAATACTGTTGTTAACGTCCTGCAGACCAATAAAAACGCGTCTTTTCTGACTAGTTCAGCGGAAAGCCCGCCCCCAGAAGTGAAGAGGATGTGGAAAGAATTCAATCCATCAAACTCAATCTGAAAAACAGACATTTTAAGAAACAAACTGAAAATATGAAATAAAAAAAAGTAAATAAGAAGTTTAAAATATTGTGTAAAAAGTATTGAAAAAAAAAAACTAAACCATAAAAGAAAACAGTAAAGTTACTCTCTAAACTAGAGGTCACAAATTAGCGGACCCAACCTGATTTAAAAATGAATAAATTACCGCATGTTGTACGACTGGGCCACTATAAATGTGTTTCCAGGTGCACGTGGTGAAGGACGCCACCCGTGGCGCCACCTTGGAAGTGGTGGTGAGCAGAATGAAGGCGGTGAATTCCTACAGAGCATCTCAGAGCCCAGAGGGAAGCTTCACCATGAGGTTTGTGGCCGTGTCGGCCACGGTCCCCAACGTATCAGACGTAGGTGTCTGCGACAGATTCCCTTTGCTGTGAGATCAGACATAAAATGGCGACTGACTCCAGAACCGCTCTGCTTCCATCAGATAGCAGACTGGCTGTCCAACGGGAGCGAGCCTGCTACGTTTCTGAGCATGGACGAGAGCCACCGTCCCGTAAAGCTGAGAAAGGTGGTCCTGGGATTCCCCTGCAGCGCAACGCAAACAGAGTTCAAGTTCGACTTGTCACTCAACTACAAGATGGCTAACATCATACAGACTTACTCTGACCAGAAGCCCACGCTGGTGGTGAGTAGACCAGTTAAAAGGATTAAATAAATGTATACAGCAGATTACATAGAGTCAGGAGGGACGGACATGCAGATACCGACACACAGAGGTGTCAACAGGAATCATTTTATAGAAGATAAGTATCAACTTTAGCCTTTTACTCCAGTAAGTGTAAAAGTACCATTTTTAAAACTACTTAAAGTATAAAAGTAAAAGTAATGCAGGAAAAAATGTTAAGGACAGAAGCTTTACTACTATAAATTTTTTTTTTTTTAGAATAAAGTCGTAACATTACGAGAGTAAAGTTGTAATTTTAAGAGAATAAAGTATAAAGTCATCATTCCAAAAGCATTTAAAGACAATTACAAGGTGGGCTTTCTATCACCTGAAGAACATTTCCAGGATTAAAGGACTAATGTCTCAGCATGATCTGGAAAAACTAATCCATGCATTTATTTTTTAGTCGAATTGATTACTGCAACAGTGTTTTCACAGGTCTGCCTAAAAAGTGGATCAGACAGCTGCAGCTGATCCAGAACGCTGCTGCCCGTGTCCTCACTAAGACTAAGAAAGTAGAGCACATCACCCCGGTTCTAAAGTCCTTCCACTGGCTCCCTGTATCTCAGAGAATAGACTTTAAAATACTTCTGTTAGTCTATTAATCTCTGAATGGCTTAGCACCTAAATACATCACAGACTTGCTATCAGTGTATCAACCCTCCAGACCACTCAGGTCTTCTGGCTCCAGCCTGCTCTGCAGACCTAGAACCAGAACTAAACATGGAGAAGCAGCATTTAGTTCCTATGCTCCACTTATCTGGAACAAACTTCCAGAAAACTGTAAAAGTGCAGAAAGCCTGAGTTCCTTTAAATCAGGACTTAAAACATATTTGTTTAGGATTGCCTTCCACTGTTCTAGTTAAACAGTTCAACTGAAACATCATTAGTTCAACTTTTTTATTTTCTTTAGTCCAACAGTTTTTATTATTCTTTTTTGTTTCTGCATTTTCTATTTTATTTTTTTATTTTTTCCCCTTCTTGCTTTGATTCTGATTTATCTTCCTGTATTTTAATCATGTAAAGCACTTTTCATTGTCTTTGTACTGAATTGTGCTATACAAATAAATTTGCCTTGCCTTGCCTTGCCTTGCCTTGCCATCATACAACAACCCGTTTCAGAAAGAAAGCTTGGAGCTCCGCCCAGCAGATGACGTCAGACCAGCTCCACCAATCAGCAACCAGAGTCCACTTTGACATCCTGCCCAGTTTGATGCTGCTAAAATTTCCTTATTTGTCAAACTGATGCTAAAGTATAACTTCCCATGATGCTCCACATTCCTCATTTTAGGGAAGACAGTTCTTTTTTTAAGAGTTGTCATAAAAAACGACTTTATTCTCGTAATTTTTCTTATTTATTCTCATAATGTTATGACTTTATTCTTGAAATGAAATAAAAAAATATTTAGCCTGGTCCTAATACTCCGTCGTAACTCAACTACCCTATTAAAGGAACATTTTTCTACATTTCTGGATGATAACTACCTTAGACTTAATTTTCTTAGTTTTATAACTTATGGTAACAGTCAAATTTAAATTTGCATCATCTTGAAAAACTGTTAATTGGTATTTAAAAAAATAAAAACCATGAAAATAATTAGTTTCATCCAGACAATTAATTTCTTTGTGGTTGGACTCGGTGCTGCCCCAACTTGTTGCTCAGCACAAACCAAAATAAGTAGTTTTTTACGATGATGCAAAGATAAATGTGATGCTGTTACCATTAGTTATAAAACTAAGAAGTCTAAGAAAGTTATCGTCCAGAATTGTAGAAAAATGTTCCTTTAATGGAGTAGAGCAGTAAAGCTTCTGGAATTAACAGTTTTCCTTCATTACTTTTACTTTTATACTTTAAGTTGTTTTAAAAATGACAGTTTTACACTTTTACTGGAGTAAAAAGCTGAAGTTGATCCTCTAACTTCTATTAAAGTGTTTCTAAACAGCAGGATTTATACTTCTACTAGAGTAATAAACATTAATACTGGTGCAGCGGATTGTTTTTTTTTTACTTTTTTTTAAAAAACTGTTAACAGTAAAAAAAAAAAAAAAAAAAGCTAATAACATAAATCCAAGCATAACTGAAAACCCGAGGTGAAACCTAAGCAGAATCAAATATTCAAGAATAGTAGATCATGACAATTATTTCAAGGATAATTATTTTTTTTACCTTGTTTTCTGTTTTTGTTCTTATTTTTCTGACGTGGTTTAGTTCTGCTCAACCAGAAAAGGAGCTCAGCAGTCGGCTGCGGTTCTGGCTAAAGACGCCCGATTCATCATGAGCTACGAACACAAGCAAAGGTGCAGTTCTTTCCCCCCTGGATTAATCGTTCAATAACAATATGGCGGTTCTGTTGGCCTTATGAGATCTGACTGACTTTGCAGGTTGATGAAATATGCAAACTCCATCCTGGATACAAAGCTCAGAGGTAATGCATATATTTAATACTTTCACAGGTTTGGTGGTCTGCTTTTTAGTAAATGCAGATCCAGTCTTTGATAAATTTAAAGCACTGACAAGTTCTGTTCATTGCAAAACTATTCACACCATTTGAACTCCTCCACAGTTTATTTACAACCACAAACCTAATTTAAAGGTCATAGCTACAACTCTTTAATGTTATTTTCTTTAAAAGAGCGCATACTTGCAGAAGGTCCATAGTGCCTCACGATGAATTATAAAGTTTTCTGAAAGAAATAAAAAAAATGCTTATATGAATTGTTTTGATTTCTGCAATAAAGGTTGGAGGGTTTAAAATATATACATGTTTACTTCTGGTTATGAAGGCACTTATTTAACCCCCCCAAAAAATTGTGTTTGGCTTATTTTCCAGATCTGATGATGTTAGGAGTTGGTTACCACCATGCAGGCGTTGACTTGTCTGACAGGAAGCTGGTAGAAGAAGCTTTTACCCTGGGAGACCTACCTGTCCTTTGTGAGAGCAAACATAGATGACAGGGAAAAAAAACATTTTTTATTTTTTTATGACTCAGGAAATGTTAATGTATCTGTTTTTTTTTAAAGAAAATTATAACAGGAGATGAACCAAAAGATGAAAAATTAATGTTTTTTTTTCCAACATCAAAGAAATTAATTGTCTGGATGAAACTAATTATTTGATGGTTTTTATTTTTTTTAAATACCAACAGGTCATAATGAAAATGAGCTTAAATGAAACAAAGCCAATGAGTCTACTTCCAAAATGTAAGGAATAGAAGTAAAAAGTTGTCTAAAAACTATGCTGGTGACGATTCTCAGTCATCCAGGTCATATTTATTCCAAAAAAGTTAAAATCAATCCACTGTTCTTTGTTTCCAAGTCTGAAGACGTTTCTCTTCCATCCAGGAAGATTTTTCAATTCAAAATGTCAGAAATAGCGTTTAGTTCCAGGTTTTATCCAGCAGCCCAACAAAGCCTGGTTTTAGTTTAGAAAACATGCAAATAGAAACGGATGAACGGGTCCCCCCCTTTGGAATGGGGGTCGTTTGGCTTCTTTGTTAGCCTGCAATGCCCCATACCTGTCTATATCTCTGAAAGGGGGGTCGTTAAAGGGAATTGCTGGCCTGGCTGAATAGGTGAGGTCTTCTGTTCTCCTGTAAAGGGGTTGGAGCTGCGATGATTTCTAAACAGGAACAAGGGCTTTTTGGGTCTGTAGAGAACAACGATCTTTCAGCTTGGAATATAGACAATTTCCTGATTCCCATATTTTCTCAAACCCCTGAACTGAGCGTCTGTTATTTTCTTTCTTTTTTCTGTCTTAATGTTGGCAGTGGGCTTTAGGCTGCCCTGCAAGGCTTTAAACCTGGGTTTAACCGGAGACTAAGCCATTCTCAAGCACATATCAAGGTGCTCATTTTGAGCCTGGATCCAGATTTATTGTTGATTCTGTTCATGGTGGAGAATCCTGCTTCACAGCAGCAGGTTGAGCCAAACATCCTCTAAATGTGCAGGGTCATCTTCGGTCCGCGCCGGCCAGGTCAGGATCCGCTATTGCAATCGCACCAAACAGGAAAAAGAACTTCAAGAAGATCCGGTTTGTCAAATTAAAACATATTAACAACAGATCGGTAATAACTACAAATTAAAGCATAATTCTTATATATTTCAAAAAACTAACACAGTTTATTTAAAAGATTGGATGCAAACTATTGGTCCTTCAACAGACCAGGAAGCAGATTTCTCATCTCCATCAGAAACATCTGCTGGATGCTGATGGGGATTTTTTTAATATGTCATATTAAATTAAGCGTTCATTTCTGCATGTTTTGCTCCTATTAATTTAATGATAATATCGTTCATGCTGTCCTCGAGCTCCGAGGATAAATCAGAGCTCAGCGATACGGGAGGAACAGCGGAGGCTGTAGGCTTTGCTTTGCGCAGGAGGTCTGGATGCTGCGGGGCGGAGAGGAGACAAATATGTGGGATTTTAGGGTAACAGGAGAAGCGGCACAAGTGACGTTTAGAGACTGTCGTCAGACAACATGTGGTAATTTATAAATGTCTTAAATCAGGTTGGGTCCGGATGAGCCAGCAGGTGTGTCCGGATTAATAGTTAACTATTTCATCTGTTGTTTTTAAATTTTTTTTATCTCAAATAAATAAAGAATTCCAACTTTCCCGATAATACCTTTACTTAGCTTTACTGTAAATTTGTGGATCTGGTCAACACTGGAAAAACGATCTAGAAATAAGTAAACATTTCTTAAATTAAGTGTACAGTGAACCCTCGTTTATCGCGGAGGTTACGTTCCAAAAAGAACCCGCGATAGGTGAAATCCGTGAAGTAGAAACCTTTATTTTTTTTTTTTACAGTTATTATACAATGAAATACTCCATACAACATTGAAATCAAGGAACAAATTCTTTTTACAGGCCCAAGTAGGGATGCACGATATTGGGATTTTGGCCGATATCCGATATGCCGATATTTTAAAACTCATGTAGCCGATAACCGATATCGATACCGATGTTAAAGCTGGACAAAAATAAGTAGTCATTGAAAATAGCAGTTTTGTTATCCATTTCTGACACTTTGAAAAATAATATACTCAAATATATTTTCATATGCTGATATCAAATAGATTTTTAAAAACGCGGTATCGATCTATTTTACTTTCAAAATCTCGTGAAATTCCATCGTTCTGTTACAAACTCTCGTGATATTTTGCAAATTCTTGTGAGATTTTGTTAGTAAAATAGATCGATACCGCGTCAATATATCAACATATAAAAATATGGCAAAATTTCGTGAATTTTCGGGGGATTTCGTAGCATAACGATGACATATAGCAATATTTCATTAGTAAAAGAGATTGATATGGTGTTTTTAAATGGCAATATATCAGCATATGAAGATATTGGGATATTTTAATGCATCAATATTTTTTCCCTCGTCTTTAGAAGTTTTTAAGTCTGTAAAAAAGAAGTTTTTGAGGAAGAAGAAGAAGAAGTATTTTTTTTTTTTTTTAGACTTTAGAAACTCAGAAGCTGATCAAATATCGGGTTAAATATCGGTGGGGGGGCCGATGTCCGATATTCAGTTTTAAGGCCGATACCGATAGGGGGCCGATTATATCGTGCATCCCTAGGCCCAAGCATTTGTTTAACAAATAAAAGTACGGTATAAATGTTGTTAACTACTGTACTGTACTGTAAAATAATATAGTTATAAATAAATAAGTAATAATTTTAATCATCAATACAAAATGAAGTGTTAATATTGCGGGGATCATAACCGCCCCGCCGTGACGGATTGGAACAGGAGAAAATGAAAAATGATTATGAAAAAAAATACAAAGTACAGTAGGACAAATAGTGACTGACATGTACAGTACAGTATTTCACTGCTGTTTGACGGAGCCGCTGCGTCCTGACTCTGCTCTGTGGCGTTTTTTTCTTCTAAAGCCTGCGTTGTAGGTGTGTTTTTTGGAGAGAAGAACATAGTTATCAGTAGTTGTCGCTCTTTTTTTTCTGGGCCAAAAGATCCTTATAAACCGACATGCCACCATCGATTATGTTCGACAATAAAGTTTAACAATGCATGATGCAAATCCGTGAAGCAGCGAGACCGTGAAAAGTGAACTGCGTTATAGCGAGGATTCACTGTATTTGCCATTAATTTGAGTAAGTAAATGAGATAGTTTGCCAATGGAGTGAGTATTTTTACTCTAAAAATAAGATATTTAGATCTTATGCATTTGAAATAAGACAATGCAATTGTGTTTTCTTATTTTAAGTGTAAATTGTCTTGTTTCATTGGCAAAATGTCTCTTTTACCTCCTCAATCCAAGAACTAATGCACTTAATTTAAGAAAAAATTTCTAATCTAGATTTAGATTTTTTTCCAGTGAACAGTTGCCTTTTGTATCTATGCTTCTTTTTCTATGTCTGCTTCGGTCTCCTTGAACCCCAGTGGGCCTCAGCAGATGGCCGCTCACACTGAGCCTGGTTCTGCTGGAGGTTTCTTCCTGTTCAAAGGGAGTTTTTCCTCTCCACTGTCGCTACAAGCATGCTTAGTGTGAGGGATTGCTGAAGAGTCAATGAGTCGATGCAATCAGCTGGTTTTCCTTAGATAGAAAACTTTGAATCAATCTGACTGGATGATCTGGTGAACTGGAAAAGATGACATGATGTGAATTGGAGCTATAGAAATAAACTGAATTGAAATTGAATAAACTGAACTTTTGCAGACTTGTGTTAACGGGATGCAGGCGTCACTATAAGTTGTTGTGTCCTAGTTACAACTCGGACGCTGGCCATGGGCGTGAACCTTCCCGCTCACCTGGTAGTGATCAAGTCGACAGTGCAGTACGTGGCCGGCTCCTGCGAAGAGTACAGCGAGGCTGACATCCTGCAGATGATTGGCCGGGCCGGACGGCCTCAGGTTGGAACACATAAACCTTTGCCGTGAAGTTTGGTCAGAAACACTTTGAAGTTTTAATGCCTTCTTAATCTCCCAGTTTGATACGTCAGCAACAGCAGTGATCATGACCAAGGTTCAAACCAGAGAGAAGTACATGAAGCTGATGAATGGAATGGAGATCATTGAGAGCAGGTAGGACAAAGAGCTGCTTGTTTTCATCCCCCACCCCCTTTTTTTTTTTGCTTATCTCATTCTCTCCTGCAGAACTGTAGCACATGAGGTAACAATACTCTGTCCTCTCCTAGCTTACACCGTCACCTGATGGAGCACCTGAATGCTGAGATTGTTCTCCAAACCATCAGTGATGTCAACATGGCTCTAGACTGGATCCGCTCCACTTTTCTCTACATCCGAGCTCTTAAGAACCCCTCTTACTATGGTCAGTCTCTGAATTACAATCCACTGTCCATTTTCTCACATAAAAAAACCAAATCTATTCTTTAAGGCTCTATATCACGGACAATCACAAAGAAACTCATAATATGTAGAGTGATAAAAACTGGAGAAAGGTTTCAGGGCCTTTAAAGCCTTCACTGCTGGCCTAAAGTCAACCAGAAACACTGACCTATACTCACAACCTAAACGCTTATTTTCTTCTATCCAAAGATCTCATGACGAGAGTGGACAGTCAGAGGGAGGAAAGCTTATGATCGTATCATGCACAAGGAAAGAGTTTTATGCTTTTATGTCACCAAAGTCTCCACTAACGCAGAAATAGGTTGCTAGATATGGGGCTATGTGTTTTTTTAAAATAAAGATGGTATAGTTAGAGTGGCTGAGGTTAACCTGAGCTATCGCTATAGTTCTGCTGCTATAGGCTTAGACTGCTGGAGGACATAGGGACCCCTTTTTCATCATTCTGCTTCATTCTATCTCTATTCTCCCACTCTGCAGAATCTGTTAGTTCAATCTCTAACGTTCTGCTCTCTCTGCTTTTTCTCATAGTAGCTTCATCTGGTCTGTTCCTGTTTGGCTGTGACTCCATCCTGGAGAGAAATATCAGCTGTGCTGCTGCCATCAACACCTTTGTTTCTAGATGTTGGAGCTTGGCCTGTTTTACAGTGTAGTCCTGTTTCTCTGACTGTGACTAACTGGATGTGCTCTCTTCATCCTCTGACATGGGAGCTGGCTCGGAGCTCGTCTGCCTGGCTGTGTGTTTCCTGGACGGGGCCGCCTGTGGAGCTGGTTGCCTTTTGTATCTATGCTTCTTTTTCTATGTCTGCTTCTGTCTCCTTGAACCCCAGTGGGCCTCAGCAGATGGCCGCTCACACCGAGCCTGGTTCTGCTGGAGGTTTCTTCCTGTTCAAAGGGAGTTTTTCCTCTCCACTGTCGCTACAAGCATGCTTAGTGTGAGGGATTGCTGAAGAGTCAATGAGTCGATGCAATCAGCTGGTTTTCCTTAGAGAGAAAACTTTGAATCAATCTGACTGGATGATCTGGTGAACTGGAAAGTGACCTGAGATGACATGATGTGAATTGGAGCTATAGAAATAAACTGAATAGAATTTAATTGGTAGGGGGTTCTGAAAATGTGCTAAATTTAGTGACAAAAACGCTACGTCGGCAACACTACCCGAGCAGATCTGACCACCTGAGCAGATCTAGTGACTTCAGTCGTATTGTTATGCTACAAGCATTTAGCTAGCACTAGCTAGCATCATTACACTAACTACAAGCATGTAGATGTTTCAGTTTTTTCATTACCTCTAAAGCTTGTTTGTCCAAAGTCCAATTTTTCAGGACTTTACTGTAACGTTTTTTTGAAAGGCACTTACTTCTACTGCATGCATAGATCTGCATGCTAGCTGGAAGTTTTAGTTCTGTGGTAGGAAACCCACTTTAAACTTACTGCCACTTATTTAATGTAACAAAATCCAAATTGTTGGCTTCTGTAAGATTATATTGGAATTGCCCAGCCCTTCTCAGGGCTACAATTAAATCGAAGAATAGCTAAAAAGAGTAGAAATTACTGCTCTGCTGGAACTCAGTTCACAGCTGAGCAAAAAAAAAAAAAAACTTTTAATAAACTTTTTCAAAAATGTTCTGCTACATTTTCCCTGTCCAGCAGCCAAATAAAAAAGGGCATTAAAAGTAGAAACAGTCCAGAGACAAGGGCGGATTTAGGAAATTTGGGGCCCTAGTCAAAAACAGGCAGGGGGCCCTCTGAACTGAGAAGACAACACATAAAACAGACCCGTTATACAGATAGAGAAATGTTAATAGAATAGACATCCATTATCTGTTCTAGGTTGTGTCCCTCTCTTCTTGTCCCTTTTCTTCTTGTTTTCCTCTCTATGTTTTGTACTCAGCTGACTTTTCATGCTGTCTCTAAAGGAATGAAAGATTTTTTCCAAGCACTAAGCTCACTTAGCTGATTGCTCCTTCCTGTGTTTCCAAAAAGGCCAAAGTAAATAACCCAGTCCTTCTTTTCACTGTAGACAAGCCATGATCTGCTTATCTGTTCTCCATTTTTCATTTGGATGAAATAATAGCTGCATGAATCATGACAGCAGACAAGATAGAGGAGAGCAGGAGGCGGGGTTACCAACCTACTCGCTCTGGAGAGCAGAGTTCGCTGCTTTTAGATGTTGTCTCCAAAGTCTCCAGTAGCAGAAAAAAGTCTCTAGATTTGGCGCTAGGAGCTTTTTAGAAATCAAAGTGCTAGAGGGGTCTGAAAAGTGGCTAAATATAGCGACTAAAGCGCTAAGTTGGCAACACTGCTCTTTGCATGGTTTGTTTTCAAATGGTTTGCTGCTGTCTGTTTGGACCTTACTGAACATGTGCAGCAAATGGACTGATCCAATATGGTGGACACTGATGGGGGGGGCTGAGACACACTTAATATTATAAGTTGTATCAACCATATGTAAACAGAGTTTTATGGGGCCCCCAGGAACATGGGACCCTAGGCAGCTGCCTAGTATTGCCTAATGGTAAATCCCCCCCCCCCCCCCCCCCCGCCAGAGGGTGATAACTTTAAAGGAGCTGCAGAGCTCCAAGAAAAACATGAGTCTTTTGCCTTTGTAGAATCGTTGAAAGACTGGAAAGACCGTTCTGACACAAAATCCAAGTGAATGAACTATTTGGTTGTAAACTTCAAAGCTAAAAACGTTTTTCAGCATCTCTTGTCATCCTATGTTTACTCCTCTATCCTCACTTTCTGCTCAGGTTTCTCTACCAACATTGACCAATATGGCATTGAAGCCAAACTCCAAGGTGAGTGCTAACTGAAACATTTTAATCATTCTGAATAGAGCTCCAACAACCAGCTAGCTGCTAACAGTGTTCCTCTTGTCAAGCTAAAGTCTGATTACTCTGTCTTCTTCAGAACTGTGTCTTAAGAACCTCAACTCTCTGTCCTCCATTGACTTGATCAGCATGGATGAGGATATCAACATCAAAGCAACTGGTAGAAAACCTTTAAGTCTCAATTTAGTGGTTTGAAAGAGCTTTTCCTTGTGTTTACCTGGAGACGCTTGTTTTGTTTCGACAGAAGCGGGCAGGCTGATGGCGAGGTATTGCGTTGCCTTTGAAACCATGCAGCTGTTCAGCAGAGTGACTGGCACAGAAACCCTGCCTGAGCTGGTAGGCTCTCTAACCTCTTAACATCCACCTAATTTTGGGAAATTCTCACCTATTTTGCATCCCAAATGCTAAAAGGAAATAACTTAGGATCTCTAAGCCCAAATTACATTATTTGGAAACTGACAACTTCTAGTTTGAGGTGAAAATTGGTGAAAATTCTAGATGAAAATTGGGTGAGTAAAACACAGTCCAAGCTGCATCCGTTCAAACCTGACTCAAAGTAGTTTTTTTATTCTAGAAAATAATAAGTCTTCTTTGAACCGCAGTAATAAAGACCTGCTTGCTTGTTGTGGCTGCTTTGTCATGTTTACATTCTGACATGCTGCTATGTCTGTGTTAATTGTGCTTTGCTGCTCACTGTGTCCATAAAATGAACTAGGTGGTTGAATTGTGGAGAATCTAAGTTTTCCAACGATGTCTAACATGTCTATTGGTAAACGTTTTATAGGTGTAAATTTCATGCATTCTGAGTTATTAGCTGCAAACGCTTTAAAACGCTTTTTTGAGAGGCTAAACAACAAAACTGGTTTTGTGTCAAAATGGTTAAAATGGAACTCCTGTTGGTGCAGATGCATGACTATTTTTAAGATTTGATGAAAACAAAAATCCAGACTAAAGTCGTTTTATGTGCAGGTTGATCTGGTGTCAAAGAGCAAGGAGTTCAGAGACGTTCAGTTAAGGGTGAATGAGAAGAGGCCGCTGAACACTCTGAACAGAGACAGGAACAGGACAACCATCAGGTCAGAATCACTTCAGATCACAGGTGTCAAACTCAGAGCCTTCCTCTGCAGTGTATCCATCCCACAAGAGACAAAAATGGGATTCATGTCATAAAGCTGAAGTAATGTTCTTTTAAAGCTGCATTCACGACGGGCGCGTTCTGGGCATCGGGTTTACATGCAAATTCTATGGGGGGCGGCGTTAAGGGGTCCAGCATCGCATCTGAGCTTTGGTAGAGACGCATTTCGAGTGTCCTGGCATCCGAGCATCTGAGCATTCGATGCTGGACTTCAGTAAATTCAATCTGACTAAATCACACGAAGAGAAAAGACAATTAGAAGAAATTTATTGATACAATTAATGTCATGATGTTCTAAGAGATCTGACCCACATGCAGGAAACCACTCAGAGAACCAGAGTAAAAGTTTAACAGGTTTATTGAAATAATCAATAAGGTTGATCCAGGGTAACTCAGAGAGCTGGTGAACCGGAACTGGAAGTGAGAAGGGAAGTTCAGAGGTTAGTTCAGGGTCCGTGGGAACTTTGAACAACGTCTTGCAAAAATCAGAGATAAACGGGACTCACGTTAGCAGAAAAAGGTTCTCTTCCCAGAATCCAGTCGGTGTGGGTTTATCCAGAGATTGGGGGGCTCGTTGGAGGGCGGACAGGTTTTAGGTTGAGTTGGTTCCTTGAGGAGCAATGAAGCGGACTGCCACTAAGATTTCCAGGAGAACTTGAACGGGTCGTGTGGAGATTAATCCCCTGCTCAGTGTGAAGCTCAAAACAATCCTTCCAGGGGGAGAAAGAGAAAATTCCAGATTACAGGATGACTTCCTGTCGAAAAGGCAAAGACAAAAACAAAGTTAGAACTCAGCTAAACTCAGCTTGGCTAGACTACCCAAAACTGGCAAACACTCTGGCGACGAGGTAGTGGCAGTCCACCGATTAAGAGTCCTCAGATAATGAGGCAACCAGCCGCAGGTGTGTGGGAGGACCAACGAGAACAGGGTGCCACCTGGTGGTGGAAGGAGAGAACACCAAAAACAAAACACAGCCCACACACACAGCTTGGATAACACAGGTTGAGAGAACCTGTCCATGATGAGCAAGCATGAGGCGACAGTGGAGAGGAAAAACTTCCCTTTGGGAAGAAACCTCTGGCAGAACCAGGCTCAACATGGCGGTCTTCTGCTGGACCGGTTGAAATGAGACAGGGAACGCAGTAAGAGTCCAACTTAAGCTACGATGGTGGGGGCGGGGCTGGAGGGGGGGTTGAAACAGGTTCATCTGAATGAAGTCACAGAGCATCCACCGCCTGCACACAGGAGCAGACGTGTTGAAAATCGGAGGCCTTTTAAGATGAATTTTGGATGCTGATTGGCTTTCGTGGAGGCCTGGTTCAAAGCTGATTGGCTGTCGCAGGTCGATGTAGGAGAGCAATCAGTTTCTTCAGTTATACTTCCGCCTAGGCTCCATTTTAATTTTTGCCACTGGACACCGGGGCGTCAACCAATCAGAAAAGCCGATCTAGCAGTTTTTGGGAGAGACGGACACTACCTGCAAGCTGTCATCGCTTCTGCAGACATTCTGCATAGGAAAAATAAATAAATATCAAGGTGTTCCTCTGCACCAGACGTGCCGCTACGAAGGGAAGCGGGAAATCCGCCAGAGGCTGGCCACAGGAGAGAGCATTCAGGGGGGGTTTTCAGCGCTAATTCCCGACGGTATGCTGGAGGTCTGGTGCTCTGAACAAAAACTGCATAAAACCTCTCACTATCTCGTAATTATGACATCTTAATTATGATCTCGTCATTATGAGATAAGATTTTTATATATTTTTTTATGAATTAAATATGCTTCCATACTTTAGTTTTGTACGAAAAATAGACTTTAACCCACCTTAACGGGTGTGTATTCCTTTAGTCATGTACAAAAAAACAATTTAACTACTTACTTTTTGGTGTTTTTTGAAGCATATAGTGATCTGAGCTTAAATCACTAAAGGGTTACACGCCTGTTGAGGTAGTTTAAAGTCTATTTTTCATAAAAACTAAACAGATAAATGCAAATCTGACGTCTTTCGCATTGACTATGGATACGCTGGTCTGATGAGGTATGCACTGCAAAAAATTGAAGTCTAAATAAGTCATTTGTTCTTAAAATAGGTGGGGGGGGGGGTTCCGGAACTGAAGATGTAAGTTTGACACTTTGCCAATGGAACAAGACGATTTACATTTAAAATAAGACAAATAAAGTGTAAATGGACTTAATTTAAGAAATTTGTACTTATTTCTAGAAGGTTTTTGCAGTGTGCTCATTTGACAGAACACTGCACTGGAAAAAATCGAAATCTAGTTCATTTGTTCTTGAATTGAGGAGATAAAAGAGACATTTTGCCAATGGAACAAAACTATTTAGATTTAAAATAAGAAAAACAATTGCATTGTCTTATTTCAAGTGCATATTATCTAATTTTCTTATTTTAAGGGTAAACATTTTCATTCCATTGGCAAATTATCTCATTTAGCTGCTCAAATTCAGGGTAAATACACTTAAAGGAATAGTACACCCAAAACATGATTAGCCTTCATTTTCTACTCACCCCCATGCTGAGCAACACTCTGGAGTACTTTTTTGATATCTCAAATGCATCTGGAGATCTGGGAGGCTTCTTGCTGTCTGCTGACATTCAAATAATGGAGGTCTATGGTGACTGAGACAGAAAGGTCCATAAAAGTCCACAAAAAACGTGTCAATATTCCTCCATACTGCTCGTCCAATGTATTCCAAGTGTCCTGAGTGGGTAGCATCCAGAATTTACTCAAAACGAAGTCATTTAGAATGTTTTTAGAGCATAAACAGTAGTGTATAGGATTTCCTGAAAGCGCGCACACGCGCGCTCACGACGCTACGGAAGCCGGCAGACCAAACCAGCGCATTCAGCTCGGCAAAGAACTCATGCTCTTCCTCAACACTGAAGTCCTCAGATATTTTTCTTTCGTTGTTTCTTTCTTTGCACAGGTAAACAGCACATTTCTTCTTCTACGCTTGCATTATTAGCAGAGCAGACGCTGAATGCGCACTTTCATCTGGTTTGGTCTGCCGGCTTCCGTAGCGTCGTGAGCGCGCAGCTGCGCGCTTTCAGGAAATCCTACACACTACTGTTTATGCTCTAAAAACATTCTAAATGACTTCGTTTCGAGTAAATTCTGGACGCTACCCACTCAGGACACTTGGAATACATTGGACGAGCAGTATGGAGGAATATTGACACGTTTTTTGTGGACTTTTATGGACCTTTCTGCCTCGGTCACCATAGACCTCCATTATTTGAATGTCAGCAGACAGCAAGAAGCCTCCCAGATCTCCAGATGCATTTGAGATATCAAAAAAGTACTCCAGAGTGTTGTTCAGCATGGGGGTGAGTAGAAAATGAAGGCTAATCATGTTTTGGGTGTACTATTCCTTTAATTTAAGAAATGTTTCCTTATTTCTAGATTGTTTTTCCAGTGCGGCCCTTTTAATGACTTGATAATGCCGATACAGAAATGAGTTAAACCAGATGAAATAGTGGGCTGGTAAGAAACGAGACTTATTCACTTTAACTGGTTTGTATTGTTTTCAGATTTCCTCTAGAGGGAAAGATCAAAACCAGTGAGATGAAAGTGAACTGGTAGGTGTGACGTCTTATAAAATCGTTCCTCTCAGTAACTTTGGTGGAAATCAGCCATGCTTGTTGTTGTCTTGCAGCCTGATTCAGGCTCAGCTGAGCTCCATCCCAGTTCAGGACTTTGGTCTCACGCAAGAGACGGCAAAGATCTTCCGGATCGGGATGCGCATCAGCAAATGTGAGGCTTCTGAATTGGAGAAAAAAAGCTAGGAAGATTCAGATTTTTCAGGTTTTATCTTGTGTTTTCTTCTCAACAGGCCTGTCAGAGTTCCTCATTCATCAGGCTAAGGCCGGTTTCTCTGCTGTGCTGAACTCCCTGATCTTGGCTAAGTGCTTCAGAGCTAAAGTTTGGGAAAACTCTCCTTTTGTTTCCAAACAGATCGAGAAAATAGGTCAGTTTGTTGCCACTATTAATGGCAGGTTTAAGGCCTCCTTATGCCTACATTTCTAAAATGGGATTTTCCTCTGTCAGGTAATTTGCTGGTAACTTTTTGTGTTTTAAGGTCTGACTCTGTCTACTGCGATGGTGAATGCTGGACTCACCAGTTTCACGAAAATAGAGCAAACCAACCCCAGAGAGCTGGAGCTGGTCAGCCCCACCAGCTGATTCACAAAGCTTTTTTCTCTTGTCAATAGTCATGAAATGTGTTTTTATTCGACTCTTTTGCTTGATTTTTACTCACCTCCATTTAGATTCTTAACCGACATCCACCATTTGGAAACCAGATCAGAGACTCTGTCATACATCTCCCAAAGTACGACGTCAACCTGGAGCAGGTGGGCGCCACTGCAGACAAAGGAGGAAAAAAACGTTTGCATTTGTTATACGGTTTCATTCTTTCTGTTTTTTTATGGCTATGAATAGGCAGACATCTTCTGTATTCATTGAAAATATTTATATTCACTTCAGGAAAGAAGTCTAGAGCTGCATTTCTCCTCCTGTTGTTAATCGTCTCTAGATATTAAATAAATTCTAACTTTTATCATTTAGTGGGGGAATGATAATGAACACAGTCAGATAAACACAAACCAAATGAACATTTTGCCAAATAACACAAAATAACCTCCATCAGAGCCAGCGGTCCTTCACACATGGCTATGGCTAACGTTAGCCCTGACTGCCGTTACCCTCGGAGGTCCGCTGGTTTTCGCGGTCCTCAACTTTGGAAAAAACTATTTAATTATGCAATAAGTCAGTAAATGGGCCTTATGGTGACGCTTAAAGTAAAATGTTCTCGTCTCAAATGATATTAAAATGTACTTTTATTGAACAACAGTAACTGAAAAGAGAACTTTTAACTTAATACTCTGAGCTAAGTGAGCGCTAACCTGGAAGCTGCTGCTGCTGCAGTGCATGCTGGGACAGCTGGCAGTCACAAGAATGGACAAGTCTGCTCTGATGCATGCTGGGTAAAGAGGGAGGGGCGAGAACTACATCTGGGGACTTTGTCCGTTTGCTGTTGTTCTTGTGAATTGGAACAGTACTAGGGCTGAGGCTGATGACGTTTCACGAGTACACGAGAGAAACGGCCAATGTCACCATTTATTGATCTCTGCAAAGCATGCTGGGTTGATGATGCGGTTAGGTCCTACTGAGTAAACATAGGAATGCTAACATCTGGTCTAAATGTAAACAGTACCACACTAAGTTGCTGCCTCAAGAGTTTTCATGAACTGTTATACATGAGATATCTATCTACTGTTTTCTATATCAGGCAGAGCTAACACGTTAGCAGAAGCTAACGTGAAATCTGAATCAAATAGGAATATAATGAACAACTGTTTAAAGTGACAGTGAATCGTCTTTCAGTAAGATGTCGTTCTAATATACCTGAGAAAATGTTTGGATCCTGATGCTAACTGCTAACAGCTTTGCAGCATAGCTCTCCATCTTGGTTAGCGTCTCCAAGCAGCAGCAGCATAAACACCAGCTTCAGCCAGCTCTCCCCTCTTCCTCCACTTAGTTCTCCTCATCTTCATCACCTTGTTTTATTCTCATCAATTAATCGCACTCTGGTTCAATTTGAAAAGCATTTTATCATTTAAGCAGAACATCAGGTTACTAAACAGCTTAGATGTTTTTGGTCTATTCATACATTGAAAAACAGAAATACTTTTCTTTCTTTCTTCTACGGCTTCTTGTTATTCTTTTTAGGGAAATGATGGATAACTTGGCCACCTTTACATCTATACGTAGATAGCTAATTTATCTCCAATTATTATTATTATTTTTTTAATGTAAGGCTGTGTGATTGTTTAAAACATGTTTTCTGTGCTGCTGTCTTTACCAGGACGATCTTTGAATAGAGATTTTAGTTTAAGTAAGATTTCCAGGTGAAATAAAAGTTAAAGCAATAAGAAAATATTAAAGCTGTTTGACTGCGATGGCAAAAAAAACAAAAGAACGCAACTTTTTTCACATCTTCTTACTGCAAAATATGATTTTGAAAATATTAAAGTAAGTTTCATGATGAAACTTTCAAAAATTATCTTTGATTTCAATCCTGATCTTAATTTAATGCTTGTAAAAAAAATGTTACTCAGAGAAATGGAAGCCTGATGAGTGGATTTTAGAAAGAGATCAAGAATTTCTGAAAATGTAATTTGATAAAATCTCTACCTTCTTGATTACTTTATAATAGCTTTATAAAGTAAATCTGGTTTTCTGTTTTTTTTTTACTAGCTGCCAAGGTACAGCAGCTCCACAGCGGAGATTTTGGTCAAGGTGACATTACTGAACCGAGCCCAGCTGCAGTCCAAGAGAACAGCTCCAGCCAACCACTGTGTGTCTTTGATCGTCGGCAACTATGAAAACAACGTCATCTTTCTACAGAAACTCATGTGAGGAATACTCGTCTTAATCCCTCTGCAGTTAAAAAATAGTTTGTCTCTAGGTCCGTGAGGCAGACACCCTGTCTACTTTTAAGGCTAGGTTTAAAACTTTCCTTTTTGATAAAGCTTCTAGTTAGAGTGGCTCAGGTTATCCTGATCTATCTCTATAGTTGTGCTGCTATAGGCTTAGACTGCTGGAGGACATAGGGACCCCTTTTTCATCATTCTGCTTCATTCTATCTCTATTCTCCCACTCTGCAGAATCTGTTAGTTCAGTCTCTAACGTTCTGCTCTCTCTGCTTTTTCTCATAGTAGCTTCATCTGGTCTGTTCCTGTTTGGCTGTGACTCCATCCTGGAGAGAAACATCAGCTGTGCTGCTGCCATCAACACCTTTGTTTCTAGATGTTGGAGCTTGGCCTGTTTTCCAGTGTAGTCCTGTTTCTCTGACTGTGACTAACTGGATGTGCTCTCTTCATCCTCTGACATGGGAGCTGGCTCGGAGCTCGTCTGCCTGGCTGTGTGTTTCCTGGACGGGGCCGCCTGTGGAGCTGGTTGACAGCTGCCTTTTGTATCTATGCTTCTTTTTCTATGTCTGCTTCTGTCTCCTTGAACCCCAGTGGGCCTCAGCAGATGGCCGCTCACACTGAGCCTGGTTCTGCTGGAGGTTTCTTCCTGTTCAAAGGGAGTTTTTCCTCTCCACTGTCGCTACAAGCATGCTTAGTGTGAGGGATTGCTGAAGAGTCAATGAGTCGATGCAATCAGCTGGTTTTCCTTAGATAGAAAACTTTGAATCAATCTGACTGGATGATCTGGTGAACTGGAAAGTGACCTGAGATGACATGATGTGAATTGGAGCTATAGAAATAAACTGAATAGAATTGATGAGGTTTGATAAAACATCAGTGAGGTTGAAGGAGGGGGGGGGGGTGGGGGGGGTTTCTCCATGTCTGTTTGTCAGGGACTCCCTGTTGCTGAAGTCTGGCTGTTGGACCAAAAAGATCGATGTGCCAAAAGCTTCCAAAGGAAATGAGATCAGTGTCCATCTCATCAGCTCAGAATATGGTAAACTGTGGAAATGATCTTCCTTTACATACATTCATATGTTTAGTTTAGACATATATTAGCAACATACAGCAGGTTTCCATGTGCCTCAATATCCTTTACTTTGAACATATTGGTTCTGTAAATGAAAAAATCCCATGTTGAGAAATAATTTATTTTAATATAATAATTGGTTATAAAATTATTGGTATTCCTACTATCAACACTTTCTATATGGAGTGAATTTTTTCCATTATTTATCCGACCAGAGAACTTTTTTTTTTATTAAAAATTTAAAATGTTTATTTTAGAAATCAAACTTTTAAAAACTCCTTAATGATATTTTTTCAATATTTTTTATTTTTTTTTATTTAGATTTTTAGAAATATTTTTTTAAATTTAATTTTATTGTTTTAAAATTTCCCTTCGTGGAATCGTGATTCTCTTAGCCTGAGCCTGAGGATGTTATCCGAGGCTCTACCTCCGACACCGAAACAAGGCCATAAATATGAAGCCTAAAAAAAAACTTTAAGTTCAACACAAAATATTAGCAAGTTCCAAAAACATACAAAAACAAACAAACTTCAATCCGTCAAGTTATTTATTCTTTTTACAAAACTATTGTCTTCATGTTTAATTTTCTCTTTTTTTTAACAAATGCTTTTTTTTATTCTTTTAACAGACTTTATGTCCCCAGTTTAGCTCCATACAAATGCCAGCTGAACAACTGTATTTCAAAAAGAGAACTTTGAAAAGATAAAGTTTAAAAAGAGAATTAATTTGAAATAATAAGCATCTAAAAAATGAATTATTTGACAAAGACTTTAAACCTTCCGGGAAAGAATTGGAGACCTAATGTCTGAGGAACATTTTGGGTACGATTAGAGCTGATCTGTGGAAAAACTGAGGTCCGTTTCAAGCAGGAAACTAAATTAACTCCTTTCTAGAAAATACATAACATGCTATATGTGTACTTTATATTATTTATATTTGCCAAAGCTGCCATGAAATGAGGATTCATCAAAGAAGACCCAGTTTTATTCAAACTGCATGCGCTTTGAGCATCAAAAAGCTTCTGCTGCTTCATTTCCGATGCTTGTCCGCATTAAGGTCAGCCATCCAGTAAAGTGAGTCCAGATGCTTCTGCTGCTCCTGTGTTCGATGCCAGAGAGCAGCTTTGCTATATTAGCTGTGATCAGCGGGTAAAAAGTAGTTAGAATCTATGTTGAAGTGAGAAAGTCCTCCTGAAAACATGGTCTGTGCAGTCAGTTCATCCAGATTACCATCCTGCCTTCAAAGATTATTTCTCTGTGGGAGCCGCTCAGACCCCCACATACCGGCGCTGCGCTGTCACTGGGAATCCCCAGCAGCAGCTGCCTCAGGCCGCTCGCCTCTTGGGGGTTTTCCCCTCCTGTTGGTGGCGGCTGGAAGTAGATGTTAGCGTTTTTCACGTAGGTAATCCTACGGAGCCCCTAAAGGGACATGGAGGAAAAAATAAGCTTTTGCGTTGTCAGCGAACCGGAAGTAAAACAGACACACAACAGTGGAGGGCAAAGTGTACTGCTATGGGAGAATAATACGCCCATGTGTCAGCTACAACCATGAAGGATGATTTGGAGAGGTTCTTAATTTCTAGAGAAGTCCAAAAACACAACATTACACGAATAAAGAGAGACAAGCTCAGTATGCAATCCTACGCAGCCCCTAAAGGGACATGGAGGGAAAAAAAACTTTAGCGAGATCCCGCAAAACCTTTTCAAAATCACAGAAAAAATAAACTTTTGCGAGATCCAGCAATACTTTTGTGAGATCTTGCAAAACTATTGCGGGATCTCGCAAAAGTTTATTTTTTCCGTGATTTTGCAAAAGTTTTGCGGGATCTCGCAAAAGTTTTGTGAGATCTTGCAAAACTATTGCGGGATCTCGCAAAAGTTAATTTTTTCCGTGATTTTGCAAAAGTTTTGCGGGATCTCGCAAAAGTTTTGTGAGATCTTGCAAAACTATTGCGGGATCTCGCAAAAGTTAATTTTTTCCGTGATTTCGCAAAAGTTTTGCGGGATCTTGCAAAAGTTTTGTGAGATCTTGCAAAACTATTGCGGGATCTCGCAAAAGTTTATTTTTTCTGTGATTTCGCAAAAGTTTTGCGAGATCCCGCAATACTTTTGTGAGATCTTGCAAAACTATTGCGGGATCTCGCAAAAGTTCTTTTTTTCCCCTCCATGTCCCTTTAGGGGCTCCGTATAATCCAAACTGCAGGCAGCAGAATATAAAAGCCAACATATTCTGCCGGCAGGTTTCTACATTTGAAGTTAATTTAGGCGTTAATAAACTGTTTCAGAGGAGTGATCATAGCGCTCTGCATCAGCAGTGCTGCGTCTGACTCCCTGCCAGCTCCCAGATCAGCTTCTCTCATTGGTCGATGTGCCGACGAGCAGCAAAAGTTCATTTTGTCCATCTCCAGCAGCTGCTGCTCCTGCTGCTCTACACGCTGCAGGACCTTTCGATGAGCCTTTTGATGAACCATTGACTTTGCATGTAAAGTGGCTACTTCTGCTGCCAAAAGTACATTAGATGTGAACGTAGCTTTAGGCTCAATCCTAATACCTCAAATTTTAGCTCCAACCTCCTGTTCCTTCACCATCCGCAGGGCTAACAATTTTAACACTATCCAGGGTAGGAAACCAACTCCAGACTAGGATTATGTCTTATAGAGGTGGAGTGGCGGCATTGTGGTCAGGGCATAGAGCTTTAAATCCTGAGGTTCTGAGTTCAAGCCCGACTCCCACAGACTGCCACTCTGGGTCCCTGAGAAAGACCCTTAACCCCACACTGCTCCTGAAAGGAGATGTGTTAAATGTAGAGTTATTTTCTCCATTGTGAGATCAATAAAATTCTTTTTATTTTTGTTCAACTCTGTGAGGTGGGCTGTTCCTCTATGTCACGCAAAGGATTATGGGTAACCATATACCTCCTCGGTGGCTTGGAACGTCAGGAGGTCCTTATGATTAATGGATTGGTGCAAGGAGGCATTCCTGCTTCCTGGTCCTAGCTCCTTCCTAACTCCCAACAGTATCGGGATTATTATGATGAGCGTGGACGAGGTTGAGTCGGCTCTAAACTTGGACCCGGCCAGGCTCCGTTTACTGGACCAGTCGCCATAGTAACCGAGTCCGACTCAGAGGGACCCAGCTTTATGGAACCCAAATGAGAACAAAATATGAAACTAAACCAGTTTTATGAAGCACTCCTCATGTGACTGGAGGCACAATATGATGCATGCCCTGAATTAGCAAACAAGGAAGTAATAGAGCAGAGGTCATGGATTAGCGGACCGCGGTCCGGATCCGGACCCACCTGCCGGCTAATCCGGACCAAACCTGATTTAAAACATTTATAAATTACTGCATGTTGTCCAATGACTGTGTCTAATTTCACTTGCTCCTCTTCTCCTGTTAATACGGTAAAGCCCTGGGGAGCGTCCGGCTCCAGGCTGCACGTGATCCAAATGAGCCAATGAGCTGTCAGTCTGGGTTGCTGCTGCTGCTACTTTTAGACACAGCAGGCAAACCTGTGGCAAGCCGGGCGATGGGAAAGAAGGAGAAGACCATGAGAAAAAGAGAGCAGAGAAAGTGTGGACTGCTGGAAGAACTGCGGTGAACTGGTGAAAGAGAAGTGAAATGGCGTGCTCAAAGATGACCCTGCACATTTAGAGGATGTTTGGCTCAACCTGCTGCTGTGAAGCAGGATTCTCCACCATGAACAGAATCAACAATAAATCTGGATCCAGGCTCAAAATGAGCTCCTTGATATGTGCTTGAGAATGGCTTAGTCTCCGGTTAAACCCAGGTTTAAAGCCTCGCAGGGCAGCCTAAAGCCCACTGCCAACATTAAGACAGAAAAAAGAAAGAAAATAACAAACGCTCAGTTCAGGTGGTTGAGAAAATATGGGAATCAGGAAATTGTCTATAAACCAAACTGAATGATTGTTGTTCTCTACTTAAAAAACAATTTAGATTCTAAAATAGAAAAATTTTGTATTTATTTTTTTAAATATTTTTTCATTTAAAATGTCAATGTATAACATGGATGGAAAAACACCTCATTTTATTTCAGTGTTAAATTCTGTTTAAAGTAACGGATTATAATTAAAAATGTCTCCGGACCTTTACTGGTGGATGATTTTCTTTATTCGAACCCCGCTGATTTTTTTATTGGTTATCACTGCAATAGAGCAAAGCAACCTTCAGCAGAGATGTGAAAGGAGAGGAAATATTGAAAATCAAGTGTGAAAAAGTTCCGCAAATTATGGCTACAGGATTATGAGAAGAGTAGAGCTCAGAATATGTTATGATCGTTGGGGTTCATTGTCAGGAAAATGCTTGGCACATACTCCGTTTTTCAACATGAATGGATGGTTTTTAATGATTTTTTTTATGTGTTTTAGTACATGATAGGAATCCTTTGAAGGAATTGCTAGTTTCCAATAATTTGTCCGCTGTGATTTTGTTAAAAACAATATTTACTCAACAATATTCCCATTAAAGATTACTTTTCTTTTAGGGATATTGGGATTTTGGCCGATATCCGATATGCCGATATTTTGAAACTCATGTAGCCGATAACTGATATCGATACCGATGTTAAAGCTGGACAAAAATAAGTAGTCATTGAAAATAGCAGTTTTGTTATCCATTTCTGACACTTTGAAAAATAATATACTCAAATATATTTTCATATGCTGATATCAAATAGATTTTAAAAAACGCGGTATCGATCTATTTTACTTTCAAAATCTGGTGAAATTTCATCGTTCTGTTACAAACTCTCGTGATATTTTGCAAATTCTTGTGAGATTTTGTTAGTAAAATAGATCGATACCGCGTCAATATATCAACATATAAAAATATGGCAACATTTGGTGAATTTTCGGGGGATTTCGTAGCATAACGATGACATATAGCAATATTTCATTAGTAAAAGAGATTGATATGGTGTTTTTAAATGGCAATATATCAGCATATGAAGATATTGGGATATTTTAATGGATCAATATTTTTTCCCTCGTCTTTAGAAGTTTTTAAGTCTGTAAAAAAGAAGTTTTTGAGGAAGAAGAAGAAGTAGTATTTTTTTTTTTTTTTAGACTTTAGAAACTCAGAAGCTGATCAAATATCGGGTTAAATATCGGTGGGGTGGCCGATGTCCGATATTCAGTTTTAAGGCCGATACCGATAGGGGGCCGATTATATCGTGCATCCCTATTTTTTTTTCACAGTGAGATTATGCTCCAGTAACGAAAGATAATTAAATTATGTTTATAATTACATCTATTTCAAGTCATATTAGATATTTTTCTACTTTAGAGTGAAATGTCTTATATATTTTTAAGAGGAGGACGTTTTTGTCTTGTGTTTGTTAAACTTGACCTTTACCTGCTTTGTAGTGGGGCTTGACATCCAGATGAAGTTTCCTGTGTACTACTCTGCAACCAGAAGGTTTGGGACTGAAGTTGCCTTCAACGTAACAGACGTTGCTGTTGGACAGAGACCCCAACGTTTCGATCTGATGCTGCAGGACGCAGCGCAAGGAGAAAATGTCTCATCCACCAAAGAGCAAGGCAATATGAAGCGGTTTTCTTATGTATGGAGTGACATTTGTTCCATTATTGTTCCAAGCGAATAATAAAACAAAAAGAAATGAAAGTTTGAGAAACTTCATAATCAAAACTATGTAGGTTTTAAAGCAAATTTGATGTTTTCTCCAACAGTTTGAGAGAAATTTGATAAGAATTAAATTCTTAAAACTTAATCTGAAAAAGAAATTTGGAATAATTAGATATACGGTATTAAAATAAAAAATATTTGAAATAGCAAAATGCTGGCGAGGATTCTCAGTCATCCAGGTCATAGTCATTACAAAAAACAAAAAAAAAATCCACTGGATTTTGGACTTTTTCCAAGTTTGAAGACGTTTCTCTTCCATCCAGGAAGCTTTTTCAGTTCAAATTTATAAAGTATCCCAACAAAGCCTTGTTTTGACATAAAGAACATGCAAATTGAGCCTGACAAATGGGTCCGCCCCTTAGGAATGTGGGTTGTTTGGGTTCTTTGTTAGCCATACCTGTTTGTTTTGTTTTTTTTACTTTTTTGTAAAGAAATAACAAAATATGAGAAAAAAGCAAAACAATATTTTGATGTAGATGTTTTTAACTTTATTTCCTAGGTTTCTTTTTTTTTTTTTCAAATTTCCATTAACAAAATGGGTTCAATGTTTGCAACAATATTGGAGCACAGTTGACTCCATAATTATGATGACACTGTTCAAAGCCACACAGTAAAATTCTTCACATCCCTTTTAGAGTTAAAATAAGATATCGACATGATTTTTCTTTTTTATGTTTGATGTTGATCAGATCCAGCCAGTAAAAGAAACAAGCCAGTAAAAGAGTGCAACCATCTCTGCAAGAATAAAAGTCTCTGTGCTCATGGCTGCTGTAAGTAGAACAATGTTTTGTCTGCGGGTTTATGTTTCAATAATCTAGAAGCTCCCACACTGGGAAAAAATGGAATCTAGACAAGTCATTTTTTCTTAATATAAGTGTATTTGTTCTTGGTTTGAGGAGGTAAAAGAGACATTTTGCCATTGGAACCAGAAAAAATACACTTAAAATAAGAAAACACAACTGCATTGTCTTATTTTAAGTGCATGTTATCTAATTATCTTATTTTAAGAGTAAAAATACTCATTCCATTGGCAAACTGTCCCATTTACCTACTCAAATTAAGGGTAAATACACTTAATTAAAGACATTTTTTACTTATTTCTAGATCGTTTTTCCAGCTGTTGTGCCTTAAAGCTCCTCTCTGTTTCCTCCTCAGGTAAAGTAGGTGTTGCTGTTCCACAGAAAAGGTCGATGAACAATGAATCCAGCTTCTCCTCTTACCTGGAGGACCTGAGGAGCAGGTCTGAAGTACTTGAACAAACGCCTGTCAAAAGACTAAAGGTTAACACAAAGGATTTTGTCTTCTTTCTCAGCTCATATCTAAAATAATCTATGCAAAAATAATCTAGAAATAAGTAAACATTTCTTAAATCGAGTGTATTTACCCTAAATTTTAGTAGTTAAATGGGATGATTTGCCAATGGAAAGATTATTTTTACTCTTAAAAGATAATTAGATAATATGCACTTGGAATAAGACAATGCAGCTGCTTATTCTTGTTTTAAAAGTAAATTGTCTTGTTCCATTGGCAAAGTGTCTCACTTACCTCCTCAATTCAACTACTTAGTTTAAGAATCAAATTGTTTTTATTAGTTTTTCATATTAAAGCAACAAACACCCCATCCAGGGCGTACAAAACAAAACAAAACAAAAAGACTCCAGAATTACATCACAACGACATCACACAAAAAAAAAACTATCAACAAGAGAATTACTACACCCGCACATACAACCCATGTTCCAGACATCCATGGATTGAAAACCAAAAACATAAGTATGAATAATAATCATAATGATAATAATTCCGCCAAAAAAATAAATAAATAAATAAAAAAAATGCTGATTATGCTGAAGCAGATTGAACCTCGGATTCAAAATAGAAAATAAAAGGTTGCCAAATCTTGAAATATCTCTTAATGGTACCCTGTGACGTAAATTGAAGATGTTCTAGCTTTAGGTGTGCCGTTACCTCCTCTATCCATCTTTTCTGTGCTGGTGGTGCTGCCTTTACCCAATTAAATAAAATCAATCTCCTGGTTAACAGTGAAGAAAATGCCATCTCCTTCCTTTGAGCTGTCGTTAATTCTATCCCCCCCGGTGCCACACCAAAAATGGCTACCAGAGGGACGGGTTCAATATCTTTCCTGAAGACAGATGAGAAAGTTTTAAAGATTTCAATCCAGAATTCTTTGAGTTTGGGGCAGGACCAAAACATATGGGATGTGTTGGCTGGCACCTGTTTACATCTAGGGCAAGTCGGATCGGCTCCCTGAAACATTCTCGTACTTAGTTTAAGAAAAATGTCCTTTTTTAGATCTACATTTGTATATCAGTACACAATAAAATATACAGAAGTTCTTTGAGGTTTTGACAAATCAAAGGATATTACCCAGATCACAATCTAATGATGTTTACATGGAAGAGAAATTTTAACATTGGATCAGACATTTAATGAACAGATGAACCAAATGTTTGGTCATATGTGGAACATGTGACCAACATGTGGAAGGTGAGCATCGCATGTGAAAATCATGGTGTTGTTTTGTAAGGGGATGAATTCAGTCTTTGATATTCTAGGATTTCTGGGAAGATTCTCAGTCATCCGGGTTAGGATTACGCGTGAAATGGTTCAGTTTAGGCACATGGACGTGGAGTTCTCTGGAAGACGTTTCTCCTCTCATCCAAAAGGATGAGTTCTAACTAGTGGAGGGGAGCACTTTCTGCGCAATTCATGTGATTTAGGAATCTCTGGCGTTAGGAGATGGAAATTGTGGAGTAACTTCTATCCTTAATATCTCTAGGAAAAATGGTTGTTTATCTTTTGATATGTTGTGAATAGGTAGTCTTCTGCTCATGTTCTCTGACAAAGCAGGTGAACATGAGCAACCGGCCACACTGCAAAAAATCAAAACCTAGATAAGTCATTTTTTCTTAAAATAAGTGCCTTTGTTCTTGAATTGAGGAGGTAAAAGTGACATGTTGCCAATGCAACAAGACAATTTACACTTAAAATAAGAAAACACAATTGCATTGTCTTATTTCAAGTGGATTGTATCTAATTATCTTATTTTAAGAGTAAAAATACTCATTCCATTGGCAAACTACCTCATTTACCTACTCAAATTAAGGGTAAATACACTTAATTTAAGAAACTTTTACTTATTTCTAGATCGTATTTGCAGTGCACAAGTCCACCTCAAACCACATCACAGCCTGCTGTGGAGCTAGGAAGCTGAGGCAGAAGCATTTCTTGCAAGAAACATTCAAATGTATTTAACGTCCTCAGACGGAGAGATAGAGCTCTGACTGAGGAAACCTCAGTACAAACATTTATACCTTCCAGAAATCCCAACACACACACAGTCCCCCCAGGGGAACCAACCCACCCCCTGCATAAAGAACTTTCTCACACTTTGAACCTTTGGAGGAAAAACAACTTTGAGTTGATCAAGGCCGTTCGCTGTTAGGTTAATCTATCTTTCCCTGGTCAGATGGATCTTCTAATAACAGCAGTCCTCCCCTTCATGCCATGAAGGAGGCTGTGACTCATTCTTATCTCTCATGACCTTCGTTTGGAGCCTGTGAGGCTAAGAACAAACATATCTCAAAATTTTTTACTCCACACAAGGGTCAGAAAATAAACATTTTTCAATCTGAAAAACTCACAAAGAAAGAAATTTATTGATACAATTACTTTAGTCTTTGGCACTCAAACCTTAGCAAGAAACAGTAGAGCTGAATTTACTTTAGGAGTGGAGATGGATGAAGTTGGTCAGTCTGTAGACTGCTGGTTGGCAGGACAGTGTGCTTGAGCTTTATGGGGAGATCCAGTGGACCGCTTGAGCCGATACTAGAGCTTCACTCAGGGACCTGGAAGATGGAAGTCCAGCTTGGATAACACAGGTGGAGAGAACCTGTCCAGCATGAAGCGACAGTGGCGAGGAAAAACTTCCCTTTGGGAAGAAACCTCTGGCAGAACCAGGCTCAACATGGCGGTCTTTTGACTGACCAGTTAAGATGAGACAGGGAACGCAGTAAGAGTCCAGGAGGAATGACGCTCTGATGAAGCTTTAGCTACGATGGTGGAGGAGGGGCTGGAGGGGGGTTGAATCGGGGTCATCTGAAGTCAGACGGCGCATCCACCGCCTGCGCTTTGGGTAGCAGACTGAGATGTGGATTTGGAAACCTTTTAAAGTTGTAGAGAAAAGGCCGTTCCAACCGTTGCATTTCCGAATTCTCCCGAGTGGTGAACGACTTTACACGAGTGAATAAAGTGAATGTGATTGGTCGATTATCAAGGGCGGAAGGTTGGCAAGCAAGTTTGGTTGTGGCCGGTTTGTGGGAAGCATCTTGCTAACCAGTTAGCAACTTAGTGCTAGCAGGTTCCCAATGGGAAATTCCATTGGGACCAATTAGCACTAAATTGGTGACTTAGAAACGACGCTGTCAAGGAACGCTATGGACAGCGGAAACATGCAAGAGGAGGAGAGTTTAGTGTCGGAGGTCGTGGATGAGTCTCCTCCGTCATCCATTTTTTATTTAGAGGAGGAAAGCGGGGACGAAGATGTTCTGGAAGAGGACGCCAGGGCGGCAGAAGCTTGGTTTGGTGTAGAAGGCTTCCAGCCGTACATGTTTGAGCCCTCGCCTCGCAACGCTGCCAGTTCTGTTAGCTCTACGCCTGCCGAAGACACAGACGTCCATCCCCGTGAACACTGGGACGCAACTCAATGGGAAAGGAAAGGATTCTGATTTCAACCGTTGCGTATATTAGCTGCGACACATGAATCAAGATGCTATGACCGAAAACATTTGATTGACAGATGACCGTTGATATATGATTGGCTGAATTTAGGCGTTCAGGCTGACGTTGAACTAACTGGCCTGCAGAAGATAATGAAAAAAAAAGATTTTAAGAAATGTTCTAAATTCTGGGACTGATAGAGAGTACATTTATATACCTTTTTAAGCCACAATGATTTGACGTTTTAATATAACTTCCCTACGACTTTAACATGAACTATGGATGCTGATTGGCTTTCATGGAGGTATGGTTGAAAACTGATTGGCCCGTGCGGAGGTCGATAAAGGTAAGTAATCGTTCCTTCAGTTGAACTTCCGCCCGAGGCTCCATTTGTCTGAAAAGGTCTGAGTTAGAGTCTTAAATTCAGTCGGCAAAAGTGTGGAACTTTTTCTAAGCTCCTTTAAAGTTCCTCTCTGTAAAAGGTTAATATGTCATGTCTTTCACATGTGAAATAATGAGCTCCATGTTACTTCATCTGCTTAATGAGTTGATGTTCATGTTCTGTGTTTTTCAGATGAAAATGAGTGAAGAGGCTGTCAACATGCAGAAGTTTGCTTACAAACCCAAAGGAACGCTTCCCTCTGTCTCCTGGTATTCACCTTTCACTCACCTATTCATGCAGGGCTAATAAAACCAATCAGAGGGGGTTATTTCTGGGCCCGTATTTAAAAATATCCTCAGAAAGTATGGAGGGAATTCTGTTCCAGCATTAATGCAGGCAAAGAACGTGCTTTGCACATTGAAATGTGGAAAGTTGGAAGTTGAAAACAAAAAATGTGTTTTTTTTTGCTGTCATTTCGATTTGTTCTGTTTTTTTCTATTTTCTATTAATTTTTTTTAAAATATACATATTTTTACAAACTCACCTCATTGCATTTTATAGATCACATTCCTTTCAGTTTAAGCACAATACAAAGTTGACTGATAAAAATGTCGTTAACTTCAATGTTGACCAATAGAAATGCGTCTTCGCTCGTCAATCCAGAAGCGGAGAAAATCTGGTCTATTTACCATAATTTCAACAAAATGAGATTTATAAAAGTCAATGTGAAAAAGAGAAGTAAAAAAAAAAAAACTTGAAATATCAAATCTGCAAAAAAAAAATCTACAAAAAGAAAATAAATATATGAAAAAGACGTTTGAAAATGATTTCTGAGAAAACGTCTGATTAATTTCTGATTAAGACGTTACTTTCTGGTTTGCTTTTTTTTTTTTGCTTGTCAACAATAATGGAACAAATGTGACGCCATAGATACGGTCCCTAATCATTGACCATGGTTCAGCAATTCAGCTTATTTTGATCAGTCGTTAGAAATAATCAGGGATTTGTGTGTAAATAGTTTTAATCGTTAGAAGGCTGGTTTGCAACATCTTAATGGACCGTAGACCAGAAACCATAAGAAAATAAGGAAAAAAGAGATTATTAGACTACAAAATAATATATGATCTTTATTTATTATTGGGTTGAATTTATTCTAATCGTATAAGCTGGTGTGATAGAAATGTCTTCTCGATCTGCAGCTGTAGTAGATCTTTGTTTTTCTTACTTAAATCGGAATTTTTTATTTTTGCTAACTTTAAGACACTGTCCTCTATATTTTGTATTATTTTGTATTTTTAGTTAGAGCGTGCTCTTTAATATTTCTATTTTTTTCTGTATGTTTGCTGCTCAGGCGTGCAGAAAATGCGTTCAGAGCTGCAGACCCTGAGCTGACAGCAGCAGACTGCGCTCAGCTGCCTGATGTATTTTGTCTGGATGATCTTGACCGAGGTAAACAAACTGCAGCCTTAACCTTGTTTTTAACTCGATACATTTTCAGACAGAACGTGAGAGAATAGAGAAACGGTGACGGATGTGGTTGTTGCTGACTGGTAGCTCTCAGTAAGGGTTTGTGTACGCACTGGAAAAAATCTAAATCTAGATTAATCATTTTTTCTTAAAATAAGTGCATTTGTTCTTGGATTGAGGATAAAAGAGACATCTTGCCAATGGAACGAGACAATTTACACTTAAAATAAGAAAACACAATTGATTTGTCTTATTTCAAGTGCATATTATCTAGTTATCTTATTTTAAGAATAAAAATACTAATTCCCTTGGCAAACCATCTCATTTACCTACTCAAATTAAGGGTAAATACACTTAATTTAGTCATTTTTTTTACTTACTTCTAGATTGTTTTTCCCGTGCAGAACCTCCCTTTAAGGTCTCAGTTCAGGATGTTTCAGGTTCGTTTTAAATGATCATAATTCTCTTCCAGACGACTGCATATATGTTGCCAACGGTCCTGAGGGGAGGGCAGAGTCGCCCCAAACTTCTGCTGCAGCGCCTGCTCATCACAAAAGTATAGTGATCCATGTTCTCTACACTACTTTCCTTTCCCTCTCTGTTTGTTTCCTTTTATATATATTATAGATAGTATAGTATAACCAAGAGTAAGATTAGTGAGGGTGAATAAAGAGATCAGTTAAGCAAAAAGCCCAGTTAAGACATCAGATATCCTCCACTCTCTAACCGCAGCTCCTCCTCATTTACTTTGACAGATTTATTTTTGACATTTTGAAAACACGAGTGTAAACAAAAATAAATTTTTTTAACAGTTCTCTAGACCGGAGGTCTTCAACAGGGGGTCCGTGACCCCTAGGGGGTCCTTGGAGGTACTGCATGGGGGTCGCGAAAGTTTGGTTGATTAGACTTTTTTTAACATTCCATGCTGCAATTTTTTCCTCTAATTTAAATGTTTTTAAATCCACATAAACATGAATCCAACAGACTGTAGTAAACAGATAAATGGAGGCAGAAGATGTCTTTCAGTCATCAATGCTCACATTCAGCGACACACAGGAGCTCTTTCAAGCTGGACACCGTTTCATTCACAACACCTGTTCCATCAACCAGGAATCAGAAATACTTTAATAATCCCAGGGAGGGATTACTTTAGTTACATTACTCCATCTGTAATAGAACAACTATAGGACCAGTTTTATATAACACAATATATATATATATATATAATTAGGGGTCCCCGCTCCATCTTGCCATCAGTTAGGGGTCCTTGGCCTGGAAAACGTTGAAGACCCCTGCTCTAGACAATTTCATTTTTTTAAAGTGCAGCCTTGAAAATAGTAACAAAAAATACATAAAAACAGTAATATAAACATATTGTCAGGATGGGTTTCTAAGAGAGTAAGCCCAAGATGCAGAACACACACGGAGACTCGGGTAAAAGTCCAAAGAGTTTATTAAAGGCACAAGCACATAGATAATAAAGTGGAAACAGTTCAGGCAGTGGACTGGTTCACTGGGGTCTGTGCAGGGAACGGGAGATGGCTGGTAGCAGAGTTCAGGTTAGGCTAAGCATCTAGCTTTGGCTTAGCCTGGCAGTCCTGGGTTTTAGCTTCCAGCTTACTGCAGAAAACAACAGGGGAAAACACGAGGGATCTTACAGGCTGAGCTTCCAGCTCACCGTAGGGAACAACAGGGGAAATCCACATGGGAACCTCTAGGGAAGTCGTCAGGTTTCATCCACGTAGAAATCTTCGGGTTGGCTCACCAGGTCAGATTAGCTGGTTAGGCTTTTCAAGAGCTTCAGGCTTGAGACTGGTTTCCTAAGATGCAGCTCCACCAGAGCTGCAGACCAGAGACTGGGTTCCAGTGAGGGTGCTCCTCCTGAGCTTCACGAGGAGACAGGAGGTTAAGCTCATCCAGAGCTTCACGAGGAGACAGGATTCCTGTGAGGCACAGATAAAGGAGAGATTAGAATCTGGTCTCGACCTAGGAACAACCAAGACTCAGTCTATAGCAGAAGGTTCAGGAAGCTAACCAACTAAGATCAACAGTGCAGGGTGGAATCAAGGTTTGAAGGCAGCTTAAATACTGTGGTCCTCCTGATTAGTAGATCAGCCACAGGTGTGTGAGAGGCTCAGCTCAGGAGGACCCACGGCGCACTCTGCTGGAGGCAGAGGGTAAACTCCAGAACCTTAACAGTGACTCCAGCCCTAAAGAAAAGACAAAGAGAGCAGAAGAGGATCCTCGGCGCCCTCTGGTGGGCAAGCCTGAGGATCCCAACACATATGGCTGTGTATTTACAGTTCTAACATTTCAGTTTTTTTTTCTTTTTTTATAATAAATATAATAAAAAACAATAAAATAACCCATTTTATTCAACAGTTATCAGTGTGATGGTGGTGGGGAAGAAGCTGCTGCAGAACCTGCTGGTCCTGCATTGAATGCTGTGAAGCCTCTTCCCAGAGGGCAGCAGGGAGAACAGTCCATGGTGGGGGGGTGAGGGGTCATTGATGATGTCACAGGCTCGGGACACGCAGCGCTGGGATAAAATGAAATTTACATCATCAGGAGCCGTTCAGATTCAATATGCATCTAATTACCAGATAAAACGGAGCATAAAGCATGAAAATCAAATCTATCATCCTCACCAGAGATGAAAGAGAAACATTTCGCTCTAACTGACCAATCAGAGGACAGAAAATGCTGATGTAGGGGCGGGGCCTCTAGCTGGTCCTGTGGAGCAAATCTGAAATCTGTTTCATTGAAGAAAACGATCCTCACTAATGTTGTTAAGGTAACATCAGCAGCACTGCTGATCCTGAAGGCCCTGGGCAGATTAGACTGACATAGCAACAAACACAGGCTGAAATCTTACTGGACAAAAAAATACAGCAACCAGATAAAAGTAATGGAAGCAGCAAAGCCAAGAGAAACGCTACAGAATGAAGAGAATGGATTGTTTAGATTGTTAGTTTATTTTCTGCCTGTTTTTGGCGTGCTTCAGTGGCAAGGCGGTTAGCGCACGTGACCCATGTCCCCATTTTTTAAACAATTTCTGTTTCCAGATTCCTCCTGGTTGACGCCCCTGCCTCTGAGCTCCCGACAGAGAATAGACCAGAGCAGCACGGGCGACTGTGCAGCATTTAACCGCTCCACTGTGGCTTCAGAGCAGAGCCGTTTTTCTTCTGTCCAAATACCAACCGTGACCTTTGACCTGGGAAATGAATGGGATGAATGGGGAGATTTCGACGACGAAAACTTGCTGAATTCCAGCGAGACGCCTCCGTGTACGACCAGCTCCCAGCCTGAGGTGCAGCAGAAACACCGTATGTCAGGTATAGTTAGATTAAAGTAACATTTTAAGGCTTTTTTTATTACATAAGATAAGTGATCATTATTATTTGTGGAATAAGTGTTCACAATTGCATTTGTCTGTGATAATCATACTTTCAATGTTTCTATAGGTTGTGCTGCAACATCATCAGCAGTGTTTATCAGCAGCACACATGTCAAACCCAGTCTCACCACACCACTCAGGTTAGGCCTCTAACCGCCCAGCGCTGGGCTCTACCGGCCCAAAGGGTTTCAGACAAAGCTGACTGCTTACACACATTCCAGTGATTCAATAAAATCTTTCAATCCAACGTTTGTTTCAGATCAGTTCCAAGACCTGAGGTCAGGGAAGCTGGACCCTCTGATTCCAGTCACTCCCTCATATCCCAGAACAGAATCACTTTGGACTGGATCCAACAGGTTTGTGCATCCAGGAACTTTTGACAAATAAATCACAAACCCATGTACCACATGCAAAACATGTGAGCGGAGCGGTGGAGAGGAGGGGAAGAAATATGGTTGAAAGCAGAGCGTTTTTTTTTTTGTTTTTTTTACAGTGTCCTGTCTGGAAATGTGGCAATAAGAATAATTGTCTTGATGCCAAAAGGAGCCCAACAGATTTTACTTTCACAAGTGTAGCGGTATCGCAATTGCCATATTGCTCCACTTGTTTCATGCATATAAATTGCTTTCTTATAATTATGCAGGGAGTTTTACAGTTCATATGGACACTGCAATGTAAATAGAGCAGAAAAACAGAAGAAAAAGGGAAAAAGAAAAAAAAAAGGACAAAAGATGAAAGAAAGAGGAGATAGAAAGGAGACAATGACCAAACATTTTCAGTCTGCTTCATCACCTGTAACAAGATGAAAAAAGAACAGCACAACCAAAGGACATGGTACGAGATATACAATAAAGCAACACCTTGAAACTATCGCTGAAGTAATATTATTAAGTCTGACATGCGGAGCGGTTTTAAATTTAAAGGCTGGAATGAGGATTTCGTATGGAAGAGGATTAGGGCCATTAAAAAAAAGAAAAGTTAACTGATTTTTACATTTTATTTCAGTATAATATGACAAAAAAAATCTGAATTCTGACTTTAATCTTAGAATTCTGACTTTTTTTTCTCCATAATTCTAAATTAATTATGTTAGCTAACAAAATGTTAGCATCAAGCTGTAGCCATGTCTGTTATAGAGACTAAACTAGCTCTCTTGTTTTAATCACCTTCTGCTCTTCCATTAATGAAATAGGGCACCTAATTCATCCTAATTCCATCATTTTCCACCAACGTGTTCCTGTCAGTGAAGCTGAGTGCTCCACATCTCTGCCTTCATGGGGCCCATCTACATTAAGAATTCTGAGATAGAGTCAGAATTCTAGATTTTTTTCCCATATTAAATTGAAATAATATTTAAAAATCAGTAAACTTTTTTTTATTTTTCAGTGGCCCTAATCCTTTTCCGTAATTTGGCTCCGCTCCAGTTCGCTCCGACTATTTAAATTAATGCTTGACTTAAAACCAAGGCCAATGCCTATGCTGTAAGCTGTGCCAATAAAATCTGTCATAGTCTAAGTTTCAACCTTACCACAGAATCGCCAAGACGAGGATTGCATATTGTGGGATAAAAAGTGGGATAAAATATCATAAGAAACACTAATACACCAACTATACTGAACAATACAGAGTGGGTTTACAGAAAGTGATCGTTATATTAAGAGCCTGTTTTTGAAAATGGATCTCATACATGCATTAAACGCCATTATCTCATTTGCCGTGGGATGCCAAGTGACCTTTTTTTAATGTAGTCCAGTAAAATAAATGAATAATTAAATAGGAAACGCGGGGCAACATGAATGGAGCGAGGTGTTACGTTCACAGCTGGGAAACAGTGAGATAATTTAACAGTTCAATAAGACGATCCACATGTATCGGTCGCTTCATTAAATCAGACGCCGCGTGTCCCAGGGCCCTGGCATCATTACAGGAAGGAAAAATGTCAGAAAATGCCTTCTCTTGAAATTTTTATTGAGCGTGGAGCGATTTCGCCGAAGCGGCGGGAAAATGTAGGTGAGCGTGGAGCTGATTTGGAGCGGAGCGTCCTGGAGCAGCTTTGAGTGGCGGAGCGAATGAGTGAACGTCCTCCTGAACGGGGAGCGGGAATTGCTGGGCGCTCCTCTCCGTTCACATGATCTGACCACATGTGAAATTGGTTCGGCAGCTTTCATGCGGTAAATAAATGGGGGGGTCGATTAACCCATGAGTTAATTAACCCCCCCATTAACCCCCCGTATTTCGCACTCTGTTTCAAAGTCATTTTTGCAGTGTATGTGGTTCACATGTAATAAATATGCGATCACAAGTTCCACGTATGATCAGATGTTGAATAGAACGTGTGACCAAAATACTTGATCCTATGTCAAAAATATTGCCCACATGGGAAAGATGAGAATCACATGTGGAATTCATGGGATGGTTTTGTAAAGGAAAACCCATCTTTCACATTTACGAATGAAATCAATCTGACTGACATACATGGGGCTGTATGTCGTGGCTTCTTCTTCTTCTTCTTGTGTTCTTTACATTTGTGGAAGTTGTGCGTTTCCTGTGTTCTTGTGTTTCTCTTTGTGCAGAGACCAAACATTTACAGCACTGGGCTCCCAGTAATAACACCCCAAAAGCTCCCAGCACAGACTGTGGGAGGAAAGGTCAGCAGAAGGTTGGATTTCTTCTCCACGGTGACGCAGCCACCCGGTTCCAGCTCGGCTCTTAATCCGAGGTACGGTTAAAGATGTCCTGCTCATGTTTAAACTAGGGAGGTTCCAACCAGGACTTTTTCCACCGCAAATGTGTTAAAAGTCACCTGAGGTCTGAAGCTTTGTTCAAATTATGTTTGATTTAAAAAAACATCAGTTTAAAGGAAATCATTATTTATACCTAAAACTAATACAGTCGCGATGATTAAATTAATTTAGCTTTAATCAATAAAAAAATCTAACTAATAAAGTTTGTCGCGATAACTGAGTCTGGGAGCGGCCATTTTTGCCCAAATATAGTAGCCCCTCCCTCCTGCCATCTTCCAGCAGTGACGTCACGGTGCGGTAAGCCTAGCGCCATTCTCCCTGCTTTACAAGCTAAATCAATGGGAACTACTAGACACATCTGCAATCAACAACAATTATTGAAGATTTCCAGAGGACTTCACCATTGAAATTCACCAGAGCTATAGTGAAACTGACAATGCCCACGTGCATGGCAGCTGGATGCTGGAATACATCGGGTAAAAGTGAAAAAAAAAGAGTTATTCCACCTTTCTGATTCCTGATCCTCCACGGACGGGTTGGTCGTTGGATCGCCAACTTGAAGAGGGAGGATTTGCCATCGAACTTCTGGCCAGAGAAAAAACCCGTAATATGTAGCCAACATTTGGAAGAAGAATGTTTTCAAGATGACTTGGATAATAGCGCGTTGTGACAAACACCAGATACAGCACTGGGACTTGATCAACAGCCGATACCGCACCGTGACGTCACTAACCAGTAGGTGGCAGTAGTGTTCTTTGACAAACATGGATGCCTCCAGTAAAGCACATTCACATGAAAATTACTCTGAATTAAAAACACTTATTTATTGAACAGTGTGTAATAATTTCATATTTAAAGTACTTTAAGAAGTTTGAATTCTGAATATGAGCGACTTTTCCTTTACAGTGCAGTAAAATTACTGGTCATACTGGTTTACATTAGTAACGGGAATCTGTCCCACTGACCAATGACATTTAAGATGCTGCATGTTTTTATATCAGATATTTTTCCAGTAAATTTTCATAGACAAACCTTTCATATAAACCTCCCAGTTTTCTTCTAAATTCATAAAAAGACACAAATGTCTCTTTAGTTACACCGAGTTGTTAAAAATGCTGTTTTTTTTAAGATAACCTGAGGAAAAATGTGTTTTTAAATAACTATTTTATTTAAATTGATATGTGACTCGGTCACCACTAAGCCTGGTTTTAGTCTTTAGGTTATTCATGGAGGGATGAGCTGAAATTCAACCTGTTGGCCAAACGATCTCCTGCACATAGTTTCAGACCGAGTTCTTCAAAGCATGTTGGAAAAAATAAAGCAAACCTTGTTTGTTTGAAAATAAATTTTGTAAAACTTTTGCTTCAGTTGCAGCTGAGATAAGCTCAGAAATGGTACGAATATCGAGTTCTGAGTCAATAACTCCAGTAATGGTTGTTAAAAAATGCCACTGGGTCGGACCTCCCTTGTTTTATCACATTCATTTTGTTTCTCCTGATCTGATGAATACGGAGCCCCTGAAGGGACATGGAGGGGGAAAAAAGAACTTTTGCGAGATCCCGCAATGCTTTTGCGAGATCTCGCAAAAGTATTGCGGGATCTCGTCGTCGTCGTCTCACGCTTTATCCGGAACCGGGTCGCACTAGTGGTATTGCGGGATCTCGCAAAAGTTTATTTTTTGCGAGATCTCGCAATACTTTTGCGAGATCCCGCAATACTTATGCAGGATCTCGCAAAAGTATTGCGGCATCTCGCAAAACTATTTGAGGATCTTGCAAAAGTTTTGCAGGATCTCGCAATACTGTTGCGATATCCCGCAATACTTATGCAGGATCTCGCAAAAGTATTGCGGGATCTCGCAAAACTATTTCAGGATCTCGCAATACTTATGCAGGATCTCGCAAAAGCATTGCAGGATCTCGTCGTCGTCATCTCACGCTTTATCCGGAACCGGGTCGCACCAGTGATATTGCGGGATCTCGCAAAAGTTTATTTTTTGCGAGATCCCGCAATACTTTTGCCATATCCCGCAATACTTATGCAGGATCTCGCAAAAGTATTTGAGGATCTTGCAAAAGTTTTGCGGGATCTCGCAATACTTTTGCCATATCCCGCAATACTTATGCAGGATCTCGCAAAAGTATTGCGGGATCTCGCAAAACTATTTCAGGATCTCACAATACTTATGCAGGATCTCGCAAAAGTATTGCGGGATCTCGCAAAACAATTTCAGGATCTCGCAAAAGTATTGCGGGATCTCGCAAAACTATTTCAGGATCTCTCAAAAGTATTGCGGGATCTCGCAAAACTATTTCAGGATCTCTCAAAAGTATTGCGGGATCTCGCAAAACTATTTCAGGATCTCGCAAAAGTTTTGCAGGATCTCGTAAAAGTTTACTTTTTCCCTCCATGTCCCTTTAGGGGCTCCGTAGATGATTAATTCTAATTATTTTTTTTTTTTCCCACAGCGCAGAGGAGGAAGCTTTCCGGGGCATATTTGATGGAATATTCTAGAAACACTTGTTTTTCCTCAGATATCAAACTATCAATTGGATGCTTTACCTTTTCTCTTTCACAAATCTACCAGATTTACATTTCTACGCCGAGTTTTACTGTAACGAGTTAATCCTCTAAGATTTAACTAGTTACTTTAGTTATGATTGTTAAGCTATTTGTGCATTTCCTTGTTAAAAAAAGCATATGTTCGTTGTTTATTTATTAAATTTACTGTTAATTAAAACATTTCATATTTATTAAGTGTTTTTATTAGTCTTTTTAAAAAAAAAAAGGTTTTTGCAGATATTTAAATTTAAACCATAATATTTTTTACATGTGTTTTAAAAACAGGTTTTTAATAATGCTACGTTCTGACCGCAGCAGCAGGAGGAGCATAAAGGCGCGTGCTGCTTCGTTTCTGGAGCTTTGCTGCTCCAGCTGAGCATCAGAACTAAACTTGTACAGGTTTAAAAAATGAAGCAGCTGGCGCCTTTTTGCTGCCTTTGCTGCTTTTGGTGTGAACGTACGTAGCATAACAGTAAACAGTAAGATACAAAAAGCTAAATTTAAAAACGGGGAAGAAAACAAAATTTTATTTAGATCAGAAAGAAAAAGTTTGATCTTTAATTCATGATACATATCAAGTTTATTGATTTCTTTAAGTGAAGATGGAAAAACCAACGTAAATAATTCAGGCAGTGAAGAAGTTACTAAAAAGCTTTTCATTTTCTTGTATTGTTAATTTGTTTTGTTGAGGGTTTTAAAGTCATCATAGGTTCAAAATAAGTTAACATGATCTATTTTTATATGTGAGATATAACAATTATTTATTCTATTTATATTCTATTTTATTTATTTTTTGTTGGTAAAAATTTACTTTGGTCAGTTGCCTTAATAATTAACAAGCGTTTAGTTAAACTTTGTTTATTACTGGTCATTTTATTTTTTCTAGATCTCAATCTTCTCCATTAACTTTAAGCATATATTTTCATCATTCTGCACTGGAAAAACGATCTTGAAATGAGTAAAAATTTCTTAAATTCAGTGTATTTACCCTTAATTTGAGTAGGTAAATAAGATAGTTTGCCAATGGAATTAGTATTTTTACTCCTAAAATAAGATAATTAGATAATATTTACTTAAAATAAGACAATGCAATGTGGACTTATCTAGATTCCAATTTTTTTCCAGTGTGGTAATAATTAAATTTCTGTTCATTTTTATTTATGCATACCAAATTCACCACACATTTAATACCAAGCCTCTTTACAGAGGTACTTCAACTAAATCTTCCAGACAGATTGGCTAAAAGTTTCCAAAGTAAAATCAGCTGACTGCATCCAGTCATTGGCTTTGCAGAATTAGCTTCTCCTAGATGAACATGTGGAGACGGTGAAGGGAAACCTTCCCTTTCAGAGAACTATCAAACCCAGAACCAGGTTCTTTGTGAATGGTCTTCTGCTGAGACCGACGGGCGATTTGAGACGACAGAAGCAGACGTACTAAGGGAGCAAAGAAGCACTGATCCATAAATACTTTGTATGCTAGTGTAGGCGAGTATCAACCAAATATTAGTCACTGAGAGGAGAGCAGGGATCTGTTCGACGCGCTGAATCCAAGGATGAAACATGAAGCTTTACTACAGTTAGGGATGTTTATTGTACCCTTTTTTCTATGAAGCATTGTACAACAGGTAGATTTGCAGACTTATTTTGCTTTAAACTTGCGGTCAACAGAAATATTGGCACCCTGCCTTAGCCTCTTTCTGAATCAAACAAACAAACAAACAGCCTCAGAGCAGATCCAGGTGATATTCATTAGAGAATCACTCAGCTCCAGACACATGCCAACACCCACTTATAGCTCCACCCACACATGCCCATGCATATCTTTAACACATGCATCCTACCCTTAGAGAAATGACAAAAATGCATCCTTGCCTCTACAGCTAGAAAAGGTAACAATAAATTGGCTCCAATGGTTGCCTCTGTCTAGCTGTTATCCTACACTGGAAAAACAATCTAGAAATAAGTTAAAATTTCTTAAATTAAGTGTATTTACCCTCAATTTGAGCAGGTAAATGAGATAGTTTGCCAATGGAATGAGTATTTTTACTCTTAAAATGAGATAATTAGATAATATGCACTTGAAATAAGACAATGCAATTGTGTTTTCTTATTTTAAGTGTAAATTGTCTTGTTCCATTGGCAAAAGGTCTCTTTTACCTCCTCAATCCAAGAACAAATGCACTTAACTTAAGAAAAAAATGACCTATCTAGATTTCCATTTTTTCTAGTGTACATCCTGTCACCCTCCACTCCAGGCCGTCTGCGCAAAGCACAGCCTTCAGCCTCTGCTGTTCCTCTCACTCACATTATCTGGTGGCTCCAATAACCTGCTTGGGTGCTGCGTTTTCTTTGCGGCTTGTGAAACCACATTATCGAAGGACCAGAGGCAGTTTTCTACCTAAATGTAGCGGCTAAAATCCTATATTCTAGGCAAGGGTGTAACTTTGTGATGAAAGGTGGTGGGGACAATCTAAGAGTGGGGGCTGATGGATCTACAGTTACGCGACACAAACGCTTTCAACAGGGTTTGCATTTTCCAAAATTGAGCTCACACATATATTTATTGAATGCTTTCCTATCGTTGAGAACACAATAGAACCAAAATAAACTCCTATTTATATTTATGGATAGTTAGACATTCATTTATATTAAAAAGGGATGAATAACAGCCGATTCTGATGCCAACAGCAATGCCTCCCTAATATGCACACAATTTCAGTTTCCTTCATCCCTCCATCCAGGAAAATGTTGATTGATTGATTGGATGTTTTTCCTTTCAGCTACATCAGTGATTATCCTCCTTCAAAAGCAGCAAAATCTTATTTAGAAATTTGTCCCAAATATTGCCAAGAGCCCATAAGTCTATTGAAACTAGAAAAATAGCTGTTCCTGAGAAACAGCTGTGAGAATGCTGGACACTAAACTGTAAGCTCAAAATGGCAGGAACCACTGAGAGGACATGAAATAGAAGAAAAGATAAATGCTTCATTTCTTTATTGAAATAAAGAAGAAGCCGACAGCAGAAACAATCGGGCATGTTATGAAATTTATTAAATTAGCAGAATCAGAAAAGAAAATTGCAAGAAAAACATTAATTTTATCTGGTTGAAGAAATAAAGGTTTGGTGAAAATGTTGAAGAATGTGGTATTGAATGAGCAGCTTAGTGCTATATAAGAAACTTGATTAAAGTGTTGAAAAGTTGAAGTTATGTAAAATATGGACAGAAAGTTGATATTGAAATAAGCTGAACTTGGAAACAAAAAAGGGCAAAGTTTTTAAGGTTTTTCATTAATTTCTCTGGGCCGGCAAAAGCTTAATATTTAAACAATTATAATAATTGAAAGTACCTAAAGACATAGCATAACCCTCCAGAAGAAGCTGATGGTTTTGATACCAAAAATTTTTAAATCGGCTAAAGTATGCGGGACTACTTAGAGAAGGAAACATGAAAACAATGCATTAATTTATTCTCAGTGATTATTGGTGGGTTAGGGCCCCCACCAGTCCTTCAGAAAGTTACGCCAGTGGATTAAGATGAGATCTGAGCAGCCTCCTGTTCATTCTGACAGCAGCTGTCTGATCAGCGGTCCGATCCAAGATGGCCGCCCTCTAGGCACGTCCAATGAGACGTCTACGTATTAATGACGGACTATGAGTAACGCTAACCTCACTTTTTCCTTCAACCAATAAAAAATCAAAAAGAAGAACGTGGCCTACGCCGTTTTATCGCGAGAACTGCTGACGTCACTTTTAGCGCGGAGTTTGTTGTCGGCGGAAAACAATCTGTCAAAGTTAGAACAAAGTGTTTTTTTCCGCTTCGTTTCGCTGAAGTTCGAACATTTAACATATTATTGACTCCGTGGCTTCATGATGGATTCCTGAAAACCTTCCCGTTGCTTCTTTGGCGCCAAAAACCCAAACGAATCTGAGTTTCTTTGTGTTTAGCTGCAGGCGCTACGGTTAGCTTGTTCGCTAGCAGCACAAACCAAACTGGTGAGTTTTCTTCTACTTTTTATCGCCGTATTTACTTTATATGTTTTAGGGATGGCAGGTTCTCATTCAGACCAGCTTAAATGAATAACTGCTTGATCTGACATGAAGTGTAAGTTAATAAAATGAGCTAACTGGAATGTTCTGTGGTTTTCAGATGGAGTTTCCTGCTGTTTGCTCAGAGGACAGCAGCTCAGAGGCAGCCATCATGGAAACAGCTCATAAAAAAAGGAAAATCTCAAGTGAGTCTCGATTAAATAAAACTGTTCGCTGTCATTTAAGTGTTAAGGTATAATGTGATTACATCCATAGTATTGTTTTTTATGGGCATAGATTCTTCTGAAAATATTCTCACTTTATTCTGTTTGTGCATCCAGAGCTTTTCACCTAAATCTACTGGTTACTCCATACAAACATTGAAACTGAATATAAGACAGATTTGGGGTTTTATTATTTATATATAATAGAGATAATTTGGGCTGAAACAATTAATCTGAATAAACTATAAACTATAACCGCCAACTAATTAAGTAAACAATCATTACCTGGAGTATGGAGACTCTAAATCAGGCATTTAACTGTCACTGCGACCCACTTAGAGCAGAAATTATAACAAAATTGTACAAAAATTATATAAACATTTATCAATTAAGAGAAAAATCTTTTTCATCTGTCAGTCTGCTCTATCCAGAACTCCTTAAAGGAATAGTACACTCAAAACATGATTAGCCTTCATTTTCTACTCACCCCCATGCTGAACAACACTCTGGAGTACTTTTTTGATATCTCAAATGCATCTGGAGATCTGGGAGGCTTCTTGCTGTCTGCTGACATTCAAATAATGGAGGTCTATGGCGCCCGAGGCAGAAAGGTCCATAAAAGTCCACAAAAAACGTGTCAATATTCCTCCATACTGCTTGTCCAATGTTTTCCAAGTGTCCTGAGTGGGTAGCGTCCAGAATTTACTCGAAACGAAGTCATTTAGAATGTTTTTAGAGCATAAACAGTAGTGTATAGGATTTCCTGAAAGCGCGTTCACGAGTCTACGGAAACCGCGGCAGACCAAACCAGATGAAAGTGCGCATTCAGCGTCTGCTCTGCTGATAATGCAAGCGTAGAAGAAGAAATGTGCTGTTTACCTGTGCAAAGAAAGAAACAACGAAAGAAAAATGGCTGTCTGTGTGTTCGTCCTTCTCGATTCGGTGCCGGGGCACGCCATTTTTAAAAACTAAAAAAATATTTTCTTTATTGTTTCAAGTAACATATAAACAAAAAAAACATATATATTGTCCTTTCATTTAATTTCTCCTTTAATCCCAAAAGTTTTCCTCAGTTCCTCACTGATACGAGCCGTTAAAGTCACTAATGGACGTACCTCCATCCAGTTTGGATTAGTTTGATTTAGGGCTGGGCGATAATTCAATAACGATATATATCGATCGATAGACGTGTGGCGCAATAGAAAAAAAGAGGGTCGATAAAAGTTCGATAAAAAAGAAAAGCAGCTTTCCTTCCTTCTCATTGTAGCCTAGCAAGTAGGTTTATGCTAGCCACTGCTTCCTCCCAACCAATCACAATCGCGGACCCAGGCACGCCGTCACAAAGCGCCGCCCTCTCAAACCACAACACAGAGCACATGAAGATGCAGCAAGGAGAGGCGGAGGAAATTGTTTCAAAGAAGGGTTTTTGTAGTTCGGCAGTCTGGCAGTATTTCGGTCATGGCAAGTCGGACCAAAAACAAACCACAGTCATCTGGAAAATGTGTCGGGAACCAGTGAAAACCAGTCTGATAACGAAACCAACTTTTTTTTTATCATCTCAGCCGCTCACAGCCCTCAGGAGTACGAGCTGTGTAGGCCCCGGTGCGGCTCTCCTCCGAGGAATCTTCGGAAAATATATATATATTTTCAGTTCTGGGCAGTTTCCCACGTAGTTCTAACAATTGGGATAAAAATGCCGAGGGGCCAGAAACTTCAAAGTGATGACTCAGGTTAAAGCAGGAAACGGGGGCGGTGGTGGGGGGGCATTTATTTATTTGTTATATTTATCTTGGTCACTTTAGTTTATTCTTTGTCAGTATTTAATAACATAACTCAGGTCTCTTAAGTTATTTTTCTTTAAAACAATTCTGTTATGGTTAAAAAAGTTGGTTAAATAAAGATTTAATTCGAAGTCTGTGTTTGTGTTTTTTATTAAAATTAAATCATTTAGCAATTTTATAAAAAGTCCAGGCAGAGCTGCACATAAAATATGGTTTCAAATCTTTTCAATAATTATCGATATTGATCAATATGCATTTTTTTTTATCGATAAGCTTTTTTTCTATATCGCCCAGCCCTAGTTTGATTATCTAAAAGATGATGATCTAGTCGTTTTTTCACCCGTGCCAGGCTGAGTCGCTGTAAAACAGGCTGCTGGAGACGTGACATTTTCTTTCTTAATGTGTCCATGTCCAGAGGATGTGCAGCTGGATATAGAGGACCTGTACAAAGCCGTCCCTCAGCTGGCTAAGGTGTTTCGCATTGTGGATAAAATTGGAGAAGGTAGATGTTTAACTTCCTTCATAACATTCGTTGCAAATAACTGTTTAGTGTTAAACTCATCCGGGTCTCTGTGTCTCTCAGGCACGTTTAGCTCCGTGTACTTGGCCGAGGCTCGGATGCGAGACGGGAGGAGAGAGATGTTTGCCTTGAAGCACCTCATCCCAACCAGCCATCCCACCCGCATTGCCGCCGAGCTTCAGTGTCTGACGGTGGCAGGGTGGGTCCCTGAAACCCTTTCAGCATCACGTCAAGGAATTTAGCTGAACTATTTCCACATGGTTTTATCTTCTTTAACCTTTCTGGCCCCTCTTCCTGCAGCGGCAGAGAGAACGTGATGGGAGTGACGTACTGCTTCAGGAAGGAGGACCACGTGGTGATCGTCATGCCCTACATGGAGCATCAAGCCATTGTGGTTCGTATGGCTGAACTCTAGTTTTATCTAAACCTGTTTGATGGTGTTTTTCATCCCTGCATACATTCAACCTATCATAGATGCAACGTAGTAAAGGTTTTTAAAGGGGTCATAGATGCAAAACAGAGTTTCCATTGTCATAGATGAATAACGATGGTTCAGAGGGTGACATGGACGTACAGAGAAGTTCAAACTACATCAACTCCTACTTTCTCTGCAAATCTCACAATTCTAAACTTCCACCATAAAACGGGCGAATCTAAACGACGCACAGAGTTGACGTAAACTCGGGGATGTTGCTTTATTTGGTTCTGGCCTGGACTTTTGTCACGCCTGAAATTGACACCCAGCCCACTGGTTCACGGCCCAAGAACATGAATAGAGGAAGATGGAAGACAGCAGTTTAGCTGTTTAGCCTACAGTTGGGTTTTCTTCTACTAGAATTACAAAGCAGGAAGTTTCTCTGTTGAAAATGAGCCAAAACCACGGGAGGAAATGCAGCGTTCCAGGCTGACCGGAGAAAGGGGAACATTTTCACAGTCTTTCCAGGGATCCGAAGACTCAACAGGCATGGATTATTTTAGTCTATTAGAGGATCCCTGCAATGTTTGATGCTCAGCTGTTCGTTTGCTCGAAGCATTTTACAGAAGACGGCTTTCAGAATCTTGGACAGTTCAAGGCAGGATTAGCTAAACTTCTACAGAAACGAGGGACTGTTCCCACCGTAAGGCCGTCACAACTGCAAGCTGGAAGCGTGATTCTGTCGCTAAGCTGTTGATAGCAATGCTAGCAGATCCATGGTGACCAGATTCGTGTTTCTGAAAGGAAGACAGTTTTTCTGGGGAGACCAGACCGGGCATTCGAACCGAGCCTTCAGCTCCAGGGCTGGTCCAACGCTCCCCCCCCCCGCCTGCCTTTCCGTGCTTCGGGGCTGCCGTTGTCCAGTCTACCGTCACCGGGTCGGGTTCGGTTGCTTCTTCCCCGCTGGCTCACGGCTCGGTTCTGCTGCACTGTAGTCGACCAAAATCCCGGACGATTTTGAAATTCCCCCCGGACATTTTTTTAGGTCTGAAAAGTAGGACATGTCCAGGAAAAAGAGGACGTCTGGTCCCCCTACCATATAAACAATCTGATGTTTCAGTGAGTGCTTGTTGCTATGATGCGTCTTTGCTCAGCAGCTTCACTCGCTGTAAACCAACCAATCAGTGCACAGCTCATCTAAATATTCATGATCAAACCATAAAAGGAAGAAAACCTGTGGTTTCATTCTAGGGCTTTTAACCAGGCCGCATTAGGGCTCATAGAACAGCTAATAGGACATTTTCAGCCCAACCAATGTTACACACCCTATTAGAGACCTGAAGGACCAGATACTCTATAGAATCATTCTATCACCCTATTAGAGACCTGAAGGACCAGATACCCTATAGAATCATTCTATCACCCTATTAGAGACCTGAAGGACCAGATACCCTATAGAATCATTCTATCACCCTGTTAGAGACCTGAAGGACCAGATACCCTATAGAATCATTCTATCACCCTATTAGAGACCTGAAGGACCAGATACCCTATAGAATCATTCTATCACCCTATTAGAGACCTGAAGGACCAGATACCCTATAGAATCATTCTATCACCCTATTAGAGACCTGAAGGACCAGATACCCTATAGAATCATTCTATCGCCCTATTAGAGACCTGAAGGACCAGATACCCTATAGAATCATTCTATCACCCTATTAGAGACCTGAAGGACCAGATACCCTATAGAATCATTCTATCACCCTGTTAGAGACCTGAAGGACCAGATACCCTATAGAATCATTCTATCGCCCTATTAGAGACCTGAAGGACCAGATACCCTTTAGAATCATTCTATCACCCTATTAGAGACCTGAAGGACCAGATACCCTATAGAATCATTCTATCGCCCTATTAGAGACCTGAAGGACCAGATACCCTATAGAATCATTCTATCACCATATTAGAGACCTGAAGGACCAGATACCCTATAGAATCATTCTATCACCCTATTAGAGACCTGAAGGACCAGATACCCTATAGAATCATTCTATCGCCCTATTAGAGACCTGAAGGACCAGATACCCTATAGAATCATTCTATCGCCCTATTAGAGACCTGAAGGACCAGATACCCTATAGAATCATTCTATCGCCCTATTAGAGACCTGAAGGACCAGATACCCTATAGAACCATTCTATCACCCTATTAGAGACCTGAAGGACCAGATACTCTATAGAATCATTCTATCACCCTATTAGAGACCTGAAGGACCAGATGCCCTATAGAATCATTCTATCACCCTATTAGAGACCTGAAGGACCAGATACCCTATAGAATCATTCTATCGCCCTATTAGAGACCTGAAGGACCAGATACCCTATAGAATCATTCTATCACCCTATTAGAGACCTGAAGGACCAGATACCCTATAGAATCATTCTATCACCCTATTAGAGACCTGAAGGACCAGATACCCTATAGAATCATTCTATCGCCCTGTTAGAGACCTGAAGGACCAGATACCCTATAGAATCATTCTATCGCCCTATTAGAGACCTGAAGGACCAGATACTCTATAGAATCATTCTATCACCCTATTAGAGACCTGAAGGACCAGATACCCTATAGAATCATTCTATCACCCTATTAGAGACCTGAAGGACCAGATACCCTATAGAATCATTCTATCACCCTATTAGAGACCTGAAGGACCAGATACCCTATAGAATCATTCTATCACCACTTTAATCATGGGAACAGATTCCTAGGGATCCCCCAAATAGAAATGTCCTGCTCAAGTCCTTCATTACAGCTCAGCTTGATCAGTTAAAGCTATAGAACCTGCAGTACTGCCACCTGCAGGTGACATTAGGTGAGACCAATCCATAGTTCCTGGATTAAGTGTGAAAATATCTCACCCAGTAATTAACTGGGACCAATGAAGGTCCGCGGTGTGTTTGATCAGGCAGAGACGCTGGCAGATTGTTGCTGGTGGTGCTTTAGTGAGCTATGCAAATGGAAACTTGGTTGCCATCAACCATGACTCAGAAAAGCCTGGATGGCGACTGCTGTGTGCCATATTCACTAAGAGACACTTGATAGACTTGGACAAGTAAGAAACTCTCCTGCTGTCGGTTCAGGTAAAGAATATCTATAGATTTTGCATTTGAGATAAAAAAAACTTTCAATCTGCTCTATCCAGAACTCCTCAAGTGGAAAAGTTTTATTTTCAGCTGGTTTAAATTATTAAAAAGAATCCTTTAAGGAACCTTTGGCTATCTGATTATTAATCAATTAATTGAAAAAAAATGTTCTAGAGAATAATCGAATTGGTAAATAAACTTTAGTTGCAGCTCTAGATCAGACAGCAAATTCAAATCTATGTAGAAAATATTGGTTGAACTATCTATGTTATTAGGAAACAATATTTTAAGTAGGCGGAACTGAGTAGGGGAACAATTGTAGTAGAATATTTTATTAATGTGTTTTATAAAGCTCCCAGACCTAAATGTGTAAAAGAAGGTACAATAGGTCCCTTTAATCATGTCCCAGACCCTCAGTTTACCTCTATTGAACTGATGTCATGTGTTATGTACGTTAAATAAGCTCATTTTGAGGTGACGCCTGTTTTGTTTGGACCATTCTTGCTGCAGCGGTTCTGAAACTGTAACGTTTTCCTCAGGACATCATCGGGTCGCTGAGCTTCGAAGAGGTCCGTGTCTACATCTACCACCTGCTGAAGGCTCTCAGACACATCCACCAGTTCGGGATCATTCATCGAGACATAAAGCCCAACAATTTCCTCTACAACCGGAAGAGCAGAACGTACGTTTTCAGCCCTCCTCATAGCAGTGGGACGAATGGTTTGGTTTGGGTTTGATGGTTTTTCTACTGGGATTATTGAGGGAAAACTGCAGCTGCATCGCCGCGTTAATCAGACGCTGATTTCAAGTGTTTATGGGGTGAGATAAAACGTATGTGTCTCAATCTGTAAATGTAAGTCAAAACATGTGAATATATTTAAGATTTTCTATTTTTTAGCTGTGATATCAGATGTTTAATCGAATTAAAAGTTTAGAAGTTGCAAAGTTCAAGGAAAAGTCAGATCAATGGATCATTATTTATACCTAAAACGAATACGTTTGGGGTGATTTAATTAATTTAGTGTTAATCAGTAAAAAAAATAAAGACCATCATTTTAGTTGCGATCACCGAGTCTGGGAGCGGCCATTTTTGCCCAAATATAATAACCCCTCCCTCCTGACATCTTCCGGTTTAAGTACCAGATCTACTCAGGGTCCTGCCTCTTCTTATGACGTCAACATACAAACTGCATCGCACTCGTTTCCTAAGGAAGTCTCAACATATTACTCATATTTGCTATATTTTACATTTCCATGGCGATCTAAAGTAGCCGAGAGTAGAAAACAATCAGCCTGGAAGGAAAGTACTGCGTTCTAACACTGAGCTCTGACATTTATCAAGGCGACACAAAAAGTCTCAGCTTATTTTTATTCTTTTTAAGATCTGAGGGCAGAGGAGGACAAATGGAACATCTTAAAAAATGAATTTCATAGAGACTTTAAACAAATAAAACTGTTATTGTACTTATAGGAAACAAACGGTTGTTGTTGACATAAGTTTAAAAGTAGTATAGCTAAATATGGCTAACTGACCGAGCTAATAGAGGCGACCCAGCTCTCCCCCTTTATATCAGGGTCTAACAGTTACTTTGTTCACCAGAAACTGATTTATTTCAGTTTTGTTATCGATCAGGTAAAACTTCATCTGTCATTAGACGCGCTAACGGACGCTGCGCAACGTTATTATAGTTGCCTAGGCAACCACAATGTTTTACATCATGTGGCAACGTTCAGCCAAGCCGTTATGTCACTGGCATGAAGCAGGATCCGAGCAGATCTGGTAGCTACACCGGCAGTGACGTCACGGTGCGGTAAGCCTAGCGCCATTCTCCCCGCTTTACAAGCTAAATCAATGGGAACTACTAGACACATCTGCAATCAACAACAATTATTGAAGATTTCCAGAGGACTTCACCATTGAAATTCACCAGAGCTATAGTGAAACTGACAATGCCCACGTGCATGGCAGCTGGATGCTGGAATACATCGGGTAAAAGTGAAAAACAAAGAGTTATTCCACCTTTCTGATTCCTGATCCTCCACGGACGGGTTGGTCGTTGGATCGCCAACTTGAAGAGGGAGGATTTGCCATCGAACTTCTGGCCAGAGAAAAAACCCGTAATATGTAGCCAACATTTGGAAGAAGAATGTTTTCAAGATGACTTGGATAATAGCGCGTTGTGACAAACACCAGATACAGCACTGGGACTTGATCAACAGCCGATACCGCACCGTGACGTCACTAACCAGTAGGTGGCAGTAGTGTTCTTTGACAAACATGGATGCCACCAGTAAAGCACATTCACATGAAAATTACTCTTAATTAAAGTTGCAGGGAAGCAGCTGTTCCAATTGTTGCATTTCCGAATTCTCCCGAGTGGTGAACGACTTTACACGAGTGAATAAAGTGAATGTGATTGGTCGATTATCAAGGGGGCGGGGTTGTTGTGGCGGAAAGTTCATCAGCAAGTTTGTCAGAAGCATCTTAGTGCTAGCAGGTTCCCAATGGGAAATTCCATTGGGACCAAGTAGCACTAAATTGGTGACTTAGAAACGACGCTGTCAAGGAACGCTATGGACAGCGGAAACATGCAAGAGGAGGAGAGTTTAGTGTCGGAGGTCGTGGATGAGTCTCCTCCGTCATCCATTTTTTATTTAGAGGAGGAAAGCGGGGACGAAGATGTTGTGGAAGAGGACGCCAGGGCGGCAGAAGCTTGGTTTGGTGTAGAAGGCTTCCAGCCGTACATGTTTGAGCCCTTGCCTCGCAACGCTGCCAGTTCTGTTAGCTCTACGCCTGCCGAAGACACAGACGTCCATCCCCGTGAACACTGGGACGCAACTCAATGGGAAAGGAAAGGATTCTGATTTCAACCGTTGCGTATATTAGCTGCGACACATGAATCAAGATGCTATGGCCGAAAACATTTGATTGACAGATGAGCGTTGATATATGATTGGCCGAATTTAGGTGTTCAGGCTGACGTAGAACTAACTGACCTGCAGAAGATAACGAGAAAAATACAGATTTTAAGACAGGATTTTTTTTTTTTATTAGACATTTTCTAAATTTTGGGACAATATGGTCTGATAAAAAAGTACATTTATATACATGTTTATTCCAGAATGATTTGACATTTAACTTTACTTTAAAGGACTGGACTTTTCCTTCAAAACTTTGCAACGATATGAGAACAAATTCTGGACTAATTACAGAGAGGAAGCTTTTAGACTCCTTACCAGAGGGTGGGGCTGCATAAGGAGTAAAAATATCCCGACCAAACAGAATGTTATGGTGATGAGCTGGTTAAATGTAGGGATGTCAGCGTAGCAGGAAATGTGTCCCAGTTAGGCTCCTGTTGTCCGTTTTGACCGTGTATGTATTTGCAGGTACGCTCTGGTGGACTTCGGCTTGGCTCAGGGCGCCGCAGACACCCAGATCGAGCTGCTGAAGGTGGTGAGACAGAAGGCGTCACAGAAAGTTGCAGGGCTTTCAGGGAAACGGGAAGCTGCGCCTCCTCTGAAAACCAGCAGCACAGCTCCTCTACCTTCCTCCTCCACCTTCTCCTGTGTCCCCCTTCCCCCCACAGCGGCTGGGAGAGCACTGGTTAAAAAACCCTGCACCAGCGTCACCTCTTACACTCGAACAAAACTCACCAAGGTGTTTTCACGGAGACGTTCAGTTTGCTTCTTCGTGTTTTGATTTTCAGCCTGTGTTGCATCATCCTTCCTGTTTGGTTCTCCTTCCGGCGCCCAACGGCTTGTTTCTCTGTTCGTTTAGGATCTGGCAGGGCTGCGTAAAGTTCCTCGACCCGTGTTTGGAGAGAGAAATCTGAACAGCTGCACACCAGCGCCCCCTACCTCCAAGTCTGATGTAAGAAAGCAGATGTTTATGTTTGATCTACTGCAGGCGGTTTTATCGTTTTACTGAAGTTTCTTTTTATTTCTTCATCATTTGGTAAAGGTCAAGAAATCCGAGGAGGACGCCAGCGTCAGATACCCATCAGCCAATCGGGTTCCTCTGCCTGTCAGGGCTTCTGGCAGCAGCCAGAAAACCCAGAGGACCCTGCAGCAGGGTCTGACGTGTAACTGCTACCTCACCGACCGCGTCTGCAACGTCTGCTTGGCCAGGTTGAAAACGGAGGGGCGGAAAAACACCCGGCGTCTCTCGCAGAGCTCGTTTTGATTAACTGCGCTGCTGTTGTGTTTGATCCAAGGAAGCAGCAGGTGGCACCCAGAGCGGGGACCCCCGGGTTCAGAGCCCCAGAAGTCCTGAGCAAGTGTCCCGACCAAGGCACAGGTGGGTCCATTAAAGAAGGGTTACAGCAGAACCGTGATGTACTGAAATATTTTAGCATAGAAAACGCACCGTTTGGTTGATTTCTTTAGGATTTATTGCAACAAACAACGTAGAGCCTTATTATTAGCTTTATAAATGAATTATTGATAAATATTCCACAAAAATAAATAAATAATAAATATGAGAATAAAGTAATAACATTATAGGAATATGCTGGTGAAGATTCCCAGTCATCCAGGTCATAGTTATTCCAAAAGAGTTAAAAACAATCCACTGGACTCTGTTTCCAAGTTTGAAGACGTTTCTCTTCCATCCAGGAAGATTTTTCAATTCAAAATGTCAGCCAACAAAGCCTACGACAGAGAATTAGGGCCAGGCTGGAGATTTTTTTCCTTCTATTTCGAGAATAAAGTCGTAAAATTACGAGAAACAAGTTGTATTTTATGATTACACTTTTTTCCCTAAAATGAGGAATGTGGAGCATCATGTGAAGTTCTACTTTAGCATCGGTTTGAGAAATCAGGAAATCTTTTAGCAGCAGCATCAAACTGGGCAGGATGTCGAAGTGGACTCTGGTTGCTGATTGGTGGAGCTGGTCGCAGTGTTGCCAACTCAGCGACTTTTCAGACCCCTCCAGCGACTATTTTTCAAAAAAGCGACTAGCGACAAATCTGGCGGCTTTTTACGGTGTCACTGGCGGCTTTTGGAGACTCTTACATGAAAGCATGTATCATTCCTACTAGGGACGCAGGATATTGGGATTTTGGCCGATATCCGATATGCCGATATTTTAAAACTCATGTAGCCGATAACCGATATCGATACCGATGTTAAAGCTGGACAAAAATAAGTAGTCATTGAAAATAGCAGTTTTGTTATCCATTTCTGACACTTTGAAAAATAATAAACTCAAATATATTTTCATATGCTGATATCAAATAGATTTTTAAAAACGTGGTATCGATCTATTTTACTTTCAAAACCTCGTGAAATTTCATCGTTCTGTTACAAACTCTTTTTGTAACAGAACATGGATTTGCTCCGCATATCCATCTGGAAACCTTCCGTTGAAGTAATTTTGGGAAGGGGCGAAAATACTGGTTAGCTGATTGGCCTATGTTGGTGATAGACGGGCCAAATAAACCAATCAGATGAAGTACTAACAGAGCGACGACGAAAACACAACCACAAGCCAGGCTCCTCTTGCCGAAACCAGTCGGGAGAAGAGCAAAAACATCTTTTCCTCTGAGAAAAGCCTCCAGAGCAGTGTTTTGCTCTTCTTTCAGTGAAGAAATACTCTGTAATTCCGATAAAACTTGCTCGATAGCCACGCTAACGCTAGTTTCATCGGCTGAAGCTGCCATGTTCTTTAGACTGAACTGTCGCGCTTCTCGTTGCGTCACACCTCAACCCGCCTCAAAGCCAACGCTGATTGGACGTTCGTTTGGTAAACGGCTCCAAAGTTTTTGAGGAAGAAGAAGAAGTAGTATTTTTTATTTTTTTTTGACTTTAGAAACTCAGAAGCTGATCAAATATCGGGTTAAATATTGGTGGGGTGGCCGATGTCCGATATTCAGTTTTAAGGCCGATACCGATAGGGGGCCGATTATATCGTGTATCCCTAGTTCCTACTCTTGTCCTCCAGCGGCAGCTGCTGCCGCCGTGGGGCGCCTCCCCCATCCCAACCCCGTTCTCCCGCAGGAGTCCCTCTCAGCGCTGCAGTCGGAGCCGCAGGATGTTTACCCTCAGCGTCCAGACTGCAACATTGACGGCTCAAATTGATCACGCGGTGCCGCTCCGCTCTGACTTACATTCAAGGCGGGAGCGAGTGGGATGTAAATGTAAAATGTTATTCGGTCTAAAATAAATAACTGAATTTGAAATATTTTATCTTAAATAACAGCATCTGATTCACACAGCCACAGTCAGTCACTTAATCACCTTGTCCATTGTGCTTTCCTCTCTAAGATTAACATTGATCTGCTGCTGAGAATCATTATGTCTCAGTCTAAACTGTACAGTCAAAAATACAGAAAAGAGTGGGAATCAAACCCTGAATAAAGTAGCTCTATATATTGTTTAGTGAAGTGAGTAAAAACACTATATAATAGTGTTTTTCTCACTTCTTGTCTTTCTGTAACGACATTATTTCTCCCACAGCATCAATAACATGCACATCACTTCCTGTAGCAGATTATGCAAATCAGGCGATGACGTCATTTAGCGACTTTTAGCACAGCCAATAGCTACTTTCCTTACTGAGGAGTTGGCAACAACTCGGCCGTCATCTGCTGGGCGGAGCTCCAAGCCTTCTTTCTGAAACGGGTTGTTGTTTGATGACTTTGGTCTCCTAATATTACGACTTTATTCTCAAATTAAGAAATAAATAATCTCTAACGTGGCCCTAATTTTCCGTGGGCAGGAGGTCTTTACAAAAATATGAGTTGTTTTGGGTTTTATTAATATTGTTTCCTCCCATCGGCGGTGGCCTCTCCTCCTCTCTTCCTTGGCTGCAGCCATAGACGTGTGGTCGGCTGGTGTGATCCTGCTCTCCCTCCTCAGCGGTCGTTACCCCTTCTTCAAAGCCAGCGACGACCTGATGGCGCTCACACAGATCATGACTATAAGAGGCTCCAGGGAGACCATTCAGGCCGCAAAGACGTTTGGTACGCATGGAGCTCCTTTACCTGGAAACGCCTCCTTTTTAATGGATGTTTAAGTTTTATATAAGGGGGGCTGTCGGTGTTTTACCAGGAAAAGCAGTGGTGTGCAGTCGGGAGCTTCCGCGTCAGGACCTCAGGACGCTCTGCGAGACGCTGAGAGGGAAGAGGTGTCCGGCAGGTGATGTCACCGGGGTCCGGGAAGCAAAGGGAGAGACGGCCGGAGGCCAACTGAAGCAGCTGCTCAAGCAGCAAGAAGAAGAGCCTTCAGGAAGCAGAGTCCCGACCAATCACAGCTCCCCGTCAGAGAGAAGCGAGGACAGCAGAGGCTGGGACAGGGTTCCTGACGCGGCCTTCGACCTGCTGGACCGGCTGTTGGACCTGAACCCTTCCACCAGGATCACAGCCGCCGAAGCTCTGCAGCATCCTCTCTTCAAGGACCTTTGACCCTAAGCTCCAGCCCCCCACGGCTGAGGTTTGGTCATATCACTGTTAGGTATGGAGTCAATTCTGTTCCATTATTGTTGCCAGCAAACAAATTTGGAAACTGACATTTAACAAAAAAAAGCAATCCAGAAATGAAGCTTCTTGACTAAAAAAAACATTTTGAGTGTCATTTCCTTTATTATTTAGTAATTAAATATATTATTGTTTTTCAAAATAACCTTTTTTTTTACAGATTATAGATTTTAACTTATTTTTCGCCAAAATTTCTTTCAGATCGAGTTTTAACAAATTGCGCTTTTTCCAATTGAGTTTTTTTACATGGCATATTCTTAAACTCACGTCCAAATCCAATGCTCCCTCTTGACCAATAAAATGTCACAGATGTAAAACTGACCAATAGAAAATGGTTTTGACTCCATAGAAAAGTGAAGAGAATCTAGTCTGGAAAATCTAACTTTAAAGCAACTCCTTAAATTCAGTCTAAGAAAGAAACTTCTAGAAAATATCAAAATATAAAATCTGTAAAATAAATACAATTAAAAAATTTAAAACAAATAAATTTTTTTATTAAAACTGAAAAACAAAAATTTTGAAAAAAAAAGTTGGGAGGGAAAAAAATGACAAAAAGCAGTTACATTCAAATCCTGTTTTTATTTAATATATATGTATGTTTGCGTGTGTACAAAAGATCTTTTTCAAAGTTTAGTTTCTAGATTGCATTTTTTATTTTCAAAGCGTTTTCTTTCTTTGCAACAGTAATGGAACAAACTTCACTCCATAGTTGGACAGGGCGAGAAATTATATGTTCATAAAGAGTAAAGAAATCCAGAAAAAAAAAAGGTAGTTTTACCTCCATGGTGCTGCAGATCATACCGGGCATTAAAGTCGACCTCAGGAAAAACTTTCATGTTAACTTAAAAAAGGACTGCTAATGGGAGTTAACTTTAAAAAGGGCTTTTAATTTGAAGGCATGCGTTGTGATGTCATTGGTGCTGAAAACTGCAGAATGTCTGAATTTTTCCTAATAAAACAGAATTGTTCCTTTTAAAGCTACAGTGTGTAATTTTCAGCGACATCTAGCGGTCAGACTGCAGCAACATGAACGTCTCCCCCCCACCGCTTCTCCCCCCCCAACAGTACGGCGAGCGTTACGGGACAAAATGTCTTCCACGACTTCCGCATCACCTACCTTCTCAAGTGATGAGGTTTGTTTACATAGATAATTTTACAGATAGTATTTCATTAGTCTGTGTAGGGTATAGATTTCATGTAGACTTAAGATAATAAATATACCCGTTATTTTTTCTACGTCGTTGTGACGTTTTGGTGAGCTGCTTTGCATGGTGATATAAACAGACGAAGTAATTGTAGTCATTAGTTTAACAGCGAGATTGTGTTCGCTGGAAGAATATATATTCCCCGTTTACAGAGTCCAAGTCTTGTTTGTGGCACGGGGGTTACAAGGCAAGGAAGAGGGAGAGGAAGAGGGCAGAGAGGCCGGGGTGAGCGTGCAGCTGGGGCCAGGCGAGGGAGGGGAGCCAGCGGGGTGAGAGCAGAGGAGGAAAGGCTTGAAGATCTCCAAAGGAGCCGGAGAGAAGTAACCGAGGTATATATCCAGAAAATTATTTTACAGAAAATTACTGAATCATTACCTGTGAAACGTCAGGGACGTTGCTGAATAAGTATACTGGAGAGTAACAGCATCATCACGCAGCATGTTATTGTTTTAGACAGGTCTGAGCATCCTGTACTCCAAAAACTGCAGTGATATTAGACAATTGTGTGTGTAGGATTAATTACCTGTCCAAGAGAAAACTGGCAACTTGAGCGTCACTTTGAAAACCTTTTTCCTCCATCAGTGACTTCCATCGTGTAAATGCCGTGCCAATGTTGATCCGTGTTTTTTGTCGTTTCTTGTCACGCTTGCGTTTATTCTCGTCGTGTTTCCGCTTCTTAGATGACGGGGGTTCGGTGTCCGCCGCTTTTCGTTGTGATACAGAGTAGGCATGATCCTCCATTCGTCTGATGTTTGGCCACACAGTGCCAAACAGTTTGCAAAGTCACTCACGCCTGCCGCCTTGTTTACCTTTCTTGTTACCGAGGCGCAGTATACCTGCTTCTTCTTCTTCTTTGGTTTCAGGCAGACTAAACGCTTCTCAGGCATAATACTGCCATCTACTGTTCAGTACCGTCTCAGTTCATCTCTCTCAACTTGCCGTAGTTATTTTCGAGCGTCATGGGAGATCTCGCAATCGCTAGTTTGTTGCCTCTGCGCTGCCGTAGCGCAAAGATGTCAGCCTCCATGGCTGCGAGACCCGCTCCTATGTAATTATAAATAACGTATTCTAAGGCAACGCAAATGTTATGGTTAAAAGGCTGAGCTCATAGGTGATGATAAATAACATAGTTATGTATAATATATTAAATTTCTGACTTTATATGCCTGTAATTATTACACACTGTAGCTTTAAAACCTGTTGCTGCAGACGACTGGTTCATGATCAGCCAATAGGAAGGAAGAAATATGCAAACGCATCCAGAAATATTTGGTAAGTGGGCTACATGGTATTTATAGTTTGTGTTAAAAATGTTGTAAGTTTAGCAAATTCCAAAAGTTTCAAAACCAGTTTTGATCTTTATTCGGGATTGTTGATCTGTGTCCCAATTCAAACATCTGTTGCTTTTGAGGTTAAGTGACAATTTAGAGGAGGTAAGATGCAGAACATGCACTGATCATAATACTACCACCACCGTGCTCGACGGTTTAGTCATTGTTGTCAAACTATCATTGTCCGTCAGTTTGTCCAGCACTTTTCTGTGTGGTTAACTGCAAATCTTATTCAGTTCTAAAGATGCTAAAAAGCTAGTGATGGGTCCATTAACAGCGATGCGTCGGTGGGTGGAGCCCATAGAGCGAAACGCTGGATCGGTGCGCGTTTCCAGATAGTCATGTGACCGATACAGGAGTTGTTTCTGACTGACCGACTCAGTAAACTGTTTAAAATCTGTCAACATGATGCATCTGCTACAAAAATGTCTCATCTTTTGAGGTTTATCATTGAAAATGTCAAGAATTTTGGAGCCTAAAAGGAATAGGAACGTTTCAGTCGTTGTGTTTTTATTTTAATTTTCTCATGTCGTACTTTTCCTCTCAGTTAGCACTCAAATTATCTGAATTAAAGTTAATTTCAAATTGACTTTTAGTTTATTTACTGTTTTTACTGTACTTATTGTTTTAAAATTATTTAAAACCCTAGTCCACATGCATCCTCTGTCACATTTTACACGTTATGTTTACATTATTTATTGGCTGCATCTAAAAATATCAAATATTTTGAATTTAAACATAGATATGAAATAATATAACTTACAATAAATTAAATCAGCTGCCATTTTCCAGGCCAAGTACCCCACACTGATGGCAGGATGGAACAGGGACCCCCTAATTATATATATTGTATGAAATAGTGTTCTATCAAACTGCTCCTGTAGTCACTCTATTACAGATGGAGTAATGTAACTAAAGTAATCCCTCCCTGGGATTATTAAAGTATTTCTGATTCCTGGTTGATGGGACAGGTGTTGTGAATGAAACGGTGCCCAGCTTGAAAGAGCTCCTGTGTGTCGCTGAATGTGAGCATTGATGACTGAAAGACATCTTCTGCCTCCATTTATCTGTTTACTACAGTCTGTTGGATTCAGGTTCATGTGGATTTAAAGACATTTCAATTGGTGGAAAAAATTGCAGGAGGGAATATAAAAAAGGTCTAATAAACAGAAACTTTTGCGACCCCCATGCAGCACCTCCGTGGACCCCCTAGGGGGCGCGGACCCCCTGTTGAAGACCTCCGACTTAAATATAATTTTACTAGGCCATCAAATCACTTCAGTTTAATCTGTTAAATAAGCTAACTAAAGTTCCTTTAAATGTCCAGCAGGGGTCAGTATTCTGTGAGACAGTTTTAACACAGCATCAATAGTCTGGCTTTAAGATGCCTGATTAACCATCACTACTAACAACCCACCAGCTTTTATAGGAGAACCATGTTCATCACAACTGGACCAGTGTTCAGTCAGACCAGCAGACCCAAAGTCAACACCCGTTTATCCCTTTAGTCTATCCCTTTAGCTTATCCCTTTAGCTTATCCCTATCGTTTATCCCTTTAGTCTATCCCTTTAGTTTATCCCTTTAGTCTATCCCTTTAGTCTATCCCTTTAGTCTATCCCTTTAGCTTATCCCTTTAGTCTATCCCTTTAGTCTATCCCTTTAGTCTATCCCTTTAGCTTATCCTTAGCGTTTATCCCTTTAGCTTATCCTTAGCGTTTATCCCTTTAGTCTATCCCTTTAGTCTATCCCTTTAGTTTATCCCTTTAGTCTATCCCTTTAGTCTATCCCTTTAGCTTATCCTTAGCGTTTATCCCTTTAGCTTATCCTTAGCGTTTATCCCTTTAGTCTATCCCTTTAGTCTATCCCTTTAGTTTATCCTTAGCGTTTATTCCTTTAGTCTATCTCTTTAGTCTATCCCTTTAGTTTATTCCTTTAGTCTATCCCTTTAGTTTATCTCTTTAGTCTATCCCTTTAGTTTATCTCTTTAGTCTATCCCTTTAGCTTATCCTTATCGTTTATCCTTTTAGTCTATCCCTTTAGTCTATCCCTTTAGTCTATCCCTTTAGTTTATCCCTTTAGTCTATCCCTTTAGTCTATCCCTTTAGTTTATCTCTTTAGTCTATCCCTTTAGTTTATCCCTTTAGTCTATCCCTTTAGTCTATCCCTTTAGTCTATCCCTTTAGTCTATCCCTTTATTCTATCCCTTTAGTTTATCTCTTTAGTCTATCCCTTTAGTTTATCCCTTTAGTCTATCCCTTTAGTCTATCCCTTTAGTCTATCCCTTTAGTCTATCCCTTTATTCTATCCCTTTAGTTTATCTCTTTAGTCTATCCCTTTAGTTTATCCCTTTAGTCTATCCCTTTAGTCTATCCCTTTAGTCTATCCCTTTAGTCTATCCCTTTAGTTTATCCCTTTAGTCTATCCCTTTAGTCTATCCCTTTAGTTTATCCCTTTAGTCTATCCCTTTATTCTATCCCTTTAGTTTATCTCTTTAGTCTATCCCTTTAGTTTATCCCTTTAGTTTATCCCTTTAGTCTATCCCTTTAGTCTATCCCTTTAGTCTATCCCTTTAGTCTATCCCTTTATTCTATCCCTTTAGTTTATCTCTTTAGTCTATCCCTTTAGTTTATCCCTTTAGTCTATCCCTTTAGTCTATCCCTTTAGTCTATCCCTTTAGTTTATCCCTTTAGTCTATCCCTTTAGTCTATCCCTTTAGTCTATCCCTTTAGTTTATCCCTTTAGTTTAGCCCTTTAGTCTATCCCTTTAGTCTATCCCTTTAGTTTATCTCTTTAGTTTATCTCTTTAGTCTATCCCTTTAGTCTATCCCTTTATTCTATCCCTTTAGTCTATCCCTTTAGTCTATCCCTTTAGCTTATCCTTAGCGTTTATCCCTTTAGTTTATCTGTTTAGTCTATCCCTTTAGTTTATCCCTTTAGTCTATCCCTTTAGTCTATCCCTTTAGTCTATCCCTTTAGTTTATCCTTAGCGTTTATTCCTTTAGTCTATCCCTTTAGTCTATCCCTTTAGTTTATCCCTTTAGTCTATCCCTTTAGTTTATCCCTTTAGTCTATCCCTTTAGTCTATCCCTTTAGTCTATCCCTTTAGTCTATCCCTTTAGTCTATCCCTTTAGTTTATCCCTTTAGTTTATCCCTTTAGTCTATCCCTTTAGTCTATCCCTTTAGTCTATCCCTTTAGTTTTGTATAGAAAAAATAGACTTTAAACTACCTCAACAGACGTGTTTCCCTTTACTCATGTATGAAAAAAACAATTTAATGACTTACTTTTTGGTGTTTTTTTTTAAGCGTATGGTGATCTGACCTTAAATAGTTGTTTTTTGTACAAAACTAAATCAATGCACGCCTGTTGAGGTAGTTTAAAGTCTATTTTTTTGTACAAAATTAAAGAGATAAACGCAAATCTGCCGTCTTGCATTTTGACTATAGGTATGCTGGTCTGACGGGGTATGCTCACCTGACAGAACACCTGTACATCTGAAAATAAAGACTGCAGTATTTTTTATCATTCATTTCAGAAATTGAAATTTAATTTTGTTGGAGTTCCACCAAACCCTGAGTTTAACATTTCTAGCTTTTAAATCTTGTAATGTAGGTGATTATGGTAACAGGTTTAGATGCACCAAAACTCTGAACTCTTGAAACTCTGGGATGATAGTGATGCCCAACATTATTGCAGATGACTGATATTTACCAATATCTATACGTTTACATTTGGTCTGACTCAGCACTGCTATCAGCTTCCATAAAACACCCACAAAAAAAACCCACAGCCACTTCGGAAAGAAAAAATTAAATTAACTGGTCCCAGTTTACTTTTTGGACCAATGTGCTTAAAGTCGTAGAAAAATCATATTTAAATGTCAAATCATTCTGGCTCAAACATGTATATAAATGTACTCTTTATCAGACAATATTCTCAAAATTTAGAAAATTTCTATAAAAAAAAAAAAAAATCTTGTTTAAAATCTTTTTTTTTTCCCGTTATCTTCTGCAGGCCAGTTAGTTCTACGTCAGCCTGAACACCGAAATTCGGCCAATCATATATCAACGGTCATCTGTCAATCAAATTTTTTCGGTCATAGTATCTTGATTCATGTGTCGTAGCTAATATACGCAACGGTTGAAATCAGAATCCTTTCCTTTCCCATTGAGTTGCGTCCCAGTGTTCACGGGGATGGACGTCTGTGTCTTCGGCAGGCGTAGAGCTAACAGAACTGGCAGCGTTGCGAGGCAAGGGCTCAAACATGGACGGCTGGAAGCCTTCTACACCAAACCAAGCTTCTGCCGCCCTGGCGTCCTCTTCCACAACATCTTCGTCCCCGCTTTCCTCCTCTAAATAAAAAATGGATGACGGAGGAGACTCATCCACGACCTCCGACACTAAACTCTCCTCCTCTTGCATGTTTCCGCTGTCCATAGCGTTCCTTGACAGCGTCGTTTCTAAGTCACCAATTTAGTGCTACTTGGTCCCAATGGAATTTCCCATTGGGAACCTGCTAGCACTAAGTTGCTAACTGGTTAGCAAGATGCTTCCAACAAACCAGCCACAACCAAACATGCTTGTGAACCTCGCGCCACAACAATCCCGCACTTTATCCACCTGTGTAATGTCGGCCACCACTTGGGAGAATTCGGAAATGCAACGGTTGGAACGGCCGCTTCCCTACGACTTTAAAAATGACCAATATTGGCCGATATTGATATTATTGCTGCATCCTTGCTTACAGGTAAAGGAAATATAAAATTCAGCGTCTCAGAATAAGAAAGTTAACTTAGACCCATTAGAAAAAAGATTTGGGTAGATATTCACTAATATGGCGTAAATATTGACATTTGGACCAATATTGAAGAAAACTATCTGTGAAAATGGGTCTAATCCATAGAGGCAGATGTATTCAATGATTGTTTTATTCATATAGTGCAAATTCTTCATCTCAGGTGACTTTATAGAGAGATTTTAACCAATATCCAGCTCAGGCTGGTTTCCTGAGGAAAACCAGCTGATTGCATCCAGCAGGATCTGTTCCTCCTGGATGAGGAGGTAGAAACAGCAAATATTCACGTTTAGTTTTCTTTTTTGCAGTAAAAGATGAAAAACAGACCCAGCTGTATCCTCTATACTAGTTATTTTATGATCCAAACGCGACCAGATGAAGTGGCCATGATGATGGAAAGCAGGGAGAACAAAGTTATGGGTGGAAGTAATAAATACTGAAGAATAGAGATAGAATGAGGCTGGATGGGGGTCGGGGCCCCCCAGTGTCACTAAGTAAGACACCATGGGTGGGGGGGGGGGATTATAACTTTGGGTGTATGTATGGACTTACATTTATTAAACTGTTGTTGTAAATTCAAATTAAAAAAAGAGATGCAATCCAGAAATTTCTTAGAATTTTTGTTTTGTTTTTCAAAATTGGTTTTTCATTTTTTTAAACAAATTTTATATTCTCTTTTTTTTTTAGTTCTCTTAATCAGATCAATTAGTGTTTCCCATTTCTATCAATAAAAAAACATGAAAAGAGAAAAACAAAAAGTAAACCTACATACTCAGTTTTATTTTCTCCATGCAAAAACTGAAAATACCATTATTTTTAACCTTATATTTAAAATAATGTTATGTTAAAATCTAACTAGTGAGAACAATTTCACTGCAATAAAGTATATTTATTATTTTACTGTGAAGCTGCAGATGTAAACAAACTTTTTTTCTTAACTTTGTGTAAAGTTACGGCTTTATCAGAAGAGACACAAAGGAAGTTTAAGGTGATTTAATGATGCACTTTAGGTTGTCTATCTGTTTAGAGTGACATCAACCTGGAAATAAGGAATATTTACATTGTCTAATGTTCAGGAATATTCATTTATTTTTCTAAATAACTTAAAAATGGAGATTTAATTGTAGAAAATCTTTACTGAATATCACAAATCAGAAATGGAGAGAAGAAGCAAAGATCTGAAACGATGCATTCGCTGTCCGTCAGGCCCTGAGATTAATGAGGCTCCGCTGCAGCTTCCTCGCCGTCCTTCACCTCGATCAGCTCCTCTATCCGCACCAACACGCTCTCCATCATGTCGAACGTGTGGAGCGCCGAGTGCAGAGCCTGAAAGGACCCACAGAAATTCATTCACGCTGCTGCGGTCAAAAAAAGCTGCTGGTTACGGCGTCTAGAGGCGACTGACCTGAATCTGAGAGTCTGTTGTCATTTTAGGCAGCTTCTCCCCCCCGACTGATACAGACAGCACCGCCTCCTCTGTAGAAAACACACAGCGTGGCGTTAGAGAAACACGCCGCCTCTGCTGGGAAAGCTTTGGGGACTCTCACCTTTAGTTTTCTTCTTTTTGTTCTCCATGGTGTTGTGCAGCTCCCGCTCATAATGAGCCCTCGACATGTTCAGCCCAACGCGCAAAGGCTTCATGAACCCGTCTTCTATTTTATACAGTTCTGTCCAGATGCCCGTCTGCAGGACCCATATCATTAGTTATGCCTTAAATATTTAAAACACCCCGATGAAAGTGTCCAGGCTTCCTTTAGGCCCGTTACTGGGCCGCCCTGCCGCAGCTGGTCTGCTGTCCGGACTCACCTGGTTCTCTGTAACTTTGTCTCTGATGACCAAGTAGCGCAGGAGGTTCAGAGACTCCATGATTCTGTAGGAAAAAAATCCACAGGAGAGTCTGAGACGAAGACGAGGTAATGGGAGCTGCTGGATTTGCTTTAAAGGGTTCATAGAATGATTCTATAGGGTATCTGGTCCTTCAGGTCTCTAATAGGGTGATAGAATGGTTCTATAGGGTATCTGGTCCTTCAGGTCTCTAATAGGGCGATAGAATGATTCTATAGGGTATCTGGTCCTTCAGGTCTCTAATAGGGTGATAGAATGATTCTATAGGGTATCTGGTCCTTCAGGTCTCTAATAGGGCGATAGAATGATTCTATAGGGTGTCTGGTCCTTCAGGTCTCTAATAGGGTGATAGAATGATTCTATAGGGTGTCTGGTCCTTCAGGTCTCTAATAGGGCGATAGAATGATTCTATGAGGTATCTGGTCCTTCGGGTCTCTAATAGGGCGATAGAATGATTCTATAGGGTATCTGGACCTTCGGGTCTCTAATAGGGCGATAGAATGATTCTATAGGGTATCTGGACCTTCGGGTCTCTAATAGGGCGATAGAATGATTCTATAGGGTATCTGGTCCTTCAGGTCTCTAATAGGGCGATAGAATGATTCTATAGGGTATCTGGTCCTTCAGGTCTCTAATAGGGCGATAGAATGATTCTATAGGGTATCTGGTCCTTCAGGTCTCTAATAGGGCGATAGAATGATTCTATAGGGTATCTGGTCCTTCAGGTCTCTAATAGGGCGATAGAATGATTCTATCGGGTATCTGGTCCTTCAGGTCTCTAATAGGGCGATAGAATGATTCTATAGGGTATCTGGTCCTTCAGGTCTCTAATAGGGCGATAGAATGATTCTATAGGGTATCTGGTCCTTCAGGTCTCTAATAGGGTGATAGAATGATTCTATAGGGTATCTGGTCCTTCAGGTCTCTAATAGGGCGATAGAATGATTCTATAGGGTATCTGGACCTTCAGGTCTCTAATAGGGCGATAGAATGATTCTATAGGGTATCTGGTCCTTCAGGTCTCTAATAGGGCGATAGAATGATTCTATAGGGTATCTGGTCCTTCAGGTCTCTAATAGGGCGATAGAATGATTCTATAGGGTATCTGGTCCTTCAGGTCTCTAATAGGGCGATAGAATGATTCTATCGGGTATCTGGTCCTTCAGGTCTCTAATAGGGCGATAGAATGATTCTATCGGGTATCTGGTCCTTCAGGTCTCTAATAGGGCGATAGAATGATTCTATAGGGTATCTGGACCTTCAGGTCTCTAATAGGGCGATAGAATGATTCTATAGGGTATCTGGTCCTTCAGGTCTCTAATAGGGCGATAGAATGATTCTATAGGGTATCTGGTCCTTCAGGTCTCTAATAGGGCGATAGAATGATTCTATAGGGTATCTGGTCCTTCAGGTCTCTAATAGGGCGATAGAATGATTCTATCGGGTATCTGGTCCTTCAGGTCTCTAATAGGGTGATAGAATGATTCTATCGGGTATCTGGTCCTTCAGGTCTCTAATAGGGTGTGTAACATTGGTTGGGCTGAAAATGGCATATTAGCTGTTCTATGAGCCCTAATGCAGCCTGGTTAAAAGCCCTAGAATGAAACCACAGGTTTTCTTCCTTTTATGGTTTGATCATGAATATTTAGATGAGCTGTGCTCCGATTGGTTGGTTTACAACAAGCAAAGTTGCTGAGCAAAGACGCATCATAGCAACAAGCACTCACTCACTGAAACATCAGATTGTTGATATGGTAGGGGGACCAGACGTCCTCTTTTTCCTGGACATGTCCTACTTTTCATTAACCTGACTCCGCCAGATGGATTTTCTCCGCATATCCATCTGGAAACCTTCCGTTGAAGTAATTCTGGGAAGGGGCAAAAATACTGGTCAGCTGATTGGCCTATGTTGGTGATAGACGGGCCAAATAAACCAATCAGATCAACGAAGCATATGACGTACACTGCAAAAAATCTAAATCTAGATAAGTCATTTTTTTCTTAAAATAAGTGCATTTGTTCTTGAATTGAGGAGGTAAAAAAGACATTTTGCCAATGGAACGAGACAATTCACACTTAAAATAAAATAAGAAAAGACAATTGCATTGTCTTATTTCAAGTGCATATTATCTAAATATCTTATTTTAAGAGTAAAATTACTCATTCCATTGGCAAACTATCTCATTTACCTACTCAAATTCAGAGTAAATGTACTTAATTTAAGAAAATTTTACTTATTTCTAGATCGTTTTTGCAGTGTACTAACAGAGCGACGACGAAGAGGAGCCAATTGATAGATCAAACTCTTGCCGAAACCAGTCGGGAGAAGAGCAAAAACATCTTTTCCTCTGAGAAAAGCCTCCAGAGCAGTGTTTTGCTCTTCTTTCAGTGAAGAAATACTCTGTAATTCCCATAAAACTTGCTCGATAGCCACGCTAACGCTAGTTTCATCGGCTGAAGCTGCCATGTTCTTTAGACTGAACTGGCACGCTTCTCGTTGCGTCACACCTCAACCCGCCTCAAAGCCAACGCTGATTGGACGTTCGTTTGGTGAACGGCTCCAAATTTTCTTCAACGGAGAGTCTCTGATCTGCGAGTGAAACCTTGAAAGCTCGCGAGATCAGGATGGTCTCACCAGGCTAACATTTCATACCTTAGAAAAATGACCGGGGGGAATTTCAAAATCGTCCGAGAGTTTGGTCGACTGCAGTGCAGCAGGACCGAGCCGTGAGCTCCGGGGCTGGACCGGGAACCCCAGCGGACGGAATCACCGAAAACGACCCGCTGACGGTAGCCTGAACACCAGCGGCCCTGTGCTTCCCCCCACCTGCCTTACCGGCGCCCAGCCCCCCTCCTCCGGCTGAGGACAGGCGGCTCATGCTTTTCTGCTGAGGTCCGGTGTAGTAAGCGGCCCAGCAGTCACACTTCATCCCGGTTCATGGTGGAAGTTTGGAATTGTGAGATTTGTGCTAGGCTAACCGCACCGTGACATCACTGCCGGAAGATGGCAGGAAGGATTCCAGTCTCTGTGATTGCGACAAAACTTATGTCAATTTTTTTTTACTGATTAACGCTAAATTTATGAAATTACTTCGAGCGTATTAGTTTTAGGAATAGATATGATCCGTGGATTATTCCTTGCTGACCGGACTTCTCCTTTAAATGGAGCTCAGACTAAAATGGCGCTCTGAGCGCCAGCAGGGAGCATCAATACGTGGAAAGAGATCAATATTGACCTGAAAAATCCAATTAAGCAAATATCTTGGTAAAAACTTCTGAGGTTTCCACTTCCAAATGATGCACGAGTAATACCTCTATTTAAGTCTTTTCAGTCTCGTTTGGATGCAACATCAGAGACTAAGCAAAGCTAGAAGTAGGCGTGTGCACACCTGTCCATGTACTGCAGCAGGTCCGTCTCTGGGCCGTCTGGAAGCTTGAACACCTTACGGAGCAGAGGCAGCAGGTGACTTCCTTCAAACCAGACGTTGGCGTTTCCTGGCTGAAGACAGAAAAGAGCGACTGTCAGCGACTCAGCACAAGCGGCAGGACCGGGAAGCTCCGACCTTTACCTGCAGAGCGGCGTCTATCTGACTCCGGATGTTTTTAATGGTGTAGCCCTCTACTCCAGAGTGATTACTGGTCCTGAGCAAGTATCTGAAACAGTAATCAGATTACATCAGGAGGCGGGACAGGAACTCTGGCTGTCTGAGTGCAGAGGGGACTGGCAGCTCACTCGAAAAATCTGTACTTGGCTTCAGTGCTGAACTTATCGATGCTGAGCTGGAACACCTTCAGTCCTTTAGTCCTCTGAGGACAAACGAAGAAACGCCTCATTTAAACCTCATTCAAACAGAAAAAACACAAGGAGACGCAAAACAAAAAGCTCCTACCAGATCATGCTGAGGGCACATCGTCATGACTTTTACCAAGTCCTGAGAAAAAGACAAACATGAATTAACTGCAGATCAGGTAGACGGTTGGAGGCGACACGTGGAAGGAGGTTTTTATCACCAAAGGGACGGTTAGGAAGGTTTTGATCTCCAGCAGATCCGCCGGCAGACTGCCAGTCTCCACCCGCACCAGACTCTTCTCATACAGCTCCTGTCAGGATGGAAGACCTTTCCTGGTTACGGCTGCGGTGGTTGGACTCAAAAGGTGAGATGGGATAATATCTTGAATGCGCACGCTCGCTTCGAGGCGGAAAAGCCCAACAAATTGGGAATATTACTCGCCACTTAAAATTAGCTAGAAAAGAGTCAAGGCTGATGGGAAATTCCTGTGCAGCCTGACGCAGCAGGCGCGACAGAAGCAGCGAGTTTACATGCGAAGTCAATGGTTGACGCGCGTCAAGGCGCAGCAAAAGGTCCCGCGGCGCGTTTAAGCATCTGACGCGCCACAAACGTGCTGCTGCTCGAGATGGAAAAATTTAATTTTTGCTGCTGGACGCGCCGCATCAACCAATCAGAGAAGCTGATCTGGGAGCTGGTATAGAGAGAGACACATCGCTGATGACACAGAGCGCTGTGATCACTCCTCTGAAACAGTTTATTGACGCATAAATTAACTTAAAATGCAGAAATCTGCCGGCAGAATATGTTCGCTTTTATTTTCCTGGATTTGGATTATTTAGATGAAAAACACCTACCAGCCGCCACGGTGAACCGCGAGGAGGCGACCCGCCCACAGGCTGCTGTTAAAGGGATTCCTACTGACAGCGCACCGCTGGTATGTGGGGGTCTGAGCGGCTCCGACAGAAATAATATTGAAGGCAGGATGATAATCTGAATGAACTGACTGCACTGATTACGTTTTCAGGTGTATTTTCTCACTTAAAAACATATTAAAACTACTTTATTCCCACTGATCACAGCAAATATAGCTGCAAGGCAGAGAAAGGATAGAGTAGCTCCGCCCAACGCGCGTCAGACACACTTTTGCACCGCGCAGCCAGAGCAGCAAAGCTGCTTCAGCCGCGCGTCAGAACTAACTGGTACAAGCAGCAAAAAGGAAGCAGCAGACGCGATTTTGCTGCTTTTGCTGCGTCGGTCTGAACGTAGCATAAGTGTTATAATGGATTCGGCCCCCGCCCCCCCATAATCTCCCCTGGATGTTATGGCGAGAGGACACAAAAGAACTGCTCCCCCTAACCACGAAGCATCTGTGGACGCGCTCAGTGACTGTTGATAAACTTCCATCTTATCAAGGACGATGGCCTGCGGACGGCGTTCACGGACAAACTGACCGCCATCATCATGCACACACAACTAATGTCTCAAATGTCAGATTAACTTCATGTGACTCCGCCTCCAATGTGACCCTCTGCTGAAATGTCTCGTGTTACATGTGCTTTTCTTCTGCTGAGTTTTTTTTATATCTCAAACTATCAAGGTTAAACTGCGAAATATGTTGTTTTTCTCCCCCTCCTTCTCCCCAATGTGGCTCCTATCTTTCCACAGAGATAAAGGCAGCGCTATAGGGAACCGCCTCGGACCTGGGCAACCAGGTAACCAGTGGGAACCTGGCACGCCGTAAGAATGCGCCACAGGCAGCGTTTTGCGGCACGCGTGGCCTCAGTAAAACAGCCTCTCAGCCCCCCCCGACCAATCTATGCGATGTGTTGGGATGAACGGTTTGTAAATAGTAGTTGACATTAAAGGAAAATTCCGGTTTTTAACACTTTTAGCCCATTTTCTGTAGTGTCCAGGATGAAATCGAATGATCGACACCAAAATTTTGACAATTGGTCCTGTCTCTGCTTTTTGGCTCATGCAGAATCCCCCCCTGGCTGCTTCAGAATGGCTTCCATTGTGCATGTCCGATAATGTCCTTAAAACAACCTTAAACGTTCTTTTTTTAAAATATGCTACTCACCGGGTCGTCAGCGCTGTTCAATGACGTTCCAAAAAAGTTTCGTAAAGAAAAAACGTTCCTGTAGTGTTTTATTTAGCATTTTGTAAATCCCATTGAGTTCTGTTGGAATAGTCAATATCCCTCCGCCACCGGAAACGGAAATGGGGCCTGTTTACACAGTTGTAGTCTTTTCGCAAGGCCCAAGTGTTTCTGCTTCACTCTGTGTACTCCGACGTCGAGGTGCTAACGTCTCTGTTAAACACTTTAAAAAACTCTGAAAATGGAATACGAAAGGTGGATTCTTGAGGAGGACATATTGGACTTTGAGTTTGACGGTAGAGGATACCGTCGCCAACTAGTGGTCTGGAGTGTGCAACGCTTCAGATTCGAACGGGAAGCGGAAGTTTATAAGCGGTTGTGATGTATCGGAAAAAATAGTTCTGGGATTTACAAAATGCTTAATAAAACACTACAGGAACGGTTTTTCTTCACGAAACTTTTTTTGGAACGTCATTGAACAGCATGCAGGTAAACAGCAGGAGGATGAACTGAGTCCTGGGATTTATTGAGACGGAGGCGGCCGCCCAAACAAAAACTCCTCAAGCCTATTGAACGAGAAATGTCTGAAAAATACACAAATAAAATAAACATACAAATAAAACAACAAATAAAAACCAGACTCACCAATCCTTTCTGTAGCCTGGCGTCCTCAGTTCTAAAACAAAAGAAAAGTTTAGAAACACTGTTTAGTAACTAAAGGTCTAAAGGTTAGCCCCAGGCAGGGGCGGATTTAGGGAAATTTGGGGCCCCTCTGAACTGAAGTCATAAAACAGACCCGTTATACAGATAGAGAAATGTTAATAGAATAGACATCCATTATCTGTTCTAGGTTGTGTCCCTCTCTTCTTGTCCCTTTTCTTCTTGTTTTCCTCTCTATGTTTTGTACTCAGCTGACTTTTCATGCTGTCTCTAAAGGAATGAAAGATTTTTTCCAAGCACTAAGCTCACTTAGCTGATTGCTCCTTCCTGTGTTTCCAAAAAGGCCAAAGTAAATAACCCAGTCCTTCTTTTCACTGTAGACAAGCCATGATCTGCTTATCTGTTCTCCATTTTTCATTTGGATGAAATAATAGCTGCATGAATCATGACAGCAGACAAGATAGAGGAGAGCAGGAGGCGGGGTTACCAATCTACTCGCTCTGGAGAGCAGAGTTCGCTGCTTTTAGATGTTGTCTCCAAAGTCTCCAGTAGCAGAAAAAAGTCTCTAGATTTGGCGCTAGGAGCTTTTTAGAAATCAAAGTGCTAGAGGGGTCTGAAAAGTGGCTAAATATAGCGACTAAAGTATCTGCAGAGGAGGCGGGGACGTCTCTGCGTTCACGCAGACGACCTAATTTTGAAGTATAAATCAGTCTTAAGGGAGTGACATACCGAGACAGAAGAATGGAAATGTGCTCCATGTTGCAGCGTAGACAGAACACAGGGCTGTAGAGAGAGAACACATTTAGGCTCCAAATAATCTTCTAATAGTTGTTAGAAAAACAGCCAAAGACCACCAAGCAAAGGTGAAACCTTCACCTGAAGACGCTGGGGAATGTATCAGCAGCCAGGTGATGGACAAACAGCAGGTGGGCCAAGCTGGCCAGAGACGTTTTGGGATAACGGACCTCCTCCTCCAGGAAGCCTGGAACCTCCTTCTTCTTCAGCAGAGGGTGGAACACCAGACCAGGGAGGGACTCTCCAACGGCGCCCAGAATGTCCTGCACAGAATCACCGGCTGTTAATCTGACCGATTTACAAGCTTCAACCAAGATCTGAGGGTTTGGATTTACCAGAACTTTTACGGCAAAGGTCCTGAGAGGAGACCGAGGCAGCGTCTCCACGTCCCTGATCTGTACGTCCAACAGAGGCTGGCTCAGAGTCTTCATGCAGCTGCAAACAATTCTATTCAGTTTATTTCTATAGCTCCAATTCACATCATGTCATCACTTCCAGTTCAGCAGATCATCCAGTCAGATTGATTCAAAGTTTTCTATCTAAGGAAAACCAGCTGATTGCATCGACTCATTGACTCTTCAGCAATCCCTCACACTAAGCATGCTTGTAGCGACAGTGGAGAGGAAAAACTCCCTTTGAACAGGAAGTGGATCACGCCCACGACCAGCAAACTTCTTAGCAGACATGACGCTGAATCTGCTGCCACTGCAAACCTTGTTTTTCTATTTTCATTTATTCTTTTTTAGGGGGGGGGCAGGTGGTATCGGAGCAGTAACGCTCCTGGGGGGGAGCAGCTTTAACTGATGCAGCGTAATGCCCATGAAATGATGTATGTGCATCGTTTCCTGGGCATTACGCTGCCGTGCGTTATGCAGAAGTTAGGCTGTCGTTGGACAGAAGTTCTGGACTCGTTATGAATCCTCCATGTAAACGCCCAAAACTGAAACAATCCATAGAAAGTTCAGCGTATCCCAGAGTTTTAGGAGATTCTGGGACATCAGGCAGACACTGGATAAATCCGGCAAGGTGTGACAGAGACTTTAGTTTACGATTATTTCCTCTTTTTTATTTATTTTTTTTAACAGCGTCCTGTCTGGCGATGTGGCAATAAGAATAATTGCCTTGATGAAAAAAGCCCAACAGATTTTACTTTCACCAGTGGAGCAGTACGGCTATCGCCATAGCGTTCTGCTTGATTTATGCATATAAATTGCTTATTATAATTATGCAGGGAGTTTTACAGATTATATGGACACTGCAATGTAAGTAGAACAGGAAAGGAAAAGAAAAGGAGAAAGAATAAAGAGATAAAAGGGAGATAATGATAAAAATCTTCAGTCTGCTTCATCAGCTGCAAAGAGACGTAAAAAGAACAGAACAACCAACAGACAAGGTATAAGAGATATAGAATAAAGTAACAGTTTGATGCTATCGCTGAAGTATAAATAGTATTATTTAATCTACATAGGTGATGTCATCTGTAAGAGACAGCCTCTCTAGAAGTTGATGGTTCAAAACCTGTCTTGGACTTTGGGTGAGTGGCGGCCTAGTGGTTAGGGCATAGGGCTTTGAATCTTGAGGTTGTGAGTTTGATCTCACAGACTGCCACTCTGGGTCCATGAGCAAGACCCTTAACCCCACACTGTTCCCCTGATCCCCAAGGGGAGGGGTTAAATGCAGAGAATTCATTTCGTTGCTCTGTACTTGTGACAGTGGAATGACAATAAAATAGAATTATAATTAATATAATTTTTTTTTAATCTGACATGTGCTCTGTTAACAGAATATGGGTTTTTCTGTATGGAAGTGAATCTCTGAGTACCTGGAACCAAGCACCTGTAGTTGATTGTGAGAGTGAACTTGTGCACAAGTGGATGATTATTTAAATAATCTATTAATCCGATAAATAGTTTCAGCCCTAATTTCCTCACAATTTCAGTAGTTCTGTCCGCAGCTCATCCTCCGATCGGGTCGCACCGCTCGGATTCAGCCTCGCCTCCACGACGAAGGGCCTGACGAACTCTATCAGGTGGGTGCAGCAGCGGCAAAGCGAGAAGACGTCGTCCTCTTCCTGCTCCTTGGTGTTGGGGACGGGCAGCTTGGCCAGCTGGTCCAGCAGCGAGGACAGGGTCATCCCCAGGGAGGACGCCTTCCGGCTGCCCAGCCGCAGCAGCACTGAGGGGGACGGCAGTTTAGCCAGGGACTGTGGTGGTGGTGGGGGGGGTTAAACATGCCGCCTACCTTTCTGCAAAGGGTTCAGAAGCAGATGGAGACGCTCCGCGATTCCGTCAGGATCGTCGTCTTCCAGCTGCTCCAAAATGCCGATCAGCAACTCTTTGGGTGTGCAGGTCTGCAAAACCGACGAGGTGAAAAGTTTCAGACGCCAAACTTCTGCCCACCGTAGGAAAGGTTTGATCCTTCAGCCGCCTGAGGAGCTTCACAGACCTCCAGCAGATGGTTAAAGATGGCCATGCACTGAGGGAGGTGCTGCTCCTCTTTCTTCAGCAGCACCTGGATCAGCGGCGGCAGCAGATTCCAGCCCATGCTCCTCACTACGTTCTGCAGTGGAATCAGAAAAGCGGCGTTGGCGTTACGGTGAGCCGCACGCGGCAGCGGCTCCTCCCAGAACGCTTACCTGGTTCCTTTCATCCAGGACGATGCTGAGGACCTGCGGGCTGTTGCCCTCCTCGATGCAGGTCCGCCCGGCGATGGTGAACACGTCATGATCCTCTGAGGTGTAGCTGTCATCTGGGAGCGCCTCCTGTTGGGAAAAAACACAAAAACACATTAATATGCAAAGAAACCAGAAACCAGTCAGGACTTTGACTGTGTAATAAAAAAATCCCAAACAGATCAGTAAAGAAATTTGCTAAAAAATTATAGAAAGAAAAAAATACATTAAAAGGAAAGGAAATTTAAAATACAACAAAAAAATGTAATATAAAAATCTCAATTAAAAAGGTTTGGAAAGTAATTTATAATGTATATTTTTACAGTTTTCCATTTTTTCTGAGTTTATTTCCTAGATTGGTGGTTCCTAGAATTTCTAAAAGTAGAATGGGAGGCAGATCTTTTAGTTCTCAGGCTCCTCTCCTGTGGAACCAACTACCAGTTTTAGTCCGTGAGGCAGACACCCTGTCTACTTTTAAGGCTAGGCTTAAAACTTTCCTTTTTGATAAAGCTTCTAGTTAGAGTGGCTCAGGTTATCCTGAGCTATCTCTATAGTTCTGCTGCTATAGGCTTAGACTGCTGGAGGACATAGAGACCCCTTTTTCATCATTCTGCTTCATTCTATCTCTATTCTCCCACTCTGCAGAATCTGTTAGTTCAATCTTTCTGCTTTTACTTATCATATTAGCTTTACCTGGTTTGGTTCTGTTTCGCTGTGACTCCATCATGGAGATAAATAGCTGTGCTGCTGCCATCAACACCTTCGGTTATAGATGTTTCTCTCCAAGAAATGTTCTCCTTGACTAACTCTATGCCCTCTTTCATGCCTTTTGACGTTAAAACTGAGAGTTTGTCTGTTTAACCGTTTTTTTTCCCCCAGACAGAGCCACCTGGGCAGATAGTTTACCTCTACTTTATCTAACATAGAAAGTATATTATAGATCAGTACTTCTATGTTCCTTTTCTATGTCTGCGTCTGTCTGCTTGTTGAACCCCAGTCGGCCTCAGCAGATGGCCGCTCACACTGAGCCTGGTTCTGCTTGAAGTTTCTTTTTGTTAAACGGGAGTTTTTTTCTCTCCACTGTCGCTGCATGCTTGCTCAGTGTAAGGGATTGCTGAAGAGTCAACACCATGCAATCGCTGTCTCTACCTGCAGCACTTACACATCTCTGGACCACATCACTGAGCTGCTCCAGAGCCATCTCTGCTGTCCTCACGTGGGCAGAAACTTCATGAAGCAAAACCTTGAAAACAGAAAAGCGAGTCGCAGAGCGCGCGAGCTTCGATCCACAGGGAGCCGTTTAAAACAAACCCATGGCGGATTGATTTAAGGCCGACTATAAACCAGTCCGGCTGCTTCTGACGGATCTCAGCTTTTTACTGAAGCTAACTTAACAAACCTTCACACAAAGCGCCGAGCTGCCCCCAAAATACCCGGTTAAAAATAAAAACTCTCACAATCTAAGCCACTTTCTAAATCCAACGTGAACAAGCGGATTGGTCGTGCCGTACGCGAAGCTGAAGCCAGCCTCTGATTTGTAAAATGTCTAAAGGGCCATTCCACCAATAGACATGATCCCACTTCCTGTTTCTTCAGATTTAGGGGCTTTTATTCAGCTCTTCCTTTAACCCCTAGAACCCTACGGACCCAGCGGTGGGTCCAGCTGCTACATGACCTCGTAATTTTACAAAACCCCCAGTATTGATGTAAAAAACACGTTTGGCACAGTTTGGTGACATTTATGGATAAATGTGCCAAAATGGCCTCTCCGCCTAAGAAATTTCTCACTAATACCATTCTAAAATAAATATGATTCATCTGATTGAGTCCAAATTTGGTATATTTTTACAGAACATTTAGATTTAAAAGTCTGTACTACTTTTTTGTGCTATAAATAATATTTTGGTAGTGTTTTGCAATGTTTATTTCAAAGAAAATTTTGGCGAGGTTCAAAAAATGCAAAATATTTTGTATTTTGTCCCTAATATTTCAGGCAGGGTCAAAGCTACAATGGTGCTGACACCAGAAAACCATTCTATGACATCTTACCTTTACAGACGTACCAAAAGTTTCTTCTTAAATCTAATAGCTGTGAGGCTATAAGTTATTTACTTTTGTGTGTTTTTGTCAGGCAGAAATTTATTTATACCCCCTTAGGGTGTAAGAGGTTAAAACTATTGTACTTTGACAGTTTAAATCCGGTCTACATCATTATAAACTAAAAGCAAAGTATTTAAAACTCATTTTTGTTTGATTTATTAAATCTTTATTTGACTTTTGGAATGCGGTTTTCTTTGTTTGGACCATGTTAGACCTGAACCAGCTCAAACACTCTATTACTTAGATGTTACAAACCTGGCCTACAATATTCTAAAACAATAGCAAAATCTTTAAAGCAAAGGTTAGGAATTTTAAAACTTTGATATAAACTGGAAGAGTTCAGTAAATCGTAGTGTTGCACTGATGCCATTTTTTGGACCCGATACCCAGAGATGGGAAGTAACGAAGTACAAATACTTCGTTACTTTACTCAAGTCGATTTTTCTGATATTTTTACTTTACTTTACTACTTATTTTTATGGCGACTTTTTACTTCTACTCCTTACATTTTTACACAAATATCTGTACTTTCTACTCCTTACATTTTAAAAAATTGGCTCGTTACTTTAGTTTTGAATCATTTCAATGGAGTTACCGTTATTATTTTTCACGTCATCAATACCAAATTCAATCTAACTGGATGGGAATCTACGTTGCATTTGACGCACCACTACAAGATGAATCGACAGATTCGGCGGTATTCATTGGTGGCAAATCATTGCAGCTTGGTGGCGGTGGCGTTAGCATAGTAGCATGGACGACGAGATGATTGAAAATGAACACAACGGAGATCTAGTCCTATTGGCAGACATCCATTTAAAATGTAGGCAACGGCATGAAAAAAGTGGTTTCTACTTTTACTTTTATACTTTAAGTAAATTTACAAGCCTGTACTTTGTTACTTTTACTTGAGTAAAGAAGTTTAATCAGTACTTCCACTTTTACCAGAGTATTTTTTAACACAAGTATCTGTACTTTTACTCAAGTACGGAAAGTGAGTACTTTTGCCATCTCTGCCGATACCATCTGCTTGAAATTGATGTGTGTGTATCTGAAGAACTGCAGACTACCTGGATGTAAAATAATCACCATCATGGCTTCATGTCAAGCTGCTGCCTTCCTTTGTTAAGCAGGAAAAAGACTAAAACAAAGTGAATCCAGTAGAACTTTTTATTACCTACCTGGAATGGGGGACAATAGTTGAAGAAACTTTTGGCTCTCAAAGGCCAAAATAGTGCAACATTCATAAAATTATAACATGTATAATAGTAGTGCAACAGTAAGACAGTAGAATTACATTAATAACTGAATAATCTATTTTAAACCTTGAATTTTGGCTCTCAAATGCCAAAATAGTGCAACTTTCATCAACTTACAGGTGCTGGTCATAAAATTAGAATATCATGAAAAAGTAGATTGATTTCAGTAATTCCATTTAAAAAGTGAAACTTGTATATTATATTCATACATTACATACAAACTCATATATTTCAGATGTTTATTTTGTTTAATTTTGATTATTACAAATGACAACAAATGAAAATCTCAAATTCATCATATCAGAAAATTAGAATATTGTGAAAAGGTTCAAAATTGATGGCCCCTGGTGCCACACTCTAATCAGCTAATTAACTCAAACCACCTGCAAAAGCCTTTAAATGGTCTTTCAGTCTAGTTCTATAGGCTACACAATCATGGGGAAGACTGCTGACTTGACAGTTGTCCAAAAGACGACCATCGACACCTTGCACAAGGAGGGCAAGACACAAAAGGTCATCGCTAAAGAGGCTGGCTGTTCACAGAGCTCAGTGTCCAAGCACATTAATAGAGAGGCGAAGGGAAGGAAAAGATGTGGTCGAAAAAAGTGTACAAGCAAGAGAGATAACCGCACCCTGGAGAGGATTGTGAAACAAAACCCCTTCAAAAATGTGGGGGAGATTCACAAAGAGTGGACTGCAGCTGGAGTGAGTGCTTCAAGAACCACCACACACAGACGTATGAAAGACATGGGTTTCTGCTGTCGCATTCCTTGTGTCAAGCCACTCTTGAACCACAGACAGCGTCAGAAGCGTCTTGCCTGGGCTAAAGAGAAACAGGACTGGACTGCTGGTGAGTGGTCCAAAGTCATGTTCTCTGATGAAAGTAAATTTTGCATTTCCTTTGGAAATCAAGGTCCCAGAGTCTGGAGGAAAAGAAGAGAGGCACTTCATCCACGTTGCTTGAAGTCCAGTGTAAAGTTTCCACAGTCAGTGATGGTTTGGGGTGCCATGTCATCTGCTGGTGTTGGTCCATTGTGTTTTCTGAGGTCCAGGGTCAACGCAGCCACATACCAGGAAGTTTTAGAGCACTTCATGCTTCCTGCAGCTGACCAACTTTTTGGAGATGCGGATTTCATTTTCCAACAGGACTTGGCACCTGCACACAGTGCCAAAGCTACCAGTACCTGGTTGAAGGACCATGGTATCCCTGTTCTTAATTGGCCAGCAAACTCTCCTGACCTTAACCCCATAGAAAATCTATGGGGTATTGTGAAGAAGAAGATGCAATACACCAGACCCAACAATTCAGAAGAGCTAAAAGCCACTATTAGAGCAACCTGGGCTATCATAACACCTGAGCAGTGCCACAGACTGATCGACTCCATGCCACGCCGCATTGCTGCAGTAATACAGGCCAAAGGAGGCCCAACTAAATACTGAGTGCTGTACATGCTCATACTTTTCATGTTCATACTTTTCAGTTGGCCAACATTTCTATAAATCCTTTGTTTTTATTGGTCTTCGGTAATATTCTAATTTTCTGATATGATGAATTTGGGATTTTCATTTGTTGTCATTTGTAATCATCAAAATTAAACAAAATAAACATCTGAAATATATGAGTTTGTATGTAATGTATGAATATAATATACAAGTTTCACTTTTTAAATGGAATTACTGAAATCAATCTACTTTTTCATGATATTCTAATTTTATGACCAGCACCTGTATATAACATGTATATTACTAGTGCAACAGTAAAAAAGTGAAATTTGATCAATAATTTAAAAAACTCTTAAAAACCCAGAGTTCTGTCATGATCTGGCCTGTTTGCTCTCCCTTAATTAGTCATTCCTTTCACCTGTCGTTTTTCCTCCCTGCCTCAATTATAATTTATTCCTCTCACCTGTTTCCTCTGGTTTATATTCAGTTCAGCCTGAGCATTCAGTGCCAGATCATTGCTTGTCTTTCTGTTCAGTTTTATTTGGTTCATGTCCTGGATCCTGTCAGCCAGTGGAAAGAGGGTTTTGTGTTTGTCTCGTCCCCTGATCGTCCACTGTTCCTCCCCCACGGAGTCTTCTGGGTTTTTTGCTCAATATGTGGGGAGGCTCAGTTTTTATCTCAGTAAGCCTGGCTCCAGGAGAAAACCAGTTTAAAGTCCTGCATCAAGTTCTGGTTCCACGTCCTGTCTCGGCTGCCCTCTTCCACTGAGCCTGCTCATCTGCACCTGATCCTGTCTGCTCCCGTGCGTGACCACCTGGTCACGCTTCTGGTCCCAGTCAGACTCTGAACCCTCCTGGAAGCCAGTGGATGCCTGGAAGTCTGGATCCTGCCTCCTGTTCCTGTCTGTTCTGGATCCCTCACCAGGATAACCTCTGGGACTGCAGCACTGGGGACACACGTGGTCTGGACCGTTAAACCAGGTAAGTGACCAACCCAGATAATCATATATCAGTTTATCGTGGTCACTTACCTGTGTTTCCTCCCTAGAGTGTCTGAGATTGGGCTGTGCCCCGCCCCCCCACCTGCAGTGTCCGCGAGCCACAGCTCCGCTTTTGTTTTAGTTTTATTTAATAAACATTTGAACTTTCCTACTGACTGTCTCTCCTTGAATACTGGGTCCATCTGTGCTCGGTTCATGACAAGTTCTGCCTCTCCAAATAGTATATAGCAAAGATAAAGTATGTTTCTGTTTTCTTTTTTTTTTTTTTTTGTTCTTTTTCATTTGTGCCATGTTAAAACAGACCCAGCTGAGAAACCCAGCAGCTCAAACCTGAACCAAATTATTCTACATTTAATCTCTAAAACACATTTTGCCATTTTAAAAGATGCATCTGATTTGTCCAATAAAAGTCCAAAAAGTTCCTTTTTTCTCCATTTAGACCACATTAGAACCGACCCAATTCAAAATATAGTAGTTTGACGTCTCGAACCTTTAGTAGATTTTTCCAAACTAATTGCATAGAGTCTTTAAAACAGATTATGGTTTGTGAAACCTCCAGGTTTGAACCATCTAACTATAATTTTAGGGCTTGGTCAGTTTTAACGAGGCCCACATGCAAAAAAAAAAAAAAAGATACCTTTTGTGCTTTTAGAGAACTTCCACAAATCAGATACATCTTTTACAGATCCCAAACTGTATCTAAAAGATTATACTATAAACTTAGTAATAATTTAGTCCAGTTTTCACGTTTAAGTATTTTTGTTTTTGAGTTGGGTCAGTTCTAACATGGTCCAAACATGGTTTAAAAAAAAACACTTTTGGAGCTTCTGAATTTTCACAAAACATAAAAATTTCACAAATTTCAAACTATGTATTAAATATTAAAAGAATGTAGAATAATCTCGTCCAGGTTTGAATTGTAAATGCACCATAGTTTTTGAGCAATAACAGATTGAAAACGCAAAAGCTGAAGGAAAAAAGGTGGAATTGCCCTTTAGCCGGTTTTTCCTCGAATCTGAAGCTAACTTCAGCTTCGTTTGACGCACAGCGATGTCGTCACGGGTCAAAGTTGAACCGGAGAGAAAACGGAAGCAGCATGGAGGCTGATGAGAGAAGGAGAAGAGGAGGTTCTGCTCAAAGCTCTAAAAAAGGTTTAAAATTGACTCTGTTTTCCGGACGGCAGCTGGTATCAAGCTAGCAGGAGGTTTTCCGCCTGTTTGCTGTCCGGCTGATTAAAGCCCAAACATTACCAATATATTCTCAGCAGCCAGTTTTATGTTATTTATCTGCTATTTAAAGCAAGACAGACTAAAGTAAACATTAAAGTTTCTCGGTATAGAGTTAGTCTGTTTATTTTTTTAAACGTATTTAACTTCAAATCAAATATATCCTAAAAATAAGCTTTCTTTGGTTTTTAGTGACATCACAAAGTTTAAAGCACCTCATCGTTTCTTTTTAGCAGTAAATTGTGTTTTTGGTTTTTATGTTTCTATGATTACTTCTAAGTTTTGATCATAATCCTCCTTTAAGCTGCAGATTTCAGTTGAATAACGTTAATCTGTGGTGTTGAGTAGCGGTGCGTTCAATGGATCGGTAAAAAGCTCGGATATGGGAACTGCTTTCATCCACTTTAAATGTGTTAGCAGGTTGGAAAAGAGAGAGATTTGATGATGAATGAGTCACCAGACAGTCTGTTCATGTATTTTTGTTATTTTTCTTCGTTTCAACCAGTGGTTCCAAACTTTGCCGATGATGAGCTGGAGGAGTTCAAGGGTCACAGAATTTATAAAATTACACTGGGAGCCTTTTATTAAAAAAAAAAGTGTATATATGTGTATCTATATATGTGTGTATATATATATATATATATATATATATATATATATATATATATATATATATATATATATATAGTATTTAGACATATTAAGTTAGGAAGGATTGTTTAAAAGGACACAAAGAGCGTCTGTTGCTCGGCTTGTTGTCATCAGACCTCATAAACCCAGACCTTATTTCTTCTTGTAAACGTATCTTTCTATTCTGCTTTATCATCCAGCTGTGTTTGCCTGGTCAGAGCATAGAGGGAGGTATCTTTAACACTTGCTCTGTGTTTTCTTTTTTTTTACAGGTGGAAAATGCGTCAAAATACGGACTGCCGAAGAAGAAGCAAGAAGGTGAGGAAACCGTTTACAGCAGTGAACCATTTTGAGGTTGTTTTTTTAATTTCTTTTTGCGGTAATATTATATTAAAGTGTGCGGTTTGTTTCTCAGGAGAGAGGAGATGAAGGAGAGGCTGAGGGAGAGGCTGGAGGTGGAGCGGAGAGCCCTGAAGGTGGTGGAGCGCCTCCTGGAGGACAGCGTGGCTGAAGACTTCCTGGTTGACTGCGTATGTAGCTGACATGATGCTGCTGGATCTCATTCAGCATCCGGAACATTCTGTTCTTTTAAGACACACATTCACAGTAAAAAGCATCAAAGCAAACAGAGATACTAATAATAATAATGACCGCATTTATAAAGTGCTTAAAAATCAGGATATAAATGAACAAAGGTATAGAGGAGGATCTTTAGTTTCCAGGTGGATCATCTCAATCAGTGGTCCTCCTAACTGTCAATCATCCTGGTGATATGTTTACGTGAGGCCGTCTTACGTGCTCGTCCCGTTAGCTACCTTTTTCTGCGCACTTTCAGGCGTGTATCTGTGGAAAGCTATGGTTTCAGACGGTGATTGAAGGAGACAGAAGCAGACATAGAAAAAGAAGCATAGATACAAAAGGCAACTGTCAACCAGCTCCACAGGCGGCCCCGTCCAGGAAACACACAGCCAGGCAGACGAGCTCCGAGCCAGCTCCCATGTCAGAGGATGAAGAGAGCACATCCAGTTAGTCACAATCAGAGAAACAGGACTACACTGGAAAACAGGCCAAGCTCCAACATCTAGAAACAAAGGTATTGATGGCAGCAGCACAGCTGATATTTCTCTCCAGGATGGAGTCACAGCCAAACAGGAACAGACCAGATGAAGCTACTATGAGAAAAAGCAGAGAGAGCAGAACGTTAGAGATTGAACTAACAGATTCTGCAGAGTGGGAGAATAGAGATAGAATGAAGCAGAATGATGAAAAAGGGGTCCCTATGTCCTCCAGCAGTCTAAGCCTATATCAGCAGAACTATAGAGATAGATCAGGATAACCTGAGCCCCTCTAACTAGAAGTCTTATCAAAAAAGAAAGTTTTAAGCCTAGCCTTAAAAGTAGACAGGGTGTCTTCCTCACGGACTAAAACTGATAGTATATCCCAGAATGCTTTGCGTGGAGAGCTCTCCTGGCCCGCTGCTGCAATAGGCTGTCGTTACCCGACAGCAGCGACAGATAACAAAGATCCTCCTCCTCCACTGCGCGGTGGTAACTTAAGAAACAAGACGAGCAAAGAAAATCTAAGTAGAATAGAAACTAACAAGCAATGTATACAGAATAAAAATAAAACCAATATGTTAAAATAATTATTGATAAATAACACAGTCTATAAAATTAAGAGATAAACAAAGAGAAAACGGAAATTTCTGCCAATTCTCGCCAAATTCAGTAAATTCCAGCAGAACTTAAACGCCTCATTGAATACAAGGGGAAATAACAAGAAATTTAAGCTTTACGATGGCATATAAATGCATCATCAGCACAGCTTGCCTAAGTCGACTGCTGAGGGGAAAATATCCACTGATTGCTTCATGTTCTGCTTAGAAAGGTTTGAAAAAGCGGTAAAATCTTCAGGAGTGTTTTACTGGAGTTTAAATGGAGGATGAAGATGGCGTTCTTCATCTCTGCTTCTTCTTCACAGGCCAAGTTCATCACTACTGCTAACTACAAAGACACCGTGGAGGAGCGCTTCATCGCAAAGTTCTGTGGTTATCCCGTCTGTCCCAACAAACTGGGCAAGGTGAACCTCCTCCTGGTCCCTATGGAGGCAATTTTGTTCCATCATTATTGGAAGCAACGAAAACATTTAGTAAATGTATGAAAATAGGAATGAAAAAAATGGCATTTAGAAATTACATTTAAAAAAATGATTTAATCCAAAAAAAGGAAAATGTTATTTTTCTTTTTTGTTCTTTTCCGCTTAAATTGTTTAAAACATTGTTTTTTACAGTTTTCATATTTTCAGGTTTTATTTTTACAAATTATATTTTTTCATTTAATTTTACAGATTTCATATTAATTTTTTTTTTTTTCACTTTTTTTTTCCAATTGTGTTTTATGAATTCCATTTCTTTCAAGTTGAGTTTTCCATATCACATTCTATTTATTTCTGGGGGCGGGGTTTCTTCTGAAGTGAGGGTCAGATACACATTTCTATTGGTCAGCTGAACCTTAAGAGCAATATTTCTATTGGTCAGAAGCGAATGTTTGAATTGGGCTCGACGTGAAGAGAATTAAAAAGCGACTTGTAATGAATTGAAATATATATAAACTGTCAAAAATGATTAATTGAAAGTTGGGGGGGGGGGGGGGGGGCATTTTAGAAAATACAAAAATACAAAATTTGATAAAACAGTAAATTTAATCTGGAACTTTGATTTTTAAGTTGAGACATTTTTCTGTTTAATTTCTGGGTTGCATTATTTTTAAAACTTTCATTTACAAAAATTGATCTTTCAAATAATATTGGAACAAAATCCACTCCATACCCCTCGACTCATCCATGTCATTCAATCCATAGATCCCGACCCAGCAGTATAAAATCTCCACCAAGACGAACCGGGTCTATGACATCACAGAGCGGAAGGCGAGTGATTTTTATTGTTTTCCTGCTGGTATGGGGTCGTTTCCAAAAGAAAGCTTCAGCTAACTTTGCTCCAACGTTCATTTTTTTTAGTGTTTCTGCTGTAACTTCTGCTACAAAGCCTCCAAGGAGTACGAGCTACAGATATCAAAGACGCCTCTTTGGCTGAGGCAGCATGAAAGGTTGGCGGCTGCTGGTTCCTCTGTCTCCTTAAAGAGATTCTTTATGATGTGAGATTTATTTTCTTGCCTTTCTGTTTCTCTACAGTCCTCCAGAAATCAAGTTGCTAAAGAAAGGAGACAGGTTGGTAGCTCCGCTTCACAGTTTTCACACAATACGCCTGATAGAGTCCTGCACTGCAAAATCTAAACGAAAAATAAAGGTAAAAAAAATAATCTTAAAATGAGTGGCTTTTTCCCATAAAGGAAACGTCCAGTCAGAAGGAAATAATCAATGGATCCTTATTTATACCTAAAACTAATATGTTTGCTGTTATTTAACAAATTTAGTGTTAATCAGTAAAAAAACTAATTATTTGGGAGCGGCCATTTTTGTCCAAATATGATAACGCCTCCCTCCTGCCATCTTCCAGCAGTGACGTCACGGTGCGGTAAGCCTAGCGCCATTCTCCCCACTTTCCAAGCTAAATCAATGGGAACTACTAGACACATCTGCAATCAACAACAATTATTGAAGATTTCCAGAGGACTTCACCATTGAAATTCACCAGAGCTATAGTGAAACTGACAATGCCCACGTGCATGGCAGCTGGATGCTGGAATACATCGGGTAAAAGTGGAAAAAAGAGTTATTCCACCTTTCTGATTCCTGATCCTCCACGGACGGGTTGGTCGTTGGATCGCCAACTTGAAGAGGGAGGATTTGCCATCGAACTTCTGGCCAGAGAAAAAACACGTGATATGTAGCCAACAGAACTGGCAGCGTTGCGAGGCAAGGGCTCAAACATGTACGGCTGGAAGCCTTCTACACCAAACCAAGCTTCTGCCGCCCTGGCGTCCTCTTCCACAACATCTTCGTCCCCGCTTTCCTCCTCTAAATAAAAAATGGATGACAGAGGAGACTCATCCACCTCCTCCGACACTAAACTCTCCTCCTCTTGCATGTTTCCGCTGTCCATAGCGTTCCTTGACAGCGTCGTTTCTAAGTCACCAATTTAGTGCTAATTGGTCCCAATGGAATTTCCCATTGGGAACCTGCTAGCACTAAGTTGCTAACTGGTTAGCAAGATGCTTCCTACAAACCGGCCACAACCAAACTTGCTTGTGAACCTTCCGCCACAACAATCCCGCCCCCTTGATAATCGACCAATCACATTCACTTTATTCACTCTTGTAAAGGTGGGCACCACTTGGTAGAGGAAATTCACCATTGAAATTCACCAGAGCTATAGTGAAACTGACAATTTCCCAGTTTGAAAACGTTTCGCTTCCATCCAGGAAGCTTTTTCAATTCAAAATGTCGGTAATAGCATTTAGTTCCAGGTTTTATCCAGCAGCCCAACAAAGCCTGGTTTTTGTTGAGAAAACATGCAAATAGAAATGGATGAACGGGTCCCCCCCTTTGGAATGGGGGTCATGTGGGTTCTTTGTTAGCCTGCAATGCCCCATACCTGCCTATGAATCAAGTCAGTTGCTAAATAGTAGGTACAATTCAGCGATTGAGTTGATTCCTTCCCGCTATTATTGCAACCCCAACCCCTTTACAGGGGAACAGAAGACCTGGCCTTTAAAGCCAGGCCAACAATTCCCTCTACCTACCCCCCTTTCAGAGACATAGACAGGTATGGGGCATTGCAGGCTAACAAAGAAGCCAAACGACCCCCATTCCAAAGGGGGGGACCCGTTCATCCGTTTCTATTTGCATGTTTTCTAAACTAAAACCAGGCTTTGTTGGGCTGCTGAATAAAACCTGGAACTAAACGCTATTTCTGACATTTTGGATTGAAAAATCTTCCTGGATGGAAGAGAAACGTCTTCAAACTTGGAAACAAAGTCCAGCGGATTGATTTTTAACCATTTTTGGAATGACTCTGACCTGGATAGCTGGGAATCTTCACCACCAGCAGAATAAAACTGTGATTCATCAAATAAGGATGTTTGTTTGTTGCATGTGTGTCCAGGGGGAGCTCTGGTGTGGAGGTGATGCTGTCAGGGCGCCGCCTCAGGGAGGAGGACATAGAGGAACCCCAGGCTGCCCCGCCTCCGCCCGTCCCTGCAGGAGGCGATTTCAGCGACGGGGAGCGGGAGTTTCCCTCCAGTGACGTCTCCCAGCAGCAGAGACCCCGGGTGCACTGGGCCGACCTGCCGGGGGGCGCAGACGGAGACGGGAACCGGGCCGAACCGCCTCAGATCCAAAACCCAGAGGAAAACGGGGGCCTGAGAGGAGAGCAGGAAGGGAAGGAGATCCCCGCTGAGGAAAGCGCTGAGGCGCCACCTGGAGACCAAAGCGTGGATGAGCTCACTTCAAAGCTGAGTGAGTGCGTTACCAGCGGTAACCAGCGCGGAGAAACGCGGGCTGAAACCGTTTCAGCCGCTTCGTGTACAGGACCTGAACCTTCAGCAGGAAGCAGACGGGCTCCCTGTTCCACTGGAGACCCGTCCAACCCGCCTGGGCTCAGCATCACCCAGGTGGGCATGAGTCGGAGAGGAGCCGCCGGGCTGCAGGACCTTCTGAGGAAGCACGGCGGGGCGCTCGACCCCGAGTCGGTGCGGCGGAGTCTCCTGGAGTCCCTGAAGAGGACCTTAAAGGACTGGTGCACAGAAGAGACCCTGAGCTTCCTGTATGGAGCCGACCGGCCGCCGGCCGTCCCGTTCACCGCCCTGAGAGCCACCGAGGAAGAGGAGCTGGATGAAGACGACCTGGAGGACGATGATGATGATGATGATGAGGCGGCGGAGCCGAGGAGGCCGCCGGGTAACCACGACTACGAGAAGCTGCGGGAGGAAGCGGAGCAGCTGCAGCTCAGGGTGCGCGAGTTTTATAAAGGGACGTGGGTTCTACCTGAGGAGGAGCAGCTGGAGGCGAGGAAGGTGAGAGAACCTGCAGCTGAAACGCTTTTATTGGCAGGGGTCGACCTTAAGGCAAGTGACTTTCACATTTCATTTGCCCAGAAACCATTTTTACTTGCCCAGTATAATGTTTGATAAATATAGTTCCTAATATTCATTTTTGCATATATATCAATGAAACATGTTTGTTTTTTAAATGTTTTTTGTAGTTCAGTATTTTTTAAGTTTCCAGGTTCCTTGTGTGTATATTAGTGTTAATTTTAGCAGCCATTTTTAAATCTAGTTTCAGTTTTAGTCCAGTTTCAGCATCGCTAGATTTAGTCGACATCATCCCATTTTTATTTAGTCTAGTTTAGGGATGCAGGATATAATCGGCCTCTATCGGTATCGGCCTTATATACTACTTTTTCTTCTTCCTCAAAAACTTCTTTTTTACAGACTTAAAAACTTCTAAAGACGAGGGAAAAAATATTGATCCATTAAAATATCCCAATATCTTCATATGCTGATATATTGCCATTTAAAAACACCATATCAATCTCTTTTACTAATGAAATATTGCTATATGTCATCGTTATGCTACGAAATCCCCCGAAAATTCACCAAATGTTGCCATATTTTTATATGTTGATATATTGACGCGGTATCGATCTATTTTACTAACAAAATCTCACAAGAATTTGCAAAATATCACGAGAGTTTGTAACAGAACAATGAAATTTCACGAGAATGTGAAAGTAAAATAGAGCACTTATTTCAAGAAAAAAAGACTTATCAAGATTTTGATTTTTTGCAGTGCATGTACTAAAACACATAAAAAAAACATTAAAAACCATCCATTCATGTTGAAAAACGGAGTATGTGCCAAGCATTTTCCTGACAATGAACCCCAACGATCATAACATATTCTGAGCTCTACTCTTCTCATAATCCTGTAGCCATAATTTGCGGAACTTTTTCACACTTGATTTTCAATATTTCCTCTCCTTTCACATCTCTGCTGAAGGTTGCGTTGCTCTATTTCAGGTTTAACCAATTAAAAATCATCAGGGTCCGAATAAAGAAAATAATCAACCAGTAAAGGTCCGGAGACATTTTTAATTATAACGGTTACTTTAAACAGAATTTAACACTGAAATAAAATGAGTTTTTTATGCACCCATGTTACACATTGAATTTTTAAATGAAAAAATAGAAAACAAAAAATAAAAGATTTTTCCATTTTACATCTAAAGTGTTTTTTGAAGTAGAGAACAACAATCATTCAGTTTGGTTTATAGATAATTTCCTGATTCCCATATTTTCTCAAACCCCTGAACTGATGGTTTGTTATTTTCTTTCTTTTTTCTGTCTTAATGTTGGCAGTGGGCTTTAGGCTGCCCTGCGAGGCTTTAAACCTGGGTTTAACCGGAGACTAAGCCATTCTCAAGCACATATCAAGGTGCTCATTTTGAGCCTGGATCCAGATTTATTGTTGATTCTGTTCATGGTGGAGAATCCTGCTTCACAGCAGCAGGTTGAGCCAAACATCCTCTAAATGTGCAGGGTCATCTTTGAGCACGCCATTTCACTTTTCTTTCACCAGTTCACCGCAGTTCTTCCAGCAGTCCACACTTTCTCTGCTCTCCTTTTCTCATGGTCTTCTCCTTCTTTCCCATCGCCCGGCTTGCCACAGGTTTGCCTGCTGTGTCTGAAAGTAGCAGCAGCAGCAACAACCTAGACTGACAGCTCATTGGCTCATTTGGATCACGTGCAGCCTGGAGCCGGACGCTCCCCAGGGCTTTACCGTATTAACAGGAGAAGAGGCGCAAGTCATATTAGACACTGTCATTGGACAACATGCTGTAATTTATAAATGTTTTAAATCAGGTTGGGTCCAGATTAGCCAGCAGGTGGATCCACGCAACCTCGTCCACGCTCGTCATAATAATCCCAATACTGCTGGGAGTTAGGAAGGAGCTAGGACCAGGAAGCAGGAATGCCTCCTTGCACCAATCCATTAATCATAAGGACCTCCTGACGTTCCGAGCCACCCAGGAGGTATATGGTTACCCATAATCCTTTGCGTGACGTAGAGGAACAGCATCGTTATTCTACGAAATCCCCCCAAAATTCACGAAATTTTGCCATATTTTTATATGTTGATATATTGACGCGGTATCGATCTATTTTACTAACAAAATCTCACAAGAATTTGCAAAATATCACGAGAGTTTGTAACAGAAGGATGAAATTTCACGAGATTTTAAAAAGTAAAATAGATCGATACCGCGTTTTTAAAAATCTATTTGATATCAGCATATGAAAATATATTTGAGTATATTATTTTTCAAAGTGTCAGAAATGGATAACAAAACTGCTATTTTCAATGACTACTTATTTTTGTCCAGCTTTAACATCGGTATCGATATCGGTTATCGGCTACATGAGTTTTATCGGATATCGGCCAAAATCCCGATATCGTGCATCCCTAGTTCAAAGTCTCCTGGTGACGTACAGCTGAGTGTCGTCTGCATATTTATACTAACTGAAGCTTTTTTATGTTTTAAACTGAGTCATAGGGAGCAGGTAGATGCTGAATAAAAGGGGCCCTGAGATGGAGCCTTGGGGAACCCCACGGTTCTGTTGCTTAGCTCTCCGGTTATCCTGATGCCTCAGGATTTAAACATGCTGATTTTGTTTCTCTGGTGTCAGATCAGCGCACCGGAGGCGGCCTCTAAGGATCCAGCTTTGCCGCTCATCGACTCCCACGCTCAGAACCTCATCCAGAAACGGATCACGGTGGAGCGGCTCAGCAGCTGGTAGGTGTTCTTCTCATGGTCTGCTCTCTGTTCACCTGCAGTTTGTTAGATGGTTCTGTAGTTTAGATGAAAACCCAAAGCTTTGGTCCCTCAGATGTGTTCCTGTTTCTCAGCGTGTCGATGCTCTGGATGTTAATGTTAGGAAAGAAATAAAAAATAAAAAAATGAAACCGTAATTCCGATATTAGAGAAGAATACATTTCTCATACGTCTTGCTGTGTTCCTCAGCCTCAGAAACATCGTGGGTCCGGTGGGCCTCACCATGAGCGACGTCTCCACAGACCTGAACCACCTGGTCAGGACATTCAGGTCAGTTCAACACACACTCACACCATGAGAGAAACAACATCCCATATATATATATATATATATATATATATATATATATATATATCCCAACACACACTCCTGGGCGGAGTGTGTGTTGGGATTTTGTAAGGTATAAATGTACTGAGGTTTCCTCGGTCAGAGCTCCATCTTTCCGTCTGAGGACGTTAAATAAATTTGAACCTTTTTTCTTGCAAGAAATGCCTCAGCTTCCTAACTCCACACAGACCATGGATTACTTTGTAAAAACAGACAGAGGTTTGCATACTTGATGACATTTTCCCAGTTTAAAAGCTTGTGTTTTAGTAAAATGGTACAATGGTGGTATTTTATATTAATAATGTAGTTGCTAACGTCCAGCAGACCAATAGAAAAGCATCTCTGCTCCTCCCTCCAGAGGAAATCCCGCCCCCAGATGTGAAGATCATATGATCTGGAAAAGAATGGAATTTTGTATAAAACTCAATCTGAGAAAATAAATAATAGTAAAAAAGATGATAATCTGTAAAAACAAATCAGGAAAAATAACATTTAAAAAATATTAGATCATTTAGAAATTTCGAACAGAAAAATAAACCAGCAAAGTTTTTTTATTAAAATGTTTTTCTAAGTTTCATATCTCTACTACTTTTTTCTTTTCAAACTTCCATTTACAAAATCCTTTCTTTGCAACAATATTGGGACAACATTCACTCCATACAAACGCACTAAAATCAGTTAATTCTTGTATAAAACATTTATTTTTTTCAATGCATTGTTGTTAAGCATTCATGTCATCATTTAAGACATGTTCCTACATTATTTTACTAATTCATTAGACTTTGCTACCCTCTAGTGCTTAATATCGCACATTACAAGATTAAACAAAAATTTAATTGTTTTCAAACTTTAATACTTAAAGACCCAAACTTTGTTTTTTCAGAGAATAAAAGCATTCAGTAAAGAAGTTTAAAATTCTTTGCACTACTGCAGAGAACAAACCTGATGGCTGCAGAAACATGTTTGTCTCTTCGTTCAGATCAACAGGGGGAATTTATGGGTCTGTAACCAGATCTAAGTTTTAATCCGGATTAATCCATCTCCAGTTCCTGCTGTCGTGCTTCGGTCGCACCTCTGATTGGAACAAACCCCTGATTATTATTGGCCCCTTTAAAGACTCGGCAAACTGAATTTAAGGGAAAGCTGGAGCTTATTATGCGTTTATGTAAAGGTTTTCAGACCTTATGATCATTTGCTCCTAATGCCTCTTTAGCATCTCAGAGTTCAGATTAGGGCTGAACCAATCAGATTAACAGATTATTGAAAAAAACAACTAATTTAGTAATTGATTAATTGTCAACTGGAGTATACATTCTCTAAAACATGCCTTTAGCTGACAGAGTGACACATTTAGAGCAGGATTATACCAAAATTGTGTTTAAAAAAAAATAAAAAAGTAAACATTTAAATATTTAAAATAAAAAATCTTTTTCATCTGTCAATCTGCTCTATCCAGAACTCCTCAAATGGAAAAGTTTTAGTTTCACCTGGTTTTATGTATTAAAAAAAATCTTCTGCGATAAAACGTTTTATCATTGTCTCCCTTTTATCTCCTCTCTTTTTCATCTTTTCTCCTTTTTCCTGTTTTTCCTTTCCTGTTCTACATACATTGCAGTGTCCATATAATCTGTAATACTCCCTGCATGGATTATAATAAAGCTATTTATATGCATCAATCAAGCGGAACGAAAATGAAAAGAAAACAGGAGAGTGTTTTGGTTTTCCCCTTTTGGGACTCTTTTATTTTCAGTTATTCTGTTTTGTTGATCTTTGGTTAATTTTCCATTTCATGTTTAAGCAGTCTTTGGTTGCTCTCTGTTGCCCCCTTGTGCCTGTTTCCTTTCCCCCTAGCTCCCTTCTGGTCACACGGGGCCACTTTTAACAGAACCAGGCTCAGATAGACATAGAAAAAGAAGCATAGATACAAAAGGCAACTGTCAACCAGCTCCACAGGCGGCCCCGTCCAGGAAACACACAGCCAGGCAGACGAGCTCCGAGCCAGCTCCCATGTCAGAGGATGAAGAGAGCACATCCAGTTAGTCACAGTCAGAGAAACAGGACTACACTGGAAAACAGGCCAAGCTCCAACATCTAGAAACAAAGGTGTTGATGGCAGCAGCACAGCTGATCGCCGTTTCTCAATATGCGTTCTTGAGCGTTCTCGTGTGCTCGTGTACTCGTGATACGTCATCAGCCTCAGCCCGAGTACCTTTCCAATTCTCAAGAACGCCAGATCGAGAACGCATCAAATCCCCGGATGTTGTTCTGGCCCCGCCCTCTTTATCGAGCATGCATCAGAGCAGACTTCCCCAGAATGCCCCGCGGCCGCAGCTTGATTCCAGACAGCGCTCACAGTGTTAAGTTAAACATTCCCTTTTCTGCTGCTGTTGTTCTTCAAAAGTACGTTTTGAAATCGTTTGAGGCAATAAAATTATACATTGAAGCCTCCCTGTGTGGCCTGTTTACAGAGTTAGTGCGAAATTTTAAAAAAAAGTCCGACGTTGAGCGGACCAGAGTGACCAGCAGACCTCCGAGGGTAACCGCAGCCAGGGCTAATGTTACCCCGTCAGTAGTGCACTTTAGAGACTGACACGGGAGTGGATTTTCACTCCTGTCCCGTCCCACTCCCACAGAAAAAAATGGTGTCCCGTCCCGATCCCGGGCCAGAGTAGAAATCTAAATCCTGTCCCGTCCCACTCCTGGTGAAATTACTCCCACTCCCATCCCGCTCCCATTCAGAATGACTCCCGCTCCTGCTCCACTCCCGTTCTTGTTGTTTTTGAGCGCGGGTGAAAAACTCAGAGCGGAAGTTACTATTGGTTTGCTCCTGCTCCCGTCTGCTCCCGTTAATGTTTAATCCTGTACCGTCCCAATCCCGTGATCGTTACTAATACTGACTCCCATCCCACGGGAATCCCACGGGAATCCCGTGACCCGTGGGATTCCCGAAAAAATGTCAGTCTCTAGTGCACTTCTCTCGGTCTAGTTATGTGTGAACTACCGCTCGTTCTGATGGCGGTTTTTTGCGGTTCGGTAATTTTTTTAATGTTTTTTAAGCTTTAGAAATTAAAATATTGTTTTCAAAATGTTTTGTGTAGGGAATAAATAGTTTTGACTGTTAAAGAAATGCTAAAGAACGTTGCATGTGATGACGTCACGAGTACGCTTCTGTTCCAATACACATACGTGCTTGCGTGCTCGCGTTCTCGTCAAGTCCGATCTTCCTGCGTTCTCGCCAAGAACGGACTTGACGAGAACGCGAGTACGTACTCGCATTCTCGTGAATTGAGAAACACCCGATATTTCTCTCCAGGATGGAGTCACAGCCAAACAGGAACAGACCAGATGAAGCTACTATGAGAAAAAGCAGAGAGAGCATTTAGGACTTATTACTGTCCTAAAAGTTGTTCTTTTCTCTGTTAAGTTAATTTAATACAAAAAAAATCTTCATAATCAAAAAATATTTTTAGAGTAACTTTGCGGTTTTTTAAAATGTTGGTATCAAGTTTTCTTTCAAATTGTTTAAAAATGTGTATGTATGTATATATATATATATATATATATATATATATATATATATATATATATATATATATATATATATATATATATATATATATATATATATATATATATATATATATATATATATATATAAAAAAACTTTTTTTCTATTTTCCGTTTTCCCGATTGAATTTTATTAATGAGGTTATCTTCACTTCTGGTGGGATTTCCTCTGGACTGAAGAACAAAAAAAAATCATTTCTATTGCTCTGCTGGATGTTAGCAACATTGCAGTGACCAATAGCAAGCAGCTGGATCAGGCTGGAAGTGAAGATAATGCAGTTCATAAAACTCAACCCAAAATATAAAATCTGCATAAAAAGCTGTTCAAAAACCAAAGTTTGAAAAAAAAACATAAATAAATAAAATATGAGGAAAAAAGTTCTGAGAAAAGAGCCAAGTGTGTTTTTCAGATTGTTTTTTTTCTGCAGGTTTTCATTTACAAAACATATATTTTGGAACAAAATTGACTCCATTTCTGTTCCATAAAATAAAATATGCAGAAATGTTTCCCATTATAACATGACAGAATGCTGGCGTTAGTTTTTGGCGAGGAGCCGCCGATTTAAAGTAAACAAAGGAGAGTCCAACGTCCAGCAGGAAGTCCAGCAGCGTTTTTACAAAGTCTCACCGAGGCAGAGATCTACTAAATGTCTCAGACTGTCTTCCTGGTGTCTCTGCACTGAACTCATGGTGGCCTCTGCTTCCTTTCCCCTGCAGGTTCACCAACTCCAACATCATCCATAAAACCCCTGAGTGGACCCTCATAGCTGTGGTGCTTCTGCATCTGTAAGTTTCCTGCAGAGGAGGGGGGGGGGGGGTGCCTTCATGCTACCAGCTGGGGGATTGTTTCGGCAGCGCCATATGGTGTATATATACACGTGTGTTGCCGTTCATGGACAGTTCCGTGCTGCTCCCGCCTGAGTACACACAGCCTTATCTCGCGGCCTGATTGCCCCTCTCCAGGTCCGTCACACACACATTTAAACACAGCTTCCACTCCTCCGACTCGGCCTCTCTGGGAAAACCCTCACCTGATGCTTGTCCCATCCTGATTTATTGCTTCCAGCTCCGTTTGCTCACTTAGACCCAAAGTTCTCCTCAGGCCAACAGGTTTCTCTGCAGAGGAAAAAAAGAAATTACTGACTTTATTTTGGGGGAAACTGAAAATTCAAAAACCGAAAAACATTTGGACTCTGCGTCTGATGGGAGCGGAGGGGGTTTTTCTCCCATCAATCACAGCAGTTTCGGGTGAATTTCCCTGAAACGGGCTCCTCTGACCGGCTGAGGTGACGTTAAAGTCCTCTCTACCTGCCCCCTACCTCCATGATTTCATCGGTTCTCATTGAACTCGTGTCCTTCCATTCCTCCGTCATGAATAATTTGGAGCGCGGTCTTATCTGTCCGCTGCGCGGCAGCTGTGGAGCTCGTCTGGCCTCTATTGTTTGGCCCAGATGAATAATACATATCCGCCCCCCCACACCCCCTCGATAGCTGCAACACTAGACTCCGAGTTGAACCGGAGATTAAACGGCAGGATGGTAGACAGTAGGGAGGGACAGAAAGCAGCACGGAGGACATGAGTTTTATTTGAAGAGTGAGGATTTTCAAAGAGCCATGATTCACGTTTGGTCCCATTAAAACTTAAAAACTTCCACTGGACTAAATGTGCTGGACCTGCAGAGAACATCCAGCAGCCACTTTATTAGGTTCTGCTCTTTAAATGAGCTTCACTTGATTGGCTGGTTTGGATAATTGAGTGACGATCTGGAAATGAGATCTGATGATCTGCAAAAAACAGTCAATCAAACCAAGTCTTAGAATCTTTGAATTTTCCAAAAATAAATTATTTGGTCTTGATACAGTAGCAGCCATTTAAAAAGTTTCCCCACTTTCCTTGATGGGTCCTTGGCTGATCCTTTGCTGGCCCTCGGCTAGCCCTCGGCTGGCCCTTGGCTGGCCCTTGGCTGGCCCTCGGCTGGTCTTTGACAGACCCTCGGTTGGTCTTTGACTGGCCCTCGGTTGGTCTTTGACTGGCCCTCGGCTGGTCTTTGACTGGCCCTCGGCTGGTCTTTGGCTGGCCCTTGGCTGGCCCTTGACTGGCCCTCGGCTGCTCCTTGGCTGCTCCTTGGCTGCTCCTTGGCTGCTCCTTGGCTGGTCCTTGGCTGGCCCTTGGCTGGCCCTTGGCTAGCCCTTGGCTGGCCCTCGGCTGCTCCTTGGCTGCTCCTTGGCTGCTCCTTGGCTGCTCCTTGGCTGGTCCTTGGCTGCTCCTTGGCTGGCCCTTGGCTGGCCCTTGGCTGGCCCTTGGCTAGCCCTTGGCTGGCCCTCGGCTGCTCCTTGGCTGCTCCTTGGCTGCTCCTTGGCTGCTCCTTGACTGGCCCTCGGCTGCTCCTTGGCTGCTCCTTGGCTGCTCCTTGGCTGCTCCTTGGCTGGTCCTTGGCTGGCCCTTGGCTGGCCCTTGGCTAGCCCTTGGCTGGCCCTCGGCTGCTCCTTGGCTGCTCCTTGGCTGCTCCTTGGCTGCTCCTTGACTGGCCCTCGGCTGCTCCTTGGCTGCTCCTTGGCTGCTCCTTGGCTGCTCCTTGGCTGGTCCTTGGCTGGCCCTTGGCTAGCCCTTGGCTGGCCCTTGACTGGCCCTTGACTGGCCATTGGCTGGCCCTTGGCTGGTCCTTGACTGGCCTTTGGCTGCTCCTTGGCTGCTCCTTGGCTGGCCCTTGGCTGGCCCTCGGCTGGCCCTTGACTGGCCCTTGACTGGCCCTTGGCTGGCCCTTGGCTGGTCTTTGGCTGGTCCTTGACTGGCCTTTGGCTGCTCCTTGGCAGCACCTTGGCTGCTCCTTGGCTGGCCCTTGGCTAGCCCTCGGCTGGCCCTTGACTGGCCCTTGGCTGGCCCTTGACTGGCCTTTGGCAGTTCCTTGGCTGCTCCTTGGCTGCTCCTTGGCTGGCCCTTGGCTAGCCCTCGGCTGGCCCTTGACTGGCCCTTGGCTGGCCCTTGGCTGGTCCTTGGCTGGTCCTTGACTGGCCCTCGGCTGGCCCTCGGCTGGCCTTTGGCTGCTCCTTGGCTGGTCCTTGACTGGCCCTTGGCTGGTCCTTGGCTGGCCCTCGGCTGGTCTTTGACAGGCCCTCGGTTGGTCCTCGACTGGCCCTCGGCGTGTTTGTTTTTGCTGGTCCTTGGCTGGGCCTTGACTGGTCCTTGGCTGGCCTTTGGCTGGCCCTTGACTGGCCCTCGGCTGGTCTTTGGCTGGCCCTCGGCTGGCCCTCGGCTGGTCTTTGACAGAGCCTCGGTTGGTCTTTGACTGGCCCTCGGCTGGTCTTTGACAGACCCTCGGTTGGTCTTTGACTGGCCCTCGGCTGGTCTTTGACAGACCCTCGGTTGGTCTTTGACTGGCCCTCGGCTGGTCTTTGACAGACCCTCGGTTGGTCTTTGACTGGCCCTCGGCTGGTCTTTGGCTGGCCCTTGGCTGGCCCTCGGCTGGTCTTTGACAGACCCTCGGTTGGTCTTTGACTGGCCCTCGGTTGGTCTTTGACTGGCCCTCGGCTGGTCTTTGACTGGCCCTCGGCTGGTCTTTGGCTGGCCCTCGGCTGGTCTTTGACAGGCCCTCGGTTGGTCCTCGACTGGCCCTCGGCGTGGTTTTTTTTGCTGGTCCTTGGCTGGGCCTTGACTGGTCTTTGGCTGGCCCTCAGCTGGTCTTTGGCTGGCCCTCGGTTGGTCTTTGACTGGCCCTCGGCTGGTCTTTGGCTGGCCCTTGGTTGGCCCTCGGCTGGTCTTTGACTGGCCCTCGGCTGGTCTTTGGCTGGCCCTCGGCTGGTCTTTGACTGGCCCTCGGTTGGTCCTCGACTGGCCCTCGGTAGGGTTTTTTTTGCTGGTCCTTGGCTGGCCCTCGGCTGGTCTTTGACTGGCCCTCGGCTGGTCTTTGACTGGCCCTCGGCTGGTCTTTGACTGGCCCTCGGTTGGTCCTCGACTGGCCCTCGGTAGGGTTTTTTTTGCTGGTCCTCGGCTGGCCCTCGGTTAGTCTTTGACTGGCCCTCGGTTGGTCCTCGACTGGCCCTCGGTAGGGTTTTTTTTGCTGGTCCTTGGCTGGCCCTCGGCTGGTCTTTGACTGGCCCTCGGCTGGTCTTTGACTGGCCCTCGGCTGGTCTTTGACTGGCCCTCGGTTGGTCCTCGACTGGCCCTCGGTAGGGTTTTTTTTGCTGGTCCTCGGCTGGCCCTCGGCTGGTCTTTGGCTGGCCCTCGGCTGGTCTTTGGCTGGCCCTCTGCTGGTCCTCGGCTGGCCCTCGGCTGGTCCTCGCTTTGTCTTTGGCTGGTCTTTGGCTGGCCCTCGACTGGTCCTCGGCTGGTCTTTGGCTGGCCCTCGACTGGTCCTCGGCTGGTCTTTGGCTCGTCTGGTAGGGCTGGTGCCCTACAATACCTTTTCTGTCATGATTTGTGGACATTCTAAAGAGAAGCGCCATCTGCTGGTCAGACCCTGTAATTCAGTGAAAGGGTGGAGTCAGAGCAAAAAAATATGCAAGAGGGGGGTCAGTCAGTGGCAGGAAGTAGGCTGCCATTCGGGTGGCATTTGACTGGGAAGGGCCATTTTGAAAGGCTGCTACTTTAAACTAATTAAGGGGCACCTTCTGTTCTATATGATATAATTGACAGACTGAATAATCCAAAATATAACTGAATATTTCACAAATGGCACCCCATAGGGGTTATTTTGTTAAACACATCTGGATCACAGTGGGAGCCAAAAAGGCGACTTTTTTTAATTTTTTTTGATTGGTGCGTTTATTGATCTGTAAAAATTAGGCGGCAATCACTGACTCATTTGGTGAGTTTAAATCAGCTCCTATTATAATGTATCAGTGGAAATAATATAATTGTTTTTCATCTATTTGGTTTAATTAACTCGTATTCAGACTAAGAGTTTTTGTGCCTCATAGCAGAAGTTGCCATCTTGACCCCAGTCCTTTAACTCCTGCTTCATATCAGGATTTATTTTCCTTTGATTCATTAAAGTGAAGCTGGAAAATGTCTCTAATGGTTCCAGTGGTTTTTCTTTCTTTTTATTGTATTTTCTTTTCTTTTAGGTTATCAGACGTGTCTCCTGTGGTGCAGGAGGCCCTGAAGATGTCGGCCTCAGTCCAATATTTAAACACTCTGATGGAGGAGCTGGGCCTACGGGAGCAGGACCTTCTGAGTCTAGTTCAGCTCTTTAAACCCACTACAAACTGACTCAAAGTGAACATAAACAGATGTAGGATATATATTTTCAATCTTATAAAAGATGTTGAGAATGAAACAAAATGAGCTTGTGTTTTGTGTAAAATCATCAACCTGTGAAGAGGAATAAATTAAGCTATTGCCATCTGCAGCACTGCTCAGCGACACAGAGGAGAGAGAAAATGCAACAGATTCTTTAAAATTTATAACTGCACTATCTGATAATGATCTGCTAAAGTGAAGCCTCCTTTTGGAGGATTAGAACTCTGTTAAAGAAATCCTGAATATTATTAAAAAGTGGTCAGAGGACAGGTTGTCCATCAAATGCACAGGAAGCACCACCCCTGTCTGCCAATCCAGTGGCTCTGACCCTGACCTCCATGCAACGTTGAACCACGACAGTCCGACAACATCCAGAGCTCTAAGGTACTCCAGTACTTAGCTTCGACCCCTTTGATGTTATTCTTGTAAACCATTCTGTTAATGCTGCAGCTTTATCTTCATTGCGATTTTATTCTCAAAATTTTAAGACTTTATTCTGGTTAAGTGACATAATGGCCCCATTTCCACTACCCTTTAGGAACCTTGCTGAGATCGGGCCAAGCACGGTAACCAAGGTAACCGTCAGAGATGGGAAGTAACGAAGTACAAATACTTCGTTACTGTACTCAAGTAGATTTTGCTGATATTTTTACTTTACTTTACTACTTATTTTTATGGCGACTTTTTACTTCTACTCCTTACATTTTTACACAAATATCTGTACTTTCTACTACTTACATTTTAAAAAATTGGCTCGTTACTTTAGTTTTGAATCATTTCAATGGAGTTACCGTTATTATTTTTCACGTCATCAATACCAAATTCAATCTAACTGGATGGGAATCTACGTTGCATTTGACGCACCACTACAAGATGAATCGACAGATTCGGCGGTATTCATTCGTGGCAAATCATTGCAGCTTGGTGGCGGTGGCGTTAGCATAGTAGCATGGACGACGAGATGATTGAAAATGAACACAACGGAGATCTAGTCCTATTGGCAGACATCCATTTAAAATGTAGGCAACGCCATGAAAAAAGTGGTTTCTACTTTTACTTTTATACTTTAAGTACTTTGTTACTTTTACTTAAGTAAAGAAGTTTAATCAGTACTTCCACTTTTACCAGAGTATTTTTTAACACAAGTATCTGTACTTTTACTCAAGTATGGAAAGTGAGTACTTTTGCCATCTCTGGTAACCGTTGAGTGTAAATTGCAGAACTGAACTGAACCGCGGCAGACACAACCCAACCTCGCTAACATGGTGCTAGCTCATCAGTAGGGCTCGGCGCGGTTCAGTTCTGGCTCGGTTCTCAGATATCAAAGAGCGCAATGAGCAGACCTCGTTATCTCCTTACAGTCAGCCTCCGTAATCATGAAACTTCAGACATTCATGAAAATCCTATCATCCCTACCGCGCCACACGATTTCCAGTGATGATTCTGCTTACCAGTGTGATGAACCTCAACGTCTGTCGTTGTTTCCTGCGTCTGGAACCCTGATTAGACTATCGTTTGGCGGATCCACTTCCCTAAAGCCGACTTTGTCAGTTAAATTCACCAAAGGCTGCCTTCTTTGCCAGAATCTCAGCAAACTTCCTGAATGTTACGGGCGCCGCCATGTTGGTTTGCTTGCCACTAGGAGGCGAGGAACCATACTAGCGTGGTGTCTAAATGGTCGTATGGACCCGAGCTCGGCACGGTTAACTGATCCGAGCTCAGCACGGATTGGTTTTGAGAGGGTAGCGTAAATGGGGCGATATTCACAATTTTAATCTTGTTGACCTAATGACTGATTTCCGTCATAAAAAACTAGAAAATCACTATTGTAATTAGTGTTGCACCGATACCAGTATCGGACAGGGCCGGTTTGAAACTAACAGTATTAGCCAATCGGAAGAAGAAGGGGGCGGGTCTTAGGGAAACATGTACCTACTCCTCTCGTTTCTCGCTCAAGACGCCAGATAGATTGTTGTGCAGTTCTGAAGTTTTACACGGAAAGTCACCTTATGCTGTTTACAGCTCCATTCTACAGAGAGACTTGTTAAAAGTGAAAAAAATAAATAAATGAAACCTTGTGTTTGGAGAGAAGGACGATAGAGAGAACGGAATAGCATGGAGGGGGAACCATGCAGTTCATGAACTCCGTGGAAGATGTCACGATCATAAATAAAGGTTGAAAAATAAATGGCGCCGTGCATGGCTGGAGGAGACGGGACGAGATGGCTAGCCATTTAGCAGCTGGAGCAGGAAGTTAGGTCAACCAGACGCTTGCTTCTGCATGCTGTGCTCCAGGAACAGTTAATTACACATCCAGAGGAAAAAACATGAGTTAGACCCTGGTCATCAAACTGCTGTTCGTGCGGTCGCGCACGCTACACGTTAGCCGGGAGCTACGGCGACAGCTGATGTACCAGCATCAATAACTGATCGTGTATGAGAGTTAAATATAAGGATGTGTGCTTTCATTGCTGAACATGACGCTTAGCAGCAAAACTAGATATCAAAACAAATGTGGTTCATGCAAGTGGTAGATATAGATGCCATCTACTGGCCGTTTTTTCAAAGTCAAATTTAGTCTTCAAACATTCATGCAATCTCTGATCTCTTCAATCCCTGACGGAGTTTGCATCTTCTCCCTGTGCATTCGTGGGTTCTCTCCGGGTACTCCAGCTTCCTCCCACCGTCCAAAAACATGACTGTTAGGTTAATTAGCTTCTCTAAATTCTCCTTAGGCGTGAGTGTGTGTGTGAATGGTTGTCCTGTTTGTCTCTGTGTTGCCCTGTGATGGACTGGAGACTTGTCCAGGGTGGACCCCGCCTCTCACACTGAAAAAAATCCAAATCTAGATAAGTCATTACTTCTTAAAATAAGTGCATTTGTTCTTGAATTGAGGAGATAAAAGATACATTTTGCCAATGGAACGAGACAGTTTAGATGTAAAATAAGAACACACAAATGCATTGTCTTATTTGAAGTGCATATTATCTAATTATCTTATTTCAAGAGTAAAAAAACTCATTCCATTGGCAAATTATCTCATTTACCTACTCAAATCAAAGGTAAATACATTTAATTTAAGAAATGTTTTCTTATTTCTAGATCATTTTTCCAGTGCACCCGTAGACAGCTGGAGATAGAAACCAGCACCCTTCGCCACCCCAGCTGGGATTAAGCGTGACACAAAAATGGATGGAAATGGATACAGCTATGTAGAAAAGCACCTTCATCCCTACTGTTAAACAAGATCTAGGACCTGTGATGCTGTGGGCCAAACATATTTTGCTATTAGCAGAGGGGTCATAAAGGCTATCATGACTGCAGGGTAACAGGATACTGTCAAAATTAAATCTGAACATTTTTATTTGCTCATTTCCAGTGAGAGATTTTGTTCTGACAATGTAAGATTTATTTATTTGTATTTGCTTTTTATCAATGAATGCTTCTCCCTGTACTTGCAGAGCCGGATTACAGAGACAATCCGTGGCCAGTTATGTGCAAATCACATCCTTGAGGTTTCAATATTTAACCAAGGTAGAGGCAACGCAAAGCAAAAAGAAAATCACACCCAGCTTTTTGCCCGCTGTGAAAACACCATGTGGATATGGCCGCTTATTGCTGCAGTTAGAGGCGCTTCCACTGTAATAAAAGCTGCTCAAATCCTGCAGACTTCCTTTACGTTGCCTTTTATGGGCCCCCACTAATGTCATTTGTTATATGGGTATGTGAATGATTGCTTTGCCTGAGAATATTTGTTTTTTGCCAGATGGCGCATGCTGTGAAACGTTCCTGTGCTCAGATATGAGAGGTATCAGCTCTGACCTGTCACTGCAGATTGGGGGATGTGATTGATGGTCTGCATGACTTCACGTAGAGCTTCTTGTTTTTTGTTTTTGTTTTCTTGTATAGAAATCAGTGGAGCGAACAAAGAAAACCACAGCAGTGCTTTTTTTAGGTGGTTCTAGCATTAATTTGAGCAGAGGGATCCCAAAACATAAGCTCACTGAATACACAGTACTGTAAAAAGAAAAGGTAAAAAACCCTTAAATCAAATCTTTCATATTTTAGAACTGTAAGCCGGCTACACAGCATTTAGATTTCAATTATATTTTTTTTTACGTGGAATAAAAAGCTATCTAAGCCCTCTTGGAAGTTTTTCAAGCATTTTTGAAAAACCTCAATTTTCTGACATGGGAGCTGGCTCGGAGCTCGTCTGCCTGGCTGTGTGTTTCCTGGACGGGGCCGCCTGTGGAGCTGGTTGCCTTTTGTATCTACAGGTGCTGGTCATAAAATTAGAATATCATGAAAAAGTAGATTGATTTCAGTAATTCCATTTAAAAAGTGAAACTTGTATATTATATTCATACATTACATACAAACTCATATATTTCAGATGTTTATTTTGTTTAATTTTGATGATTACAAATGACAACAAATGAAAATCTCAAATTCATCATATCAGAAAATTAGAATATTACTGAAGACCAATAAAAACAAAGGATTTATAGAAATGTTGGCCAACTGAAAAGTATGAACATGAAAAGTATGAGCATGTACAGCACTCAGTATTTAGTTGGGCCTCCTTTGGCCTGTATTACTGCAGCAATGCGGCGTGGCATGGAGTCGATCAGTCTGTGGCACTGCTCAGGTGTTATGATAGCCCAGGTTGCTCTAATAGTGGCTTTTAGCTCTTCTGAATTGTTGGGTCTGGTGTATTGCATCTTCTTCTTCACAATACCCCATAGATTTTCTATGGGGTTAAGGTCAGGAGAGTTTGCTGGCCAATTAAGAACAGGGATACCATGGTCCTTCAACCAGGTACTGGTAGCTTTGGCACTGTGTGCAGGTGCCAAGTCCTGTTGGAAAATGAAATCTGCATCTCCAAAAAGTTGGTCAGCTGCAGGAAGCATGAAGTGCTCTAAAACTTCCTGGTATGTGGCTGCGTTGACCCTGGACCTCAGAAAACACAATGGACCAACACCAGCAGATGACATGGCACCCCAAACCATCACTGACTGTGGAAACTTTACACTGGAC